GTTTTTGAGATTCATGTTTTGCTTCTAGAGAAAGTTTCTTATTATTATGGTGGTTGCTTTCTGGTACAACTTATGTTGATACAAGCATTGTTGCAACATCTTCACTGGCTACATTCCTTTTTGAGAAAAATTCAAAATGCTTGTTATGAAAGTCATATATTGCTTGGATGCAGTATGTCTGACTACGGTCTCCAAGTTATCTGTTCACTTAATAGTGATCTTATGAATTTCATAGGGCTTTTTTAAAAGGCAAAGAATACTCAGAGGTGGTTTTACCATTTCCTTCATCTGAAATAGAACCCACAGCAACTGGTAATTCACCCAAGTATTAACCAGCGCTGACACTGTTTTGCTTCCAAGATCAGATGGAATTTGGTGTCTTTAGGGTTGGTAGGCCACATTATATGGGTCTATCAAAATTTTAAGATGCTTCAATCAGGGTTTTCTTTCAGTCTTGCTAATATCACATGTGTTGGACTGAGGGCATATAAAAAGATCTTCTCAGTGACTACTCCCAGGCAGTGGAACTCTGCCCCACAAGAAGCTAAGCTAACTCCCTTTTCTGTTAACTTTTCTTAGAAGACATAGACCTGTTTATCCAGATAGGATTTTTGTCTATCAACTGATTGATGTAAAAAGGTTATTTAATTGTGTGTATCCATTGTATTTTTATTCTCATAGTTATCCTTTAAATATTTTCAAACTACTTTCAATTCACAACTTTTAGTAAGATAGCTTATTATCTATTAAATTATTTTCATTATAATGGCAGTTTTCAGTTGTGTTTAATCTGTATTGGAAGCTGCTTTGGGTCCCATTCAGGAAGAAAGGCAGGAAAAGAAATAATTTGCTTCCAGTAATTTTATACATTTATCATAAAATATTTTACTAAACAGGAATCAATTAATGTTGACTTCAAAGCATCTTTGAGAATGCTAAAATAAGTTTTAAAACGTAGTTATTCAAAAACCTTTTGGTGGAGGGTTATCATGACCCAGAATTTGAACATACCATGATCTAAGAGAGGTGGCTCCAATTGTGCAAGTACAGTTTACTGAAACAGAATTGGATATGGTAAATAAAAGACAAAATGAAAATTGGTATACAGCAGGTTGATGTTAAGCAACCTAGTCCCAATACCTCAGACACACCGCTCACCCCAGCTTAATCATCATTTATAGTAGACTTTTTTTTAACACGCTCAGATGGGTTGAAGGAGAAACAACCAAATGTTTCATAGTGCCTGTATTTTCCTAGGCATTATTTCACTATCAGATACATAAAGTATTATATATAAAGTATTATCCAGATTACGAACTGGGTATGTGTCTGTGTACCTGAAATTCTGCGTAGTGCTCTGCCCATTTGGTGAAGTAGAAAAAGTGCACACTATAATACATTTTGTTACCCATAGATATCACCTGATGTATTTTCTAATAAAAATTGGTATTTGAAGGTGACTATGGTGGTATGGTGGTTTAAATGTTGGACTAAGACACTCAGCCATGGAAACCCACTGGGTGGTAATACATAATTTCATAGCCTTAGATGAAAGCAAGGACAACCCCCCTCTGAACAAATTCTACCTAGAAAACTAAGTGATAAGGTTTTTTTTAGGGGGCATTAAACTAGAATTAATGCAAATTCACACTACTTAAACTGCTATGGCTCAGTGCTATGGAATTTTGGGAGGTATGGCATTGTTAGCCTTCTCTACCAAACTACAACTCCCAGGATTCTATAATATTGAGCCATGGTAGTGTGTCAAACTACATTAATTCAACGGCGTAGATGTAGCCATTGAAGTGATTTCGAACACACAATAACAATTTTTCATGTAGAGAATGAAGTATTAGAAGATGTTGGCTCTGTGTGTGTGTATGTGTGTGTGTGTGTGTATATATATATAATTATGTTTAATATGTACTCTTTATTAGAGAACACCATCTTTTTGATAAGAGCCAATCAAACCTTTAGAGCAGAATCTCCTCTTGTGGTATACAAACAAATATAATTATGCTATGCAATGGTTTCAGTTGTTAGACTGAATAACCAGCAATCTCTGATCTCTCAGAAAAACAGATATATGTCAATGCATAAAATCATCAGAGCTTTAGAAGCATTTTTATTAGTGCCCCAAAAAAGACTCTTCCATAAAATAACTTACTTTGTATCATGCACTAAAGAGACAAAAATGAAGTAGACATTGATGTAAATAACATGTTTGATTTACTCACAACTGTCATGTTTTCAGTGTACACAAGTACAAAAACTTATTAGTCCAGTTTCAGATATCTTTGAGTTGGTCCCCTGCCAGCTGGCCAGGGTGTCCCTCTTGTAAGAAAACATCTATCAACAGGTCACATAGTCAAAAAGAGAAAAGGAGAGCATGTGATCTACCGCCCCTTTTATAACTTCTCAGAAACCATAGAGTAAAGAAAGCTGCACACTAACATATACATATAGGAAACAGTAAGCAACAAGGTAATAGACAAACAGATTGCTAGAGAAGGCTTGATGAAGGTTGTCATTTCCAACACTACTTGGTATTCCTCTTCTGAAAAATACCTGTAGCCCATGTGTAAAAGGTAAGGGCACATAGAGCATTTTTTCAGGGATTACTCATATCATTGGAGTTGTATTCCTTGTACTCTCCAAAACCTGTTTCAGAGCATGTATTTTAGATCGCAGAAGAAATTACTGTATGGTCTGAGATTAAGCCAATAGGGAAATATTTAATATTATAATATTTTCCCACACTTACACAGTTCTAAATACATGTACTTGCGTTTCTCAAGACTGGATGGCGTATACAACTGTTTAGTATTTAAATTTTAAAAAATCAACTTATTGTGCTTCTTTGGTTTCAAAGTCGTCTTCTACAAATGAAGTTGTTGTAATTGAATACAAGTACAAGATAATACATTTTGTCTGCCTTTTTTCTAAAGCGGAGTTTAGATATCGATACTATAAGAAGCACTGAAGATCTTTAAGTAGTGATATTACCAATTATATAAAGCGAAAACATGGAGATTTTTTGCTTAACATACTGAATAGCACAAATTGTGCTTTGATACAAACATATGGTTGAGGTTTCTAAGCAGAAATAGGTCAGCCATAAGCTCCATGTAACCTGCACTATCTCTGCTGAACTAAAAGCAATTATGTGTGCTAGTTCACTTATAAATGAAGATTTTTTTTTGTAGTGCATTTATGGGGAGGGAATTGAAATGTGTAGAAGAATTGAATCGTGTGTTTGTATCTATGTTCTGATCAAATTTGAATTTATATTGTGCTTTAGTATCATAAAGTGCTTCTTTCATAATTTGATTGGCAGAAATTATTGTTTTAAAAAATTTGTATGTTTTCTTATATACGGTTTTTCATATTATTTTTTTACATTTTGAGTGGGTAAAATCTTGCCTTCAGTCCCAGAAGATAATGTCTGATCTAGTTGATCAGATCTGAACAGTTCTCATCCTTGGGCAAGGGATCTGATTACAATGAGTTGAAAAGGGACAACATCTAAACAGGCCCTTTGTTTCTCTGGTACCTCTCCTCTGCTGTGCTATTTCTGCATCCCAGTGAGACAATATCACCTAATGAAATAGTTTCCCTTTCATAAAGTCTCTTTCTTTAACAGTGTCTCAGCTCTTATCCCCCTTACCATCTATTTCCTGAGCTGTCATGTCATCTTGTCTGTACTTCCTGTTTTCTCTTAACCCTTGTTTTCACTCCCTGTGCTGGCAGGTGAAATTAGAATTTCTGCTGTTTTCCAACATCCAGGATGCACTTGTTCACCCATTACTCTTTGCGTGGTTTTCATCATCTTGAATCAGCTTAAAACTGGACTGACTAGTTGACGGACTAGTTTTACCAAGGGGACTGTTTGCCCCCAAACTGTAGGATGACTTGCTGGAAAAAAAAATGGATTTGAATCTGGCAGGCCTATTGAGATTATTTTAACATGACGTTGATAAATAGATAGATAGAACATGTGGTTTTACTCTTGTTACTTGATCTAAAGCGGGGGGAGGGGGAGAGAGGAAAAAGTTGTTCTTATAGCTGAGAGCTATGAAAAAGTTGGCTGTATTAATTGTTTCCACCTTGTTGCCCAGGCTTACTGCCCTCCATGTACAAATATCTAAATATTAGAGGGAGCTTAAGTGCATGGGGCAAAGCGAGCCTATCCCAAACATGCTGGTGGTCAGGGCCATAACCAGAAAAAAAATTCGGGGAGGGTTGAAAATTTCAGGGGGGGGGGAGTTGAAACCTGCCTCTTAGCTCACGCTGAAGCAAAGAGCACAGCAGGGGCAGAGCAGCCTTCAATAGCCTGCAGCTCCGCCCCTGTCAACCACCTCCACCAAGTCTGGCCTCCTTAATGAGAGCATTCAACACCCCCCCCCCCAACTTGGTTGCTTCACTACATCGGCTATTGCTGCAAGTAATGACAGTGTGAATAAATTGTCAATATTTGCTTGAGATAGTGCTTGCAATTCTGGAGGGACTCTTAATTTTTTGCGTCTCATAGACTTAGCATGGGGATTTGGTTAACCAGTTAAAATTCATGAGTAAACCAGGTTTATTTTTTTTAACCTGAAAATTGGGGGGGGGGGGTTGAACCCCTAACACACACACCCCCCCTCTCGCTACTGGCCTGCTGGTGGCAGAGTGGTTGGCACAGCAGGGAATGCCGAGATGGATCCAATGAATTGAGCTTTTCTCTTCTGCTGATGATACCCAAATAGGTTAAAATATGACCTGGTACGCCACAGTGTCAGTAGTCAATTTGATAATCTATTTCTGTGGTAGGACAAGGATAATTTGCCTCTTAAGTATTACTTTAGCCATTCATCACTACAAGTCAGGTGCAAAATGCAGAATTAGCTGTTTTTCTCTATTTGGTCAATGGTTAGGCAGATGAAAAATTCCATTGTGCGCACAGAAAGGAATTTCTGCAAAGCTGATACCTCTTAAAACAAATGTCATTTTTCTTCTAGTTCCCGGCATAGATGGAGGTGCCCTGGGTGAACCTAGTCTTACAGACTCCTACTTCAGCACAAGCTTCATTGGAGTTAATGGGTTTGGAAGTCCTGCTGAAGCAAAGTATCCTATGATGCAGGTAATGACTTATTTGATAAACTGCTAGATTAAAATACAATGAAGATTTAAAAATATTTCTTTGGTAAAGCTCTCTCTAACCATTTTGTTGTAATTTTGGAACTCTATGTGTTCATGTATTTTATTCAGAGTAATAGTGTGCTAGCTCAGAACAATATGGGTGTTTTTGCAGTAGAGCAACGGTGGACAACTTTGGCAGTTATGGGACCACCTTTGCCTTTCTGAGACTATTTTCCCCTACTGCAGCCATGCTCTTTCAAAATTCAGCAGAAAATCAGAAAATTAATTGAAACATTAATTGTTTTAAAGCATTTTTCTAGTTTGCAGTTGAATTTCCATGACAAACCACAGAACTCCCAAAACATGATTTTAGCACTTAGCAGCTGTATTACTCAAACATGATTTGCTGCTGTATTTTCTGGGAATCCTGGAGCCAATAGAATCATCTTTGGGGCTGCATGGAGTCTGTGGCAACCAAAAGCGATGAAATTCAAACTGCATCCTATTTCTAGGGCTGCCACCTTTAGAGTGATAAATGAAATGAGACATTGCCTGATAACATATTGCTTCTTTCCCATAAAAGCTCAAAACATGATTAGGTTGTGGGAAGATGTTAGTCTTTTATGTTCTCTCTCCAGTTATGTTTTGCTGCATATATCAGTCAGACATCCCGAGTTTTCTTGGTCACAAATAAGAGATGGAAGTGCAGTACTCAGGGATGGACCTTTCTAGTTAAATCTTTGTTTTGATCTTTCTGTAAAAAATACTTTGTAAAATATTTATTTTGTAAAAGAAATGGCATATTCATGATAAAACCATTCCAAAATGCTTTGCAACAAGAGTTCATAGCAGTATATTGTTTCAGGAAAAAAAAATCTTCATCCTGAAATACTTAATGAATTTTATCTAAGCTCTTAGGGACCAGAGCCATTTGAATGTATTAAAAGGTCATATTATATTTTCTGCAGATAAAAAACATCCTGGTTCTCCAACCATGTGAATTCTGGCTCTGGTGCTGTTCTAGGCACTGTGTATTTATTTGATGTCCCCCAGCCTTTATTGTTGGCTGTTTAGGTGTTGATATTTTGGGTCTTGTCGCCTGAGTCGGTTTGAGAAGGGCGGGGTAGAAATGTTATAAATAAATTGTTGTACATTTTATTTGTAATATTGAAGTTTTACATGTTTTACACTTTATATAATCAATTTCATATAAAAGGCAATTTATAAAATATTAAATAAGTTGTGTAGTTTACAATTTGACATTTCATAAAAGGCTTCTCAACACCTTCATTTTCATTCTAAGGAATAATGTACAATCCTGACTTCATAAGAAAACTTTACAGATTGAAGATTTGATTTTTAGAGATCTTGGCAAACTGATTTTGAATTACAAATTCAGAAATTCATTCTAGAGAAACAAAGCATCTTCCCAAAGGGAAAGATAGGTTATAACAAAGATTTTGATTTCTGGGAGATAGAGACCAGAAATGGATGATCTTGATAATAAGTATCAGTTTATATGGTATAATCATCTAAGCAAAAAAGTAAAATGTTGCTGTTAATTATTGTCAAGTCAACTTTGACTTATAGCAACCTTACAAAAGAGAGATCTCCACCAAAACATGCTGCTAAGATTTTGCAAATTCAGGGATGTGGCTTCCTTGATTGAATCTATCCAACTGTAGTAGTAGCTTCATCTTTTCTTAATGCCTTCCAAGTTTTACCAACTATTGTCTTTTCTAGCGAGTTAAGTTCTCAGGATATATCCAAAATTTAAAGCCTCATTTTAGTCATTTTGGCTTCTAGTAAGAGTTCTGGCTGAACCTGGTTTTGGACCTATTTATTTGTCTTTTTGGCAGTCCATGGTATCCTTCAGAATTTACTTAAGCGCCATTTGAATAATTCCCTATTATGTTTCTTCACTGTCCAACTTTTACAACTATCCATAGAAATCAGCTATACTATGATCTGAATGATTCGTCCCATACAGAATTCCAGAATAAAGACAGCTCTGGCTAAGAGCCATCATTTGTGAAGGAAGGAATCAGTACTCATGTTTTCTAGGTCACACTTGTGACAATCATGTATTTAGTCACTTAAGAAAAAATCAAATCCTTTAATATCATGGTTATGTACCTGACCTCTGAAACTTGAACAGTATTTTTTGTCCATGTTTGTCCTTAGTCTAAAATTTAAATAGGCCATTATGACGTATTTAGATCCATAGCAACAGTGTGTTGCATCTTGTATCAAAGAAATTCAGAAGGATGACCATGGAGCTGAGTGACATCTCTATGAAAATTAAGAAAAGGGTTTGTGTGTGTGTTTTCCCCCCCAACCAGTTGTTAAAAGTTTGTTTTGACTATTGGTGAACTCTTCTGAGATATGGAAAGGTCTTAGTATTTATAATATGCCATTGTTGTAACTTCCTCTTAAAACATCTGTTTTTATTGTACCCGCAGGTGCTGTGTGATTGATTTTTTTTCCAATTCATTGTGAGAGGGCACTGCCCTTGGTTTATAAAGTCAGTATTTAACTGCTGTCCCAACCTCTTTCCCAATCTAAGGATGATTATGGGATTTGGAGAAATGAAGTACATTTGCTTCTCCTATTAAGTTGAATCACTATTTTTTCTTTTAATATTGCATAGAAATGCCTTCATATGAACTTGTCTGAATAAATTTATGTTCATTGTTATATATAGACTTTCTCTAGATGCATCTCACAGTCTTCTCTTTTAAAATTGATGCTTTTGGCTTCTTTATGTATCTTGAAGAAATTAAATATAACTTTACATTGTTTCATTTTTTTCTTTTTTGAAAAAAGGCAGTGAATGGCAATAAACTGAGTACTGATATATGGCAAATACGTTTCAGGTTTCCATTTTAATTGTATCCAGTTTTGCATAAAGTAAAAAGAAAAAAAAGAATTAAGCATAATTTCACTTGCGGTTCTTTTTTTAAAAGGACATGAAACTGTGGATTCACTGTCGGGACTGGGATGATTTTCTTGAATATATGTTCATTTTTAAGGAAATGATTCTTATAAGATAGAATAAGAAGAAAGTAGAAACCCTTCACATTACTGAGGGAAAACCCTTTCAGTTCTTGAAATATACATACTGAAAGTTGATTGTAATACATTCAGATTCTAAGGAGAGCCTTACACGATCCTGCCAAATGTCTGTCATGACCACCTATCTTTATCTTTCCTGACAGTGACTACCCATAAGTGAGTGGAAAGATGAAAAGAACATAAGTGTTCCATAGGATCTCACTGTGAATGCTTCTTGACAGTTAGTATTTTGAGTCACATTGCATCTTGCATTGGAGATCATTTGTGGTGGCCATGGCTAGTAGTTTATCTTTCATGATGAAGGTTGGTTTGGAGCCTTCAGATTCTGTTTATTTGGCAAAGGCTTCGGTTTTGGGTCCTGTCTTTATATTGAGAATATGATGCCCAGTTTGGAAGGTGGATTTAAATTTTGGTAAAGTAAATTTGCATATAAGTTTTTTGCTATACTCAATATCAATGTTGTGGCCAAGTTTGTATGCAAAAATATGAGCCAGTCAATCAGTGTCAAGTCTATTAGACAGAAGTCTATTAGGCAGAAAAATACCATTTTTATATTATACGAGCCTGCGGAGGATCTGTTTCTGGAAACTAGTCTAATAGGTATGTGGGTCATAATGTATCTTTTTCTATTTGAATGTGATTCATTGTGAATAAACAGTTTCGTACAAATGTATTGCTTTTACGCAAAGACCATCTCTTTGAAGAATACTTTATCTGTCATTCATGGCATAATTTAATGGGAAAATAATATAATTTATCTTCCCTTCCTGATATTTACATCAGAATTGTATTTGCTAGAAGCAAACTTGTCTCAATCTGTAAAAATACTGTTGGGTGGTACTGGCACAAGACTTCAATAATGTTCAAGTAATTTTTTCTTCTTCAAATAATTAAATATTTCCCTTTTAAAAAGGAAGCCGTTAATTCGTGTATCTTAATGTCGTATTTTTATAGTCCTTGGAAAAGCATCCCAGGAGTCATATTTCCAGATTGATAATTCCCATCAGATGCCAGAAATAGCTCAACCTTTGAGAGGAAAATGAGATCTTAGATTCCTCCTCCCTGTTTAAATTGTCTTTTGCACCCTTCACTGGTGCATGAGTATGGAAGAATGGAGGGGGGGGGGGGGGGGTGGACTGAGACTGTGGAGACACAGACTTTCTGGCACATGAGCAATAGGGTAGTGTCTGCTGTAACAGCTCTTGTCCAAATTATTTTCTTTCCATGTTTGCCTTTTATATGTATAACCACTTTGTATGCCCTTGGAGAACCTAGGCTTGATGCAATCTTGTAACAAGACTCCCTAAACCTATTTTCCTTTTATAAACACACAGGCTAATATTAATGGTCCCAGTAGCTTTTTTGACTGTGTAATTTGTTTCTTACTTTCTGCAGAGGATGACTAATAGCAGCAGCTCCCCTAGCCTTCTCAACGACAGTGCCAAGCCGTACGCAGGCCATGGTAAGAAGGTTTCTTTAAACAACAAGAACTTTGAGCTGTTCTAATGGGAATTCTTCGCATTTAATGTGAAATCTTTACTCAATGTATGTTTATGTATACAGAATGTATGCCCCATCTTATTGTAAATTGTTTTCAAAATTAACTGGTGCTTTTATGCAATGTTTTCTTGCTTTGAGTCTCATCCACTGGTCTGTAACATGTGCAATATTAAACAAAAACATTTTTTTTAAATTGGGTAAACGATTTGGCAAAAAACCAGTTTTTTTTTTAAAAAAAACAACAACAACAAAAATCGACCTGGACATGTAGTGTCTCTCTAGGTGTATCTGGATTACAATTCCCATTGATCCTTGCCAGTGGTGGGAGATGATGGGAGTTGTAGTCTAACAGCATCTTGGAAGCTGTAAATACCATAGCTTTTCTCCCTATTTCATGTTGAACTAAGGATGTAACTCGGTAAAGATGTAATAATTCACACCAGGATTTTCATGAATAGCACACTGATTTCACAGCTGAAAGTCGATACAGTAAAATAATACCTTTAGTTCTTTCTGAACTAGTCATCTCAGAATTGGGAGCTCTTACTCCAGTGTACTCTGAGGTATTTTAATAAATATTTTAGAAAGCAGGCAGTATTACCATCATGGACATTTCACATAGTCCATGATGAATTCAAAATCAACTATAAACGTGTTGATACTATAGGTGTGGCCAGTTTCTTTTAAATATCTGCCTTTGACAATCATATATTCATCATGATAGTAAGGTAAATTTTACTTTTCTTACAACTTAATACCTTCCATAACAATTTATGTAAATAAATGAACAAGGAATGTGTAAATTAATATGAACATTTATTTTAAGTACTTAAAAAGTAAATAATATAATCTAGAATTTAAATGTAGTTTCCAGACTTCCAACTAAAACATACTTGCTATGCAGCTCTAAGTAGCTTTGTATTTTAAAGAAGTTTACCTACCAACTTTACATTGAATTTTCAAATATGGTAACTTGATTAACTAAAACTAATACATTACAGTTTCATTTTGTTTTTATTCTGTTTTCTTCCATAACCTAGATATTTCAGTACTTTATTTTTTTTAAAAAACAAACAAACTCCTGAATGGTGTTTTGGTTAAAATTCATTTAGGGGGCGGGGGGCGGTATACATTTATACTCAAAAGATCCAAAGGAAAAAATGAAGAAATTCCACATTTTTACAAGGTATAATGATAAGTCATTAATAGGAGAAGAGAGGGCATGAAATTTTGGCATGATGGATAAGTCTTTGGCTCCTGGTTCTAGATTTGTAAAACTATTTTTTAAAAACCATAGTAATGAAGTAACTCTCTCCCCCATTGTTTTATTACACTTTTTTAACAGATCATCTTACTTCACCTGGTTCATCCTTGTTTAATGATTTTGCTGCCCTCAGCTTATCTCAAAGGAGAAAAGTAAGTATTACCAAACTTTCTAACTTTATGTGTTTGAACAAAAGAGCTACTTTCTTAGGTACTGAAAGTTTGTAAAATTAATATTAATAGTAGACAGAGCGGCATGCAGTGTTAATTTTGAGCATTTGTTGTAATATAGTTACATAATTGCTCAGGATTCTCAAGAACAGCTATTTCTACTTTAACTTCACATTTTGTCCCTGAAAAAAGTACAAGAGATTAGTTTTTACATTGTTGTATTGCAGAATTATGGTAATACAGCTGTAGCCAAGTAGATGTCCAGAGCTTTAATCAGTCTAAATGAATTCATTGTTCGGTGCAGTAAGTCCATCTTAATCATAGATGTTGCAAGGCCACTTTATACTGATTTCATATTTTCAGATTAATGTAAAGTTATGTTGTGATAGCTGCAGTACTGTTATCATTCTTCCAGAACATTTTTTTTCTTTTTTGCTCTAAAGTTATTTGTTGAAAGCTTTAAATTTCCCCTATTTATCAAAGCAGTTACTTTCAGTAACTTTTTTGGAATATTCCTATAGTGAAGTATCTAGACGAGTTCATTTTTATTTTCTTCAGTGGTATAGTTTGATGCAATTATCTAAGCATGCATTTTAAATATGTAATAATTAAAATATCCATTCTTGATTGTACATGTCAAGTATAATCAAATTTGAGTATAAGATGACTGACTGTAGTTTGCATTTTATTATAGAGAGTTTTCTTAATAAAAATGTTCTAAATGTTGCATAAATACCTCTTGATGCTGATGGTAAGCAACTCATATCAAAATTTCACATTACTAAGAAGTTAAATTAAGAATTTCCCTTTTTCTAAGTCAAGTCTTGACAAAATATAGCCCATGAGCTATAACATAAATTGGTTTGCTGTGGACTTAAATCAGATTCTAGTCCCAAGTAGTCTAAACAATAGAATCTACATAACGGTTTATTTACTTTGTTTCCATCCATTAAGTGCAATGGCTGTTCCTTAGAAATAATGACTGGACAAAAGCCACAGTCATTTCCCTGGTTTTTTTCTGTTTGAAAACATTAAAGTATAGTGAAAAGTACAAAAAAATCTAAAATAGAGGTTGTGGAAAATTAAATAATGTTCATAGAGTCATAAAATCATAGAGTTGGAGGAGACCTCATGAGCCATCCAGCCCAACCCCCTGCCAAGAAGAAGGAAAATTGCATTCAAAGCACCCCCAACAGATGGACATCCAGCTTCTGTTTAAAAGCCTCCAAAGAAGGAACTTCCACCATACATGGTATAATAAACCCAATACAACTAGTTTCACAAATCTATATACCTTTGACTTCAGGCAGGCAGTAGTTCTTCGTTGCTTTGTTCTCGGGGGTGTGGACATGCAAGAATGATTAATATTTATTAAACTGGGGTGTAGAGAAACTTTGAATGTATTTACAATGCGAATACATCTCTGCACTGCTTTTAAAATTGTAAACCTTTGGAAGCCTCAAGACCAGACTTTATGTTCCATCTGGGAATGTGGGATGGCAAAGCTTATATAAAACTTCTGCTTTCAGAAGAGAAATATACATGCATGCATGTATTTGCAACCACAAAAAAAAGCCAAAATGGCCACTGTGATATCAAAATAATCTTAGCTCTGATCATATGCAAGTAGAGGTGCTGGCAAATATAAAAGGAATGTTGAATGAAATCATACTGGTAGTCTTGAATTGAGTAGAGTAGAACCAATTAGTCAATGGTCATGTGGTAAATCAGCACTTGAAATGATTCTATTAAATCGGTGGATTTGTACTAGCAATTGGATTTAGGCCTTTAACTCCTGCCCACACAGTAAGCTTGCCAGTGGTCATGTATACTCTAGATTTGAGTGTGTAACTTCCAAAAATACTCTTAGGGGAACTCAACAGTCCCCCATTCCAAATCTAATAAATGTACATGAAGTAAAATCCATAGGCATTTGGCTTCTAGCCAGTAATCACAGAATGAGCAATTCATAACCCTCCTTTAGTAATACATGTCCTAAAAGGTTGGGATTATTTATTGCCCTGTTGATTAACCATTGAGTCAGTCCATTAGGATATTGATAATTTAAGTGGTTTTTTAAAGTGTTAAACCTCTCTTTGAAGTGTGCAAATATTTTGGTGTCATACTATTGCTGTGTCTTCAACCTTCTGGTATTAGTAAGTGTTAAACATGTTTGTTAGCAGTATTATACTGCTTGAAGCTATTTATGATGGACCTAATTTCAAAGCGGGATATGTCATGATGGCAAATGATTTAATGAGTCAGCAAGCTTTAGCAATGGTTTAGGGTAAAAAAAACTTTTAAAAACCCTCCACAAATGGAGAATATCTCTTTGGGCTTTATTGTTGCAAGTTTGCCATCTTGAAAATGAAAGCTTCTTTGGAAGCTTTTAAACAGAGGCTGGATGGCCATTTGTTGGGGGTGATTTGAATGCAGTATTGCTGCTTTTTGGCAGGGGGTTGGACTGGATGGCCCATGAGGTCTCTTTCAACTCTTTGATTCTTTGATTCTATGACTCTATGAGGCTAGGGGTGTCCTGTGAGCAGAGAAAGGCATATAGTAATAATCATTTGAAACTCCATGTCCCTCACTTTCAAGTGGTAAGAGTTTCGTTTGTGGACACTTCATCATTGCAGAGATATAGTGATTGTCAATTGGGTCCATCTTTTTGAAAAAATCTGTATATTTTACTTTTGTCAGTTCTTTTCATAATATTTTGGAAACTCTGACCCTTTCAGAAACAGTCTGTTAAGCTATAGTTCCATAAGCTAAAAATGAGAGGTAGTATGAGCCCAGCTTTTGCAGCTGTTTATATGATTAAAGATATACTGTTTATAGATGTAGTTAGAGGTTTATATAAACCACTTAATTCAGGCATCCAGAATTGCATTAAGATGAAGATTGTGTAACAGCACGGTGCTTTTTCCTCTCCTACCTGGAGCCCTCAGTACCATCTTTCCCTCAATTTCAGAGGGTGTCAACTACTGGGGTCAAAATCATGTATTTTTGTATGATAAGTTGGGATCATTCTGTGGAAGAGGAAAGCACCAATGCTGCCTTGGCCACTGCTTTCCCTTCTAGACATTCAAAAAGGCTTGAATCAGCAACATGGCAGAGAGAGTGGAGGAGGTTGGTGCTTTTTTAATGTTCTCCCAGGGCATTCTAAGCTCTTGATTTCCACCACTTTCCTCAGAGAAAGACTTTTTTTTGAGGTAAGGTACATTACTCATGTTGACTCATGGATAAGTTGACCCAGGTTTTCAGGGTTTATTTTTGACTGGAATTTCTGGAGTTATGCATGAGTATAGGGTATGCTTTATAAATATGGGACAAGGAGAGTGTTCAGACATGTGTGAATTGTTCCCTCACCTATAAGTGGTATATTCTAGGCATATCTTTACCACAGGATTGGTGGCACGTTGTTCAGCATTGCTACTGGTTGTACGTTGTTTAAAGCAGTCACTCCTAATGAGCACTTGAAGCATATAAACTAAGAGTTTAATGCTTATTTATACTGCTTTCCATTCTCCTTTTTCTAGAGTGCTTTGTAAGCCGCCCCAAGTTCCTTTGGGGAGATGGTGGCAGGATATAAATAAAGACGATGATGATGATTAGACACCTGTGATTCAGTTCATTTTTACATATGGGCAAATCTCAGATTGGGTTTGAGCTTTTATGTCATTTGCAATTTGGGGTGCAAGAATTAGTGGGATATACTTTATTTTAAATGGGGTGAATGAAGAGAGAAATGATTAGTGCCTGTGTGAACAATTCTCATTTTCTAATATATACTCTATGCAGTGTGCCATTACATTGTGAAGAAGAAGTGAATATTTGCCCTTGCCTACGAACACTCTGGGGAAGCTAGAAACCTTGTTCTGATGCTTCTTGTTTATATGTTCTTGGAATTTCTAGTCTGTGTCCATACTATTAAAGGCTGGGAATTGAGCCTGTTAATGGTGAAATTTAGGACTGTGTGACCATTGCACTCAAGGTTCAATATGGACAAGAGACTTTGCCAAAATCACGAAAGAAAGATATGTAGAATATTGTGGGTCATCATGGCACAGAAGTCCAGCAGTGGCTGGGATTCAGAAGTCCATGATCTAGTTGCATTGGTGGAGGATGCAGTTCACTTTAGCCCAGAAATGGCAGTGCTTAAGTTCTCTGTGGCTGAAGCATCATTGATAATGTTTTCAGCACTGTGACTATCCACCAGAAGCTCCACTATCCTGGGTTCAATGCTTTAGATCAGTGACCTGTCCCTTTAAGACTTGCATTTCCTGCTGGGGAGGGAGAGAGGGAGTTTCTGGGAGGGGTCTGTTTAGGCAAAAAAAATACAAAAGCTGAACTGTCAGTCTTGGCGGAAAAAGTGGTCATTTGTAGCTAGCCTTGGTGCTGCTATCTCTTGCTGCACTGAGGATTCCTCTCCCAGGAGCATTGCAAAGAGTCTTTTTGGAGGCTAGAACTACATATATCAAAAGAGAGGAAAGGTTTTCTCCAGTTACACTTTTGAAATAGACTTTAGACTCAGCTGTGTCTGGCCTCTTCTATTTGTGAGGATAAGGAAATACACAAATAAATAGATTCTGCAGTTAAACCACAATGGGGTCTCTTCAGTTTGTAGTCTATTCAATTTGTGTTTTTTGTCCTTGTTTATATCATAGTATTTTTTTCTTCTTCTTAATATCTTCTTAGAAGAAGTTCCAGAGAGAAACTTAGTCCCCTTATCAGCATGGGCTAAGATATACAGTATAGTATTTTATGTTTTATGACGATAATTGCTGTCAAAGTTGAATTCCTTAACTAGCTTGACCTGGTTAAGGGACATATTTCAGATTGATCCTGATCAATCAAAAGTATATTAACATCACTATTGAGAGAAGTTTGGTGCTTCTGTAAATTGCTGAATCTTTCTGACAGCCACCGGGCCCACAGTGATTGCTGAGGAATAGATAGTTTAAAATACACCACTGAAATCTTCTGTCTGGAATATCTTCTGTCTGGAATATCAGTATGCAAAGGGATCTTGTAGCACCCTAGAGACTGAGAGAACAGAGTCGGTGGTATAAGCTTTTATAAATCATTTACTTCCTCAGATGCAATTATAGATTTCATGCAGTTTGATGTCACTTTAACTGCTACTGTTCAATACTGTGGAATCACAGGAGTTGTAATTTTACAAGGCATTTAGGTTTCTTTGGCAAAGAGTGTTAGTGACTCACCGAACTATGAATCCCAAGATTCCATGGCATTGAGCTCTGGCAGTTAAAAGGGTATCAATTTGCATTATATCTATATTGTAGATGCACTCTTCATTTACAAAAGCTTATGCTACCAACTTTATTCTCTCAATCTCTAAGATTGCTTTGCATACGGATATTGTTTGGAGAGAAAGCAGAAAAATTCTCAAGTGACTTTCTTGTATCTGTTTAGACAATTTGGTGTTCATAATTTTATACTTTTGAGGAGAAGTAGCATTTCTTCACTTTTAGCAAGGATCTAGCTTGTGAATACAAACCTTTGCAAAACGCAGAAAGGCACCTTTTTTCATGTTTGGTGGACCTGTATGGTAGGAAAACGTTTTAGAAAAAGGTGACTAAAGAAACCAATAAAATGATTACTAAGAAGATTAAGAAAAACCCGGAAATGTGCTTATTGGGTTTGTTCTAGGAGTGAATTGGCAAAGACAATGTAGAAATTTGCCTATATAGTTACGTGGCAGTGAGAATCATAGCAAAATTTTGGGAGAAAAAGAAGTACTTATTAAGGACTGGAGAGGAAAAGTAGTAGAGTATGTCCAAATGGCCAAGATCTCCAATGGCATAAGGGGAGGAAACAAAGAAGAATTTGCTAGAAAATGGAGACTGGCCTTTGGGTATTTAAAAAAGAAGACAAAAATCGATTTTGAAATAGGTAAATGGGGGATATATTAGTGTACTGATAAGGACAGATTTTTAAAAAGATACTAGTTCCATTTGGTGCGGTGTCAGAAGTCATAGGTGTTCACGGGTGGGAATGGAGTGGTGACAGGACAGGGGAAATAATACTTATATTTTGATTGTTGAATCACGAAGATTGTATGTTGTTGCTGTTGTTTTTTCACATATATCACAATAAAATGTATACAAAAAAAGGAATCTAACCTTATGCTTCCTATGTTATTTCTGCTTCTGGAACAAATTTGTCTATTAAAGCAATAAAGCTTTTTTAAGTGGAGAAAAAAAAAACTTCAAGTAAACAGTAAAAGCTATTTCTGAAGAATTCCTGGGTACTGTGTTTCATGTAAAAGTGATACATTGAAATGTCTTCCCCCAAATTTAACTCTTTTGGCTGCTATGTCTTTTGTTATTGGCTTATATCCATTTGCTAGTCCCAACTGTGATAGAGCCATTGGTGTCAATTGCAGAATGGGAAAACAACACATGGAAGCTTCATGATTCAGTGGGGCTGGTAATTGAATTTAGGGCACCATAATTATTTCTTTGTGTATATGATTTGCTTTGACCTTTCTATTACTTTTGTGTTCTTATGAAGTCTTCCATATCAATCAAGGCACAGAGGTCCTGTTTTGGCATTTTGATATCTCACTGCAAATGAGTAAAATTAAGACTGCAGTAGTAGAGTGTATAAAAAAGGACTAAATTCACATGGGTCATTTCACAATTGTGTTCCATAGAAAGCAGCCTCCTCATAGTTGCCCTCAAGCATCAATCATACCACTTGAGCATGGACTCACCAAGGAATTAGAATTTGGTTTCATTTTATCATGCTATTTATTTGCTTTGATAGACAATATATCTTTCTTTTGCAAGCATCTGATGATGCCAAATTATCATTTGTATAGTTTTTTTCCAAGTTACAAGTATTTGATTATCAGCCATACACTTGTAGAAGCTGGGTTCTCACATAGTTTTCTTTGGGATCAGCTCTTAATACCTTGAGATCTTAGGTTGCCAATTGAAATGGAAATAAATAGATGCAGTTGAATACCTGTTCACAGAGATTGCCAGTTGCTTTCCATTTCTTGTTGTTTAGTGCTTTTAGATTTTTTTTTCTTTAAACGCCTGTATCGAACCCCTGCCCTTATTAACTTTTTGAATATTTTTTTGTAATTTCAAAAGGCTTCACATTCATTGTCCTAATTGAAAATATATCTTAGGAGAGTCTAGATTTATTCTGGAAAAAGACTATGAATTGGCCTGGCTGTTTCTACTGAACTCTTAGAATTGATACAGTCAGTCTGTAAAACAGAAATGGGGACACATATGAACTACAACTCCCTATGGTCTTGCAGTTGGACAATTGAGAAGGGCTTGCATTTGTATGTGGAGAGTCACACTTTCCCAATGACTGTTATAAAAGTTGACTTACGTTACAATCCTTTGTATACCTATTTGGGAAAAAGTTCAGTTGAACTCAGTGAGATATAGTTTCTGAATGGACAGGCAAAGGATTGCATTTTAGATAATACAGTCTTTATTTGATACCTCCAAGCTTTCAAGGCATGTTAATTAGACTGAAGCAAATAAGCACAGAAATTTTACTTGCAAATTGTTTCCGATTCCACCAATCAAACCAAAAACATGTTCTTATGTAGTTTTAGCTTGAGTTTCAGATTGAGGGATGTTGGGAGTGCCCTGGTTTTTTTGCTTCTTTTCCATAGCCAAGAAAGTATCGTCTGGGGATGCTGGAGGAGAGGATAGTTCCGGTGGGATCAAAGGCTCGAAAATCAAAGAACACTATTGGCTGCTTGGCTGACAGGTGTAAAACAGGAGTACCCATCAATATGGTTTGGTGGAACAGAGTCACAGAAAACAATTTACAGGTAAAATTATTTTTTCTAGTCATTTTAATTAATTTTGATTACTATTTTTATTTTTTTGGAAAATGATGAAGTCAGATTAATGTAGTGAATGTAGTGAAGCTGGATTTTGCCAAAAATTTCCATGGATGAAATTAAGCCTTGCCATTGAAACTGGATATCTAATGAACTACGTATCTCTCAAGTGTTTTATGTATCTCCTGATTTGAGTGGCAAATCAACCTATACAAAAAGTTATTTTTTTCAAATTAGATATTTTCTAGCCATGAATTCAGAAGAAAGTTGATAGTGACTTAAACTTCCTGTTTGACAAATTCGGTTTATCTGAAATGCTTCACAGAATTCCAACAGGAGTGGCCTTTCAAAACTCCAATATTATTTAACAGAGCAAAATAGTGCACAATGGCCAGTTATATAGGCCAGTATCCAACAGAATCATTTGGTTAGCACAATGTAATGAACACAAACACACACAAGGAGGTTAACACCATTTCCAGTTGGGAAAACCTTTGCCCATGTGTATTAGTAGTAATAACAATGATCAAACTTTATTTATATCCCATCCCCTTTCCCCAAGGGGACTTGGAGCAGCTTACAACAGAGAAAAGCAATATAAAATAGCAATAGACACACAACAATTTAGAAATTAAATCAAATGGCGAATAAAACAAAATATGATAAGAAAGAAAATTAAATCACAAAACATTATTTTAAAAATAACTCAAAACACATCACCCATTAATAAAATAGGTAATAATTATGTCACATAATATAATTTAGTAGTAGATTTAAGCAACCATTTTCCCCTTGTATAATACCTTATGTCTAAAACAGTACTACTAATAATAATTGATCTGGCATGTTCTTTCCTATGATTATCAACTGAACATACTTATTTTTAACTATAGTTTCCAGCCAGTGTGTCAGGAATGATAGGAGTGGTAGTACAGCAACATCTGGAAAGATGTTGCTGTATATAATATATGTATATACTCATAGTCTAGAAATTTTAGTCAAAAAAGTAACCTCTCAACAATGTGTTAGCTTTTCCACGGATCACTGTACTCTAATTAATTCTTATTTTAAAAGCAACCATCCCTTTTCTGAGTAGAGTGGCAAAAGGTGGGAGCTTAGTCTGTCCTGGGAAAACCTAAAAGAAGCACCAGTCCGTGTACTCTCCATGGCAGCGTCTCTTCTGGGTTTTTTAAATGCCTGGGTGATGACATTTTGGTGGTGATGGCTGGCCCCATGAGGCAGCATTGGTGCTTTCCTCTTTACACAGAATGACCCTTGAATTAGTAATGAGTCACATCAAAATCCATAATTTTGGCCCCCAAACATGCCCTTGATATATACATAAGGTATATATACCTTATACATGAGTATATGTGATAAGTTCTCTCTGTAAAGCAAAAAATCAGATGAAAATGAAAATAAAGAAATAAAGAGATAATAGCATTTGAATGGAAACCATTCTTGCCAAGTGATAACTCCCTATGATTCCAGTGCAGCAACATTCTGAATGGCAGTTGTAATAGTGTTCGTCACAAAATGAATTTCGAGGCAGAGAAAATGTCATTTGTTATCTTAGTATTCCCCTACCAAAGGGAGAGACATTTGTATGTTTCACAAGAGTAATCATAAATCATAAATTTCTGAATCTTGAAGAAAATAAAATAGGAAATACTTAGATCCTGGAATGTTCTTGAGGATTTTGTTTTTAATTAGACTTCATTTTGAATAGAAGAGGTGTATTAACAGACCTTGTGAAGGTTATGGGAACATAATAACTTTCTTCATGTTGTTTTCCATGTGTTACATTTTGCATTTCATTGCACAAATTCCTACTTCTGCAATACTACTAGCACATTAAGCTTCATCCACTCAGTTCTGCAGCAAACATAACTAGTATAAAAGACAAAATAAAGTTTTTATTGCTGAAGACCTCATAAGAAGAAAAAAGTGGCAGTAGAGAATAATACACTATTTATCACTGTATACTGTTTCTGTTGTTGAAGGAGCAACAGTATTTTGACTTTCTTTGTATACATTTTTAAAGCAGTTTTCTTCTGTGGTGGCAGGGAATTCTCACAAATGTATCTTGTAAGTTATAGTGTTGCATAAGTGAGGGTGTGGTGAAGCCCCCCCCCCCCCCCAATGACTTGACCTACATAAATGTGTGCTTTGGCAGATCTCTTGGTTGGAATGACCTGATTTCATTTCAGCAGTGATTAGAAGTTGAGTGCATCTTTCGTAGAATACTACACCAAAACAAGAGATAAATAGATGTATATAGAGAGAGGGGATGGATTGCGCACTGGTATAGTTTTGATTTTTGTGTGTGTTTGGCAATAATTGTGTCTTCACTAAGTACAGTGACTTTCCGTTAGACTTTCAGCGTTCCTTATTAGGCTCTTTAAGAAAGATAGAGATGTGCAAACAATGTACACTATGTAGCCTGGAGAGCTTAAAAGGAATTGGCAGCAAAACTTGTCCTATTTGTTTATGTGTGTTTTTCTGTCCGGTAGCACATGATCGTGTCTACACATATGAGCTCAGATACACCAGCATAATTGTACTTAGAGGGGCAAAAAAGTATCCAGAACTCCCTTGCCCAAGCAGCTCTGCCCGCAACTTCAGCAGCGCAATTGTGCATGTTCCTGTTGCCTTCACACACAGTGGTGGAGGAAGAGTGAGCCTTGCATGGGGGGTGACTTTTCTGTCTTCTTCAGGGGTCCCAGGACAACAGGAGGGCACCAGATGTCCCTCCCCCAGCTGATCAGTAGAAGCGGGATGAGAAGTGGTGCGTTCACCTTCTCCTGCAGCATTTGTATATTGATGGGGACTTATAAACTCCCAGTGTTCTCATAGGCTCTTGGGCAAAATATAAATGAATTTTGTAGCACCCTATCGGTTTACATCAAAGATGGATAAGGGATGATTGAAAAAAGTAGCAGGTGGCCAAGCCAGACTGTGGAGTGTGTGAGATTTGTGTGTGTTTAGACTTTAAGAAATCAATTTTTACAACGTGTATTTAAGCAGATAAAAATTAATATTGTATGAATAAATTTGATCAGATAAGGATTAAATTGTTACAAAAAACCTTGGTTCTTGGCTTCGTTAGTGTGCATTTGTGTGTGCAGGAGGTATGCCTAATAAAAGTCCATTCATTTTCCAAGTCACAGAGCTTTTATCCAAGAAATTCTTCATTTCTAATGCCAGTTCTAGGAGCCATTCCTGAAGCAAAGCAGCTTGTAAGGAAAAAGAGGCGTAGTCTCACCGTTAGTACAAATTTCTTACTATGAGACTTGGCCTCAGCATGAACATAGTGACATTATATCTTCACATCTGGGCAAAACTGGAGATATTGGAAACTGACTTGAAAAACAAGAACGAGGTAATGTAGAAGAATCTCAAACTGATAGTGCTTCTTCAACCATATGAACCAATCATCCACACGAATGACCTCTATGTGTGCTGGGCCTCATCTCCTATAATCTCCAGCMATCATAGTCATTGACAGTGATGACTCAATAGGATGCACTTTGCCATCAAATTATCACATCTAATTGGGAAGGCGGCGGGGGGGGGGGGTTCTATATATTATGGCCTAGCCTTATCGCTTTTTAATGTCCACTCTCTTCCCCACCTGTAGAGCACACAGACTATGTGGACTGCATGGTCAGTGAGTGCTGGATGACAACTTTCTCACATATGGGCAGTCATAATTTTTTTATTCCTTTGATTTCACTTTATTATAGAAATTATTATTTGTGGGGTTCTTTCATGATCCTCTTGCTGAATCTTTAGCCATCTCCTAGAATATTGAAAATCCCAGTCTTATTTTGATGCTAGGCAAAAGATAAAAGAGATGTTGCTTGTTTCTGTTAGAATACATTTCGGACCTAGCTATTTTGGGAAATGAGGTGTGAATATAGTGATGTAAGAGGTATGTGTGAAGGTTATTGTATTCTGCTGATTTCCCTTGTAACATTTCAGGCTAGGACTGTGGCTTACTTGGTGTTGTTTATAAAGCTAGTGAAAACTGAGCACATGCTTTGGTTGGGTTTTGTTCAAATGTTTTAGGATCTCTCATCTATATATTTTCCATTATATTTGAATGACTGCCATTTACTGCCTATTTAGTTGTGGGTGGAAAGTTAGTTGTTTAACTTTTCTTCTTAAAACCTTTGTTGTTTTAGATAACTTGTTGGCGATGTTATGATGCTTCAATGAATGTTAGTGGCTCCAAGCAGTTTGACAGAACATGTGTGATCCCATTTTGTTTTATCAAAGGGCTAAACTGTGTGTGTGTGTGTGTGTGTTTTAATCCTATATTATTCCTTTTATCTCTGGAAAAAATGCTGGTGCTTTGGACCAGATATCAGATCTCATTTTTTCTTTCTGACTTGTCAAAGCACTTTGTCTTTTTAGAAATAAATATAACAGAACTAATTAAGGTGCAATATTGTAATTCCTATTCAGGTGTAAGTCATGTTGAGTTTTAAGTAAATAGACAACTGTACTAGCAATGTTGCGTAGTAGTATGAAATCTAACATTCATATTATATTTCAAGTAGCTGTTTGACATATATTAAGATGAATTTGGTTAGTAATGTATGTGCAGCAGAGTAGAGCAAAAATGTTTGTCTTCAGAAACAAAATCCAGAAAAATGCTTATTATATTTTGCGTGACAAAGTATTCTGGTTGTTGCTGTTCTTATGACAGAATAATCTTGCTAGTTAAAAGAGGCTAGAAGTGTCTGTTGTAGAAAGTTAGAAAGAAATTTTTAGATGCTTTAAAAAGTGTCAAGTCCACCAATTTTACAACAATTTTAACTATGATAACAAATTTGGGATCTTTACCAAATTATGTGTTTTTTTAGCATATTAAGCAGTACAGTATGGTGCTGCTTTCTGCAGCTTCTTTAGGATATCTTTTATTTTGCTGCCCCATTACAATGGTTTTTATGATGAATTGATGAGTGAATATATTGAATTGTGTAAGAGTCTGTATTTGTGTTTAATAAAAGCTGCCATATAAAGCTTTTGGAGAAAAAGAATAAATGTATGGTCTTGCAAGGTTCCTTTTTTTGGATAATAGTCTAAATCATAATCAATCCAGTGATTCCCCCCCCCCCCCTTTAGTTCTCATTCTAAATACATAAATTTATCTTTCCTCCTCCCACTGCCCCACAAAAAAGGTCCAGACCTTTGAAACAAGCAAACAAAATGACAATGTGAATAATCTAGGATTTACAAGTTAAGGGTTTGTGAACACAACTGAATTATCAATTTAACTAACTAAATAAAACTTTATTTATGTCCCGCTCTGTCTCCCCAAGGGAACTAACTAGTAGTAGTAGGTTGTTACGTGGTCAAGTAATGTCTCAGAGAATAAGATTATAGATCAATTAAAAGAAGTTAAATTTATTTTTTAAAAAGTTTTATCAGTGAAAGTTGCACGAAAAAATATTTTCTGGCACGGTTTCCATTGCTAAAAATCAATGTAGTGCTGTTAGCTATTGTGTTTTGGGGCAGAGATGATGCAGTTTACAACAAAACTCGCAGTTCATTTTGCTATCAAACCAGTTTTGAAAACTTTGACATATAATATATGGCTTGGAAAGCAACTTACAGCAGAGCAATTAATCTAAAGACTCAGTTGAGCTTCTGGACCTAGTTTCCAGTTGTTTATAGCCTCTGCTGTTTTTTAATTATTGAGTCATTAAATTCATTTAATTTATCCAGGAGGAAAGTATATTTCCATTATTTGACTCATACTCTGTTTTGATTTTAAACAGACACCAAATCCCACTGCAAACGAATTTATTCCTAAAGGAGGATCAACCTCCCGACTCAGTAATATGTCGCAGTCAAATATATCTGCCTTTTCTCAAGCCTTGTTCTCTCATCCTTCCATGGGAGGTCCTGCAAATGCTGGACTAGCTCCAGGTAAGGTTCGAATAACTTCATTTACATTATGACTCACAGTAGCACCATGGAAGCTTCTTGTGCTGTAGACAGGGCTTTCATAAGCTTGATTGTTCACAGTGTTTATGCTGGAGTAAATTTAGCAGGTTGCAATTTTGGAATGTATTCAGGACAATCAAGTATGAAATTTGGTGATAGTAAAATTCCCTGCAGGGACTGGATATTAATATAATAATAATAATAAAACTTTTACTAAGTTATGAAAGTGCAGCCTTGGCTTTCAAGCTTTCAGTAAAGTAAGAATGTTTTCATACCTTCGTAGAAATCGGCCTCGATTTTGAAAACTTCCCTATATTAGTACGATTTAAAATGTAGTAATTTGATTTGCTGATTTTCTTTAATAATTTGAGGTATTATCTAAAATTTGCTGAATTGCAAGGTTTAAAATGCACAAAGAAATTGGAGAGTGGGATTATGGAGTCTCATTGATTTCATATAGCCTTCGAAAATGCAACATTCATATACTTTTAAAAATGGACATTTTGGTACTTTGAAACTTTTGAAGTTTGGAACATGGTTGCAAGAAATTCACTGACACTATAGTTATATATTCTTTTACTCACAGGCAGTGTGTCTTTGGGCAGAAATCTTGTAATTTACACAAAACATACATGTCTCTTTGCAAGATTTTTTTTTTGCCTTGGAAAAGTACATTACTTCTATGAACTGTGTAAGGTTGCACATTTGCATTTCATTTATGCAGTGTACACATCTACATCAGTGTATGTGCGGAAGTACTACACATAGTATTTGCACAGGAATCCTTGTATCTTGTCTAGATATGTGTTTTCTGTGACAGAATACATTTCTGCACTGTAAAGCCACATGTAGTCTTGTGCAAATGAATTTCCCTTATTAGAGTGCTGAAGAATGGATAGTTCTTATCTGCAGTAGCCCTGTAGTCTTACAGAGTTGAGAAAAAAAATGCTGAAAGGAGTTTGTTTTTGCAGGTAGCACCAAGGATGCAGAGATTTAAATGCCCCGCTTTCAGAGTTTGGAAGGCTAAAAGGATGCCTGTTTAAGAAAAAACTTGAAGAAATCTAAATTCTTTTTAAAAAGTTTGGAATCTTAAAAGGATTAAATACATTATTTTGTGGCAAATATCAGTTAACTCTGGTGTCTCCAATTAGTATTTTAATATCTTCCTAAATAGAATAATAACACTGCCATGTATGAATCAAATGGGCTGGTTTGTAGAAGTCACAATATTAAACGAAAACAGTGGTACTGTCAGCAGTTTATTTGAGCCCTTTACAAACCACAGAAAGGCTGCTGAATTACAGTTAAAAGAAGTTAATTAATGAGTCTCCCACATGTGTTTAAATATGTGCTACTTGTAGTTTTCTGCCACCATTCTCAGATCAGTCACTTTCTTTATCAATTGTTGGAATTTAGCTAGCAATTTTATTTGAAAGGGACACCCAGAGTGCAGTCTTCAGTGTTCGAGAATCTGCCAGTTGTCTTGTTCAGGTGTCCCCAAATATACAAGGAAATAGGTTTTTCAAGCCTTATAACTCATTATGAAACAAATGCACTTTGATCTCCAAGTCTCCCCCTCCTCCTTTTTTCCCATAAGGAATGTCACTGTCAGCAGGATCCTCTCCCCTTCATTCCCCTAAAATTACTCCTCACACGTCTCCTGCTCCTAGACGAAGAAGTCATACACCAAACCCAGCAAATTATATGGTGCCTACTAGTGCCTCTACGCCAGTTACTAATGCTGTCTCCCAGCCCTCTGCTGCTGGCCAAGTGATTCAGAAGGAAACGGTGGGTGGCACAACCTATTTCTACACTGACACAACTCCAGCACCTCTAACTGGAATGGTAAGATTTTTAGTTTTATTTATTACTTCATGTGTCAATAGATACTGTTATTCAGTGTAATATCACACCACAACATAAACAGGATTGAAACATGGCTATTAAACTTGGCTGCCACCCCCAATTTTAGTTTAAATTAGCCTTTTTAATTTCTGAAATTATCTTATGGCATGTACAGGGCTCTACAGGGGAAATGATGGTTGCATGTGGATATTTCAGTAAACCAGGGATTACCTAGATGTGTTCCCATCACAGTAACCTTATTTTATTGTGACATTTGAATCCACTCATTGTAACTTCCTCCTGTAATGTTCTGTTTGCAGTTCTTGCTTCCAAGAGCAACCTGGAGGAAGCCATAAGTCAATGGTATTATGACTTATGTACAGAATTCAGAATACAGAATAGGTTCAATTCCTATCATAGTTTGACTATCTCTGACATCAAGAAACAGTCTCCTCCTGAGACATTGGGAAATGGCTGCTAGTTGGTGCTAAACAGTGCTAAACAAGATGAGCAGTGTTCATACTTAGGAAAGCTGGCTCAATCTTTTCAAAATTACATATAATAAAGCTGCCATAGGAAGTCTAAATAAATATGGGAACTGATTCTTCATTCATGAGCTGAAGAACACAGAGACCTACATGATTTTGGAAGCCATGTTATAGTGGCTGTGGCGATACATGTCACATTACATGTATACTTCTATTTTAGGAAAACCAAGCCTGTCTCCTGTCATGGCAGATGAATGTCTAGATTGGATACATAAGAATAATTCATAGCAGAATCCAATGAACTATGCCACTACCTTGCTTCCAAATTTTGACATCACAATAGTGGCAAAACATAGTATGTTTCTTTTGAAATAATGCATTGTTTACATGTTGAATCAAATTTCCAGAAGAACTTGTTTTAATGTTAGAAGTAAGAATTGTGCTCTTTGTGCATCACTGGTGTGTCACCAAAATGTAGTTGCTATAAGAAGGAAAATCTCTGCTTTTCCCAATGTTGAAATTCAGGGGATGTGTAGCCATGTAAGTCTGTTTCCTACCTCTTTTGAAAGCCTGTAAAAATGAAAATCCTACATAAAAATAAAATAAAGAGATTAATTATTATATGTGCTTCTCTACGGGGTCTCACTGATGGTATGCCACACCAAAAAGATTCATTCTCTAGTTGTCATCAAATCTTCTGAATGTGGGCCCCCCTGAAAATCGTTGCAGGACATATCTATCTAGGCAGGTTTATGTGGGGCTATACAGTCTTGAGTTTTCATTTTTCAGGAGCATTGGGACACATCAGATTCTATCTGCATTTCAGATTGTTTTTTTCTCTTGCTGTTCCCCTGTTATTATTTCTTCTCAGCTTAGCTTTTCAAACTTTGTTAATTCTGGTTCTTCTTGTACTTCCAATCAAAAGTTGATAACATTCCTATGTTTGCAATATGCATGCCAAAATGATTTTTCAAAACAAAAATGAACTGCTTAAGGAAGCTAGATTCTATGACAACAAAGATGCTGTGTTTAGTGAAAATGAGCTATCTGTGATGGAAGATTTAAGTATCTGATCCAACAGGATTCTTCTTACATTTGCATTTACTAGTAGCCACCATCCCAGAATGATACAAACACACCACCTTTTCAGTATTAGATCACTGCTTCTTAAACTGTGGGTCCTGACCCCAAATGGGGCCTGCTTAGTTCAATGTTGAGGTTGCAGAACATTTGGCAACAGTAAAAGGTTTCTGGGCCCTCTGGTGCTGCAGCGGTTTAAACTGCTGAGCTGCTAAACTTGTTGACTGAAAGGTTGGCAGTCTGAATCTTGGGAGTGGGGTGAGCTCCTGCTGTTAGGCCCAGCGTTTGCCAACCTAGCAATTCGAAAACATGCAAATGTGAGTAGATCAATAGGTACTGCTTCTGCGGGAAGGTAATGGTGCTCCATGCGGTTATCCTGGCCACATGACCTTGGAGGCGTCTACGGACAATGCCGGCTCTTTGGCTTAGAAACAGATGAGCACCACCCCCCAGAGTCAGACAGGACTAGGCTTAATGTCAGGGGAAACCTTTACCTTTACTAAAAGGTTTCTGAATCACCACCTACTGGCTGTTTTAGACATTACACAAATCTTTTAGTAACAATATGCAGTGTAGCCGTGGATTTTGCAGAAAATGCTTCCTCTGTACTTCATAAAAGGGGGAAATCAGCCTGCTTAGCAAGTTTTGCAAATGCTGATTTATTAGTAAATGTTTACATTTTATACCTATTTTATATACTTATATATCTAGGGTCATGAAAAATTTCTCAAATGGAAAGGGATGACAAGTGGAAAAAGTTTAAGAACCCTTGTATTAACTATTAGATATGTCTTTTTGGTGTTACACCAGAAAGATTTGACACTGTTCTAAATATCCAATTCGTGAAATAGCTTGTGTCTTTTTTTTCCTCATAGGTATTCCCAAGTTATCACATTTATCCTCCAACTGCACCTCATGTTGCTTACATGCAGCCAAAAGCTAATGCACCTTCCTTCTTCATGGCAGATGAACTCAGACAAGTAGGTTTTTAAAGATAATAATATAACTTAATGTTATTCTTAAAATATTTGTACTGCTTTTGTACTTAAACAGTGCAAAAGTTGTGTACAACATTGCATTGTCAAAAATAATTCCAGTTACTGAGAAAGTTAATAAGTAAAACAAGTATGCTACAACATAAACGATTGAGTTTGAAATAGTCTGTTATTGTCTTAGATTGCAATCTGACACACACTTACCAGGGAAGTCCAAATGGTTTGCTTATTTCATTGGAAGTGTTGTAGGATTGCACGGTTAAGCATATCATATCTTAAAACTGTGTTATAATACCATGTATGCCTTAGTATGCTTATTTATTATGTGTTCTTTATAGGGTAGCATATTTGAGAAGGAACATGTTGGAATGTACAGGAATTAGTACAATTTGGGAGTGCGCATCACAACTGAAGTGCTGCGGTCAGGTTTAGCAGAGCCCTCAGTTCCTTCCCTCTCTCCTATGGTGTTTTATCCCGTCCTTTCCTTGAGTCAGGTAGGAACAGCAGCAGCAAACATGCAATCTATCAACAGGCAATGCTGTGGTGCCCAGGTAGTTGTAGCTGGCATTTTGGATGAAGGACAGTATTGGCTTGGGGTTGTTTTCAGGTTTTGCTGTTGTACCCCGATGCCAGGCTGGCCAGCATATTATGTAGGTTTCAGTCAGGTCACTGAAGTAACTGGCTGAATTTGAATACAAATGGTTTGGATGTAAATTATCAGTGGCATTTTGGTTGCAAAGTCTTTCTGCCATTATTCACCCTGAATGGTTTTTATACAGCCGCCTTATGGCAGAAGTCTATGCAAAATCAGTATTCTCAATGGGTTCATCATGGACTGCATATCTCCACCATTAAATGTCTAGCAAGTCTGCTGCCCCAATGACACAGTGGTAGCATGTGATTACTCTATGTTTTTTGTGAACTTTCCTGCCAAGTGACATTTTAAAAGCTGTTTTGTTGTGAAATAAATGCAGCAGGATTACAAGAAAAGCCAGTAAAACCCACATTGAGCAAAGCAACTGTGAAGGAGTTTTTATCTTCATTGTACTCTTCCATGTTTAATAAAAATCAGGAAAATGCAAAAAGCATAGTATAATCTTGCAAATAGAGTTACTTTGAGGCTGGGAAGACTGGTTTTCTAGCTGTGTGAGACTTCACTTCCCATTTGCCCCATGCAAGGTTTCCAGTAGCAGGGGATTATGGGAAATGAAAACATCTGGGAAGCCCTCATTATTCCTTTACTCAGAAGATCTAGTACAAGAGGAACAGAGCGCATACATAGGTCATTGTATGTGGTTTCAAAGCAAGTTAAATACTAGATCTAATTAATTGCAGAATTGTTTGGTAGGAATAATTCATCAGGAAGCCACCCTAGACACAGAAGAGTTGACCGTATTTATGGGATCTTTTTAAGTCTGCTCTTCCAACTATATCCTGAGAAATATATTCCTTAGACAAGGCTAACTTTAGATGTGCTTCTGCTTGATAATCTGAGGGCTTTTTGCAAAACTGCTGTCATGACTTGCTGTAGAAGAGTATTTTAATAAAGCAAGTTAGATTTTCATAAATCTGTTTGTAAAAATGAAAATTATGTTCATTATAGGAGCTGATCAACAGACATTTAATTACAATGGCTCAGATAGATCAAGCAGATATGCCTGGTAAGTAAACTAGCACTCCAAATTTAAATTGCATTTTTGAAGTTTTATTTTGCTTGCTTTCAGCTTTATAATTGTAAGAAAATTAAAAGCATAATGAAAAGAAAAAAATGTATATGTGAGGTCAAGTGTTAAATTGGAATCTATCTAATATTTCTTCTTTGTAGTAAGGATTGTATTATTTTGTTTGTCACTAACTCTTGCCTTCCTTTTTCCTTTATGTCTTTGTATGTGATTCAGACTTTGTATTCTTCTTCTATCTTAGCTCTTTAAAGTGTTTGATTTCACTAATGGTACAAAATTAGATTATCTACAATGTGTTTGGCTTCTAGCCCAGGAGTGTTGCTATTTATTAAATACTGCTTTTACAGCCCTGCATATAGTCTCTATGTATTTACACAGTTTCTTTGGTTATATCCATGTGGTGGATTTTGAGGTCAGAATGTGAGGCATTTAATTGTGTGGATCCAAGATTATTAAGCCACACAGCAACTGTGTTAACATTGGCTAATTCAAAATGCTGCCTCAGAGTTTCATAGGAGTTAACATGAATGGCACAAAGATGTGGAAAGGATACTGTTGCTGTGTACTTAACATACAAAACTGCATGTCAGTGTAATCTAGATGATCCTCAAATCATCTGCAGAACTTTCCAATTAATTGGGTGATTATTTAGGACAGTATGTATGAGCAGTATATTTAAATGCTCAAATCCTAATCAAGGGGATATTTCTGAGATACAGCGGTTTTTTCCACTAAGTAAAATAACTTGAAACTTAAAAAAAAAGTCAGTGAGCAGACAAGTTCTTATCATAACTTTATTGGGTACAAAACATACCATCTCCATGTCTGTAGCAGGACATTGGACTATGATGTCCTCTATGTAGCATAGCTTAGGCCAGTTTCAGAAATGGAGTGGAAAAAAGGAAGGGTCAAAACAAAAAATTTCAAAGCATTTGCACCAGAAATGCCTTTCTCTGAATTGCAACTCTGTTTGTAAGAGTTGAATGTTTTTTTAAAAAACCCACTCAGTATCACATGTAGCACAACTAAGACACCTCTCAGGTTTAAGAGCAAAATTACATTTTTTGTTTTTTAGCCACCATGTTCTTCAGATTTTTGAAGGTTGGAATTGTATTTTTCTCTGTGGCAAAGAATATGCCTGTTGAATCTTTATAATTCAGTAAAAAATCTGTTTGCCATTGAAGTGCAACTTTAAATCTTATTCTTGAACCAAGTACATAATGGAAAGGGCTGCCAATCAGTCAAATAATAAGTAAGTTTTGGTTGGAGGTGGGCCTCTTCCCTGTTCTGCAAAACTGCCCCAAGTGGCCATCTTTAACCTTCCTGAAATACTTAGGTTCCCAAGGTCACTGAGACATTTAGAACAAGAAGCTGAACACTGAAATGGCAATTGTGGTGGGTGTCTTCTTCATATTCTCAGTCTTTTATTGAAAGAGTGGGAAGAGGCAACAGGTATGACATAATGCCAGTGGAAGGTGAGGCAGGACAGGGAGGAAAGATCCAGTTGTAGTGAGTCTCCACAAAAAAGGTTCTTTCAGGTCTCTTTTGTTCTGGTTCAGTACATCAGGGATCTACAAGTCAATGAGTAGAATAAGTACAACTAATTCAGAAGACACAGCACAATAAAAACTTGCTCAAATATCCTATGATAATTTCAGCTATATCTGAACTTTGATGTTTATGGTTCTTGTGCTAAAGTTCTCTCTTCACAATTAACTATGATCAAGTACTCCTTTTTGTGCCAACTCTATCCAATAGATAATTAGAATCTTAGGCATTTGCACTAATATGTTTGTTTCTAATGTGGAACACCTGTCTTTCCTATGAGAAATGTATGTATTACAAGGAAGCTTTTTATATGATTTTCAGTGGTGTCATCAAAAAGATGCGACTTTAAGTCTTTCAGTCTAAACACTGTTAGTTTTGGTGTCTGATTGATCTTATCTATCTATTATAACTGCTTTCTTCCTAATTTTAAGTAGTGTCTAATATATTTCTGTAAATCGGTTTAGCTGTCCCAACAGAAGTTGACAGCTACCACAGCCTTTTCCCTTTAGAACCACTGCCACCACCCAATCGGATACAGAAAACAAGCAACTTTGGGTATATAACATCATGCTACAAAGCTGTAAATAGCAAAGATGATCTGCCATATTGCCTTCGGAGGATACATGGTGAGGGAAATGCTAAGTTGTCATCTTTTAAAAATTTCAGTGCTACCAGTTCTTAAGTCTAAAACATTTGTTCTTTTCTGTGTATCAATCACAAATTGGATTTCAAACAATTTGTTTAAATTAAGGAATATAAATTTGGCCCAATTAACAATCCATGGAGTTTGTTATGTACAAATAAATACATTTGTTTTGGTGTCTCTCTGTTGGTGGCAGCTCAGTATTTTGAAACTAATGTGGAAATTCAGTTGGAAGAATGAGAATTCTCAAAGTGTATTTTTCTTCATGTCCTCAGGTTTTCGTCTTGTTAACACAAAGTGCATGGTGTTGGTTGATATGTGGAAAAAAATCCAACACTCAAATATTGTAACATTGCGGGAAGTATTCACCACTAAAGCATTTGGAGAGCATTGTAAGTTCCTCATTTTAAGATTTTAACCAATTTTATTGGAAGATTTGCATCAATTGCATACCTAATTCTCACCTCGGACTCTTTTTGAAAAGCTCTTGTGTTTGCATACGACTTCCATGCTGGAGGAGAGACTATGATGAGCAGACACTTCAATGATCCTAGTGCTGATGCCTATTTCACGAAAAGGAAGTGGGGTAAGGCCAGCAAATGAGACCCGTGACCCTTTTTCAGTAGAGCAAAATGAGCAATGATGTCTGTTCATCTCAAATAGTTTGTTTTATAATATATGATGCATTCATATTGGAGTGAAAGTAATGTTTGTGTTAATGAAAATGTCCAATTTTAGATGAGTATCTAGTATACTCTTTTAAAGAAATACTCATCTTAAAAAAGTATCTAGTATACTCATCTAAATCTTTTTGAGTCCAAATACCTTTTCTGCATTTTTCTGTCTTATTTCTCCTGGGCTTTTTTATTGCTGTGTGTATTATATGCTTGTATGGTAATTTCTCAGCATTCGGTATGTATGTAAGAAACTACTCTTTTCCATGTTAGATTCTGTATTGCATAGCCCAGTGTATATGAAAACAGCACTGAGTGTGCGGTAAAAGTGGAGACACAATGGGCCCTTGGTGTCTTCAGGGGTTTGTTTCCACAACACCCCTTGGATACCAGAATCCATGAACACTCAAGTCCCATAGTATCCAATTACATAGTAAACTGGTGCCTCTTATATGACATGCCAAAACCAAGATTTCCTTTTGGGAGGTGGGAACAGTGGAATATTTTAACTGTTGAATCTGCAGATACAGAATCCATGGATATGGAAGGTCAGTTATATTGGTATTTTTGTTGTCACATTATTTATAGCATACTGATGTAAAAGTAAGATATGAATGAAAAATCCTCTGGGTTTTACAGAAGACCAATCAGCACTATCCCTCATGTACTAGCTTCTAAGTCAGGAATGTCCTGCTGCCCATTATTTATTATCCATTGACTCTTCTCAGGTTTTTTTGTCCTCCCTTCACAGTGCTTATATTGCTAGATCTAACATATTTAATATTTATTTATACCCTGCTTTTTCTCTCCCCAAAGGAGACTCAAAGTGGCTGACATTAAAATCATTTCAATACAGTTTAAAAGTCCACAAATATACAGATTTAAACATCAGTGATACGAATACTAAAAATTGTCTCTTGTCTTAAACAATTTTCCTTTATATTATTTCATCTACTTTTTTCTCTTTCCAGTCCTTCTATTTCTTTGCTTCTGATTCTTCTTTAAAAAGGAAAAGACCAAATAAATGCCTTTTCCTTTTTATTCCTCTTTCAGTAAGAGATCAAGGCAGAGAAAACAAATTTAGCCAAAGTAAAAAAAATGTTACTACTGTACTTAAATAGCTTGCAATTAGAAAATACCAAGCAGTATTGTTGCAATGCTAAAATATAGACAAAAATTCCAGTAATATTTTTTGAACTAAGGATGACGCTTAGGGATACAAAAATCTTTCACTTTCTTTTTAAAATATACTGTGCCGTGTATTTGCCACTGCTTGCATTCTGTAATTGGCATTTAGCAGCTCATTGTCATATTTTAAGAAGAAGCATTTTATTCGTGTAGTGCATATACTATGTTCAAGGATGTCAGATTTAACTTTTGATTCTTCTAAGTAAAATTGATAATTGCCAGTTGGAAGAAGACAGATTTGGCAATATGGCTGTTTATAGATGTGTTGTACTGTCACAGTGTGGTTAGTTGTTTTTGTTTTACTATGTCATTTGTTAATATATCTGAATTGTCAAGGATGTAGTATAAAGTTTTATTTGAAGAGATGAATCAAGGCATAGTAAGTTTGGTTTATTTCTGTACCTGAACACCTGTAAACTGTTTCATTCTCGAACAGAATTCTTTCTTACTTATCTGTGTTTCTTTTTAGGGGCATATAATAAATGTTGGGTTTAAAGAAAAAACCAATTTGACATATGCTCAGCAAAAGCTGTATTTCAGTAGTATTGCTATGTGAGCACAAAAGAAACCCAGTGGAGTTCTTGCTGTCCTAATTAATAGTTTTGTTTTTCTTTAAATGAAGCAGCCATAACCATACTAAAGAAAGAAGAACATTGCTGTCATCTGCCATCAAATTGTCTTTGGCTTATGGCAACCTTGGGAATGAGAGACCTGTGAAACATGCTCCTATTAATAGACATGCTGCGGCCTTACAAATTTAGGGCTATGAATAATCTAGGTTGTGAGATCAAAAGATCCAAAAAAATTACAGTTTTTCTTGTATTTTTCTTCAGCTATAGGCAAGAGCAGAAATACAAATAATTACCATTAAAAGACAATGTAATTGACCATTCACATAAAGAGTAGCTAGCATGCACATCATACATAAGTAGAATTTTATGAAATACTCATTGTGCTACACACTTCTAAGGAATTTAACATTTTCACCATCGTCTCAGTACATTTTTGTAAAATGTGTGTGACTTGGAAGAGAATGAGGAAAAGAAGTAAAAAAGGAAGGACATAAGAAATAAAGTGTTAGATAGATTGTAGAGCATGCATGGGAAAACTCTTTTGCCCTCTGGCCACATTGCAGGCTGGACCAGGGGGAAGTGAGGTCACACGCTGGGCCAGGCTGGGTGGGGAGGGAGGGGGTTGGGGCCCTGCCTTTCAGCAGAGAGGAGGATTTGGCACACAGTTGCCCAGGGGGGCCTCTTTGTAGGAGTACATGGTGGCCCACAGAGGAGGATGTATGACTGAGCAGGACCTCCTCTTGACAAAAGGACGCTGCGTGCTCCTGCCGAGAGGAGAGTGCTGGACCAGAGAGAGCCCAAGGGCCTGGGAGGGGAGGGGCCCTCCTCTCAGCAGAGCCGCCCTCCTGCGGAGAGGAGGATTCGACACACAGCTGCCCAGGGCTCTTGGGAGAGCCCTGGGCAGCTGCATGTCCTTATAGGGCCCTCCTCTCTGCAAGAGGATGTAGTGTCTCGCTGCGTCTTCATGTGGAGAGGAGGATTTGAGAGGAGGGTGGAAGGGAACCTATCCAGCCCACGGGTCTTAGTTTGCCCAGCCTATTGTGGAGCCTATAACTTATTTTGCTGTTTATTAGCAGGACATGACTGTTATATTCAGAATTGTGAATACTGATAATTGACTGCCTTTATTTCATGCTAGTACAACATTATCTGGAATTCTGTACAAAATGATGTAATTTGAGGTAATGTTACTCTGAGACACATAGCCTTATCTCAGAAGCAGCAGAAGAAAATGCTCATCAGTCAGCTCCAATACACTAAAAGAAAGAGGCTTGGAAACCTGCTCCAAGATGCTGTGCTTGCCTTATGATGGGATGGGAGCAAACAGTGTCTCCAGTCACTGCTGTTGATGGCTTTGAAGTATATTTCTAAATATACATCCTGTAGATTTGTCTGCAAGCTGTGCCACAGTAGGCTGCATGTGCCCTGATTCTCTTTTCTCCCTATAGTACAGAAACAACTTGAAAACTTGAAAGAATGTTTCTTGGGAACTACCACATTTTTTCCTCCAAGACTATCCTTTTTTAAAAAACAAACTCATGGAAATACTCAATACAGCCAAACTGACCCTTTGCCCAGAAATAACCTCTGTGCAATTAGACCTCCACATTTGAGGTTTTGACTATGACACATTGAATTATTCAAGGAATTCATTAAAATGTTTTCACAAATTCCATTCTCATTTTCTGTTGGAAGGACCTAGAAAGTCCTAGTGAGGTGTTCTCTCAGATAAAAAAACCAAATATTGAGATTTATACAATATAAATAGACAAGAAACACAATAAAAATAGCACTTCGTTTATTCACTTTAATGCGGGTCTTGTGCCCCTGAGCCCATCGAATATGGAGGGCTGATTATACATTGTTTTCAAATTTATTATAATTATGCATTGAGAAAAAGCATTTTCAACTATGCACAGAAGTAAAAACTGTTAATAAACTGTTGTGCAAATCATCCTCTACTATCTACTATAATGTTTGCACTATAAGTTAACTTCTGTTTATTAGCTCTTGCATTAATCCTTCTGTCCAAATGTTTTTTAAACCTGGGGGAGCTGTTTGTAGAAAGAGATCCTTTGTGAGAATATTGCTACATTCATCTTCCACACCATGTTCGTGATAATATAAACATCTCCATTTTTGTGGGTGTCCTCCCATGACTTCCATGAAAATAGAGAGAGGACTGATTGTAATCAGCTTCATTCTCAGTTCTGTTAATGAAGAGACTCCCAAATGTTAGCCCTTCCCTCCAAAGCTTTTTTTGTATTAACCTTATTCTTGAAAAATCTTGTAAATACTAAAGTTAATGATAGCTATAATGTATTAAGTTTGTCAGTTTTGAATATATTGCCTGAACTGAATAATTGTCTCAGTAAAGACAATTTCGTTTCAAAGCTCTAAAATGTTTTTGGCAAATGAAGCAAAGGCAGTAGGAAGAAAAATGTGCAGCTTTCCAGATAAGTTGACTCATATGTTTGTAACACATTGGGAAACAGACAATATACAGGCGGTTCCTAAGTTACAAATAAGATAGGTTCTGTAGATTTATTCCTAAGTTGAACTTGTATGTCGGAAAAGGTACATATTTTAAGTGTAACACCAGGAGTTGACATGCCTGTGATGTTTGTTTTGCTTTCTGTGCACCTGTTCAGAATATTTCACCTCATTTTCTGTCCCTTTGATCATTGGATTTTGAAAAAAAATGGCTTGGTGATAAAGCTTCAGTTGAGACACCTTTTCCCATGATAACTTTTTCAGCAGTGAATTTCCCCCTTGTTGTAGATTTCTCTCACTATTGTCTCACCCCTGTTCATAACTATGAGTAATCTATAAGTCAGATGTTTGTAACTCGGGAACTGCCTGTGTATTCAATCCACTGCCAAAGAAGTGGCCATTGCAACGCCTTTGGCAGTTAGTTTTCTATATATTGGTTATGCTAAAGGAAGAGATATCAAAGCCTCATTTAGTCTATTAAAATGCCATATTTTTATAATGTGTGTTAACTTTAAAATGCCCGTGCACTTAAAAATACGTGTCAATTGTGGTAAGTGGTATTCGTATTTTTTCAAGGGATAAATTATTATTGGTTGTACTGTTATTGACTATAACAATAAATTCACCTTTTATATTCAGTTGGAAAGTTATTCTTATCGCAGCTGTTTTAGATTTGCAGTGAAATAATATTAACTTAAGCTTTTGTTTAACTAGCCTTTTTTTAAAAAAAAAAGTATTAACAAATGTGTTTAAACTTCAAAGTCTAGATTTAATTTCCTCTCTTAATTCTGCTAACAGGTCAGCATGATGGACCTCTGCCACGGCAACATGCTGGGTTGTTGCCAGAGTCTCTGATCTGGGCCTACATTGTGCAGCTCAGCTCTGCATTGCGGACCATTCATACAGCAGGATTGGCATGTCGGGTGATGGACCCCACAAAGATTCTGGTAACTGGCAAAACAAGGTAGCATATTTTGGCATTATATTACTGGCAGCCAAGGCATATTTGTTGTGGAGGTTTAGAGTGGTATTTCATAATTTGACTTAGGACAGCCATTAAAGATTAGTTGTTTGTTAGCAACTGTTTGCTGTACTTCACTTAGTAATGTCATCTTAAATTGTTTTAAAGTTATCTTTTAATTTGTTTCTGTTTCAGTTGTTGGTCTTTTTTCTGTTTGAATTGTATTATTTTATTATAGTACAGTGGCATATGCTAAGTCCCATCTTTTGGAGAAAGGAAGATCTAAATCCAGTGCTGGTAGTGCTAGTGATGATAATGACAAAAATCTAGTACTAGCTTGAACATTAACTTGAGCTGAAAAAGGACTGCAAGGCTGTGATCATTTCTTTAGCTTCAGAGTTATTATTGAAAATAGGCCTAATACTATACCCCACACTGTACAATAAACTTTATATTGACTTAATATTCATATCGAAATACAGTAATTAAAATCAAAGAAAGACAAATAAAGACAAATTTAAGTTAATGTAACACAGATTTACTGTATTATAAAATTTGATTTGATTTTAATTTTGTTTAAAGTATTACTACTTTGATTTTGCTAGTTGTTTGAGAGTTCTGTTTAATTGAGAATCTACTGTATATACACTGTTGCTTGTGTTTGTGAATATTCTCCATTCAACTTAAAAGCATTGCAGCAAAGATTGTTTGTGTGAGAGTGTGCGTGTGTGTACATCCTCACAATTTGATAAACACTTGCCATTAATATCTGTAATGTAGCTCTGGGTGTTACACAGTGAGTTGAGCAGGAACAGAGAAGATTTTAATGTTTCTGTCTTTCAGATTGCGGGTGAACTGTGTTGGAGTCTTTGACGTGTTAACATTTGATAACAGCCAAACCAATCCCCTGGCCCTAATGGCTCAGTATCAGGTAAGAGAGCAGCAATCTCTCWCTTTACACTATATTAATTTATTTCATATTAATCATTGATTATCTTGAACAAAAAAATGCATTTGAACTATTTTTTGAAGTCTTCYCCCCCCCCCCCCCTTTAAAACTACTTGTCTTCGAATGCTAGGGAGTCCTTGAGGTTGTATGAGAGGCATGGGTTTTTCTTTCCCCACCTGTGTTATTTGGGAAGAACAAGAATAAATAAGGGGCTGCTAGACCTTATTGTAGTTCAAATTGACAGGAAGAAAAATATCTCTGGGCTGCATTAAGAACAAAACAGGTGAAGTAGGAGGCACAAAAGTTGATTTTCATTTTCTCTCCTTCCCTAGCAGCCCCCAAGCCTTCCGAGAATATCTCTTGGATTTGGCAAACTTATGTTCAATCGGATGAGCTGAGATTGGGAACTACAAAGATGAGATTGGGAACTACAAAGATGAGGCAAAACCCTTTCATGAGTCAAGTGGGAGGAACTTTGCCAATTTCTCAAGCGTCTGTGTCTTGTTTCTCAGCACCCCTGTTGTGTCACAGCTCACTCTTTTCAGAAGGGTCCAGGTTTCCAGAAAAGGCTTCAGTGATCTAGAGCACAGGGAAATCCCTTTCTGAGCACACTTTTTCTCTCACTCAACCCATTATGTGGGATAAGATAGCCACTATTTTGTTGTCTTGGAAATGGTTAATCTATTAGCCATTTCTCAGAAGGGCAGCAAGCATGCAGGTTTGCCAGAAAATCTGTTGGAGTTTCTCACTCATTTTCTGCTACTGAGGGAACGTCCCACCATCCAACCAACTAGTTTCCAATTGTTGGAAACTAACAAAACATGTATTGTACTTTACAGCAAAACTGCATGTTTTCCCCTTCATTTGCGAAACCTGTTGGCAGACAGGTGAGGGGGTATGTATGTACGTGTATGTTGGAATGCATGTTTTTGATGTTTGGTTTTAGGAATTGTTTGAAAACGGGGCCAGTTATTTCTCTGAAGCATTTAGTTTAACAAGCTAATCCTTGTTTTAAAACCAGTAACTAAAGTGCAACGGGTTCTATTTTTTTAAAAAAAACATTTGTTTTGAATGATGTGGTCTCATTCGAAGTCTTCATGTGCACTAAAACATTTGCATGAATGTGCTCTTGGTATTTTCCTTTTTATGAATGTTGCAGTTTACCCATAGCTAGTTGGAAGAAATAGTGTTCTGAAAAAATACATTTATACCAAGTGTGTGAGGTTTCAAAATGATGTGTTGATTAAGTGAGCTCACTGCGCATACAAAATCTGTACCTTGCATTAAAAAGCGTTGCACAAACCTGTAGAAGTTTTAAAATTAGATGTGTATAGTAAAAAAAGCTGATGTTTTGTTCTTTTCTAAATTTGTCCCTTCATGCCACTCATCAAATTTGAACAACTCGAATATTAGGAAAAAAAAAACTAAATTAAATTCCTTTTTGCTTGCCCTCTCTGTCTTTATCCTCCTTTTAACAATGAACCTGTTAGTTGTATGCCTCTCAATTTTAAAGTTGGATGGAGTCACACAGAAACAAGATAACTGTTTCTATCTCATTTAGATGCAGGCAAATTAAAGTGTAATTGCTTTCAACTTAAAAATAGTTTTCATAAAACTTGAAACTCCAGCCTGTTCTGTCTTTCCTGCACACGAGAAAAGTGTAGTGTCTCAAGAGATGGTTTCAACCTCCTTTCATGTTGTTTCTCTGCTACTTCCACTTAGGAGTTTGAACTTGCTTCACACTATAGGGTTAGCGTGTAGTTTCCTTCCCTTTTTCGGGCTGTTACCATTAAACAAAGTAAACACATATTGACCAAGGTAATTACAAATTTAAAGGCAGCTGCTTTGAATTTCTTGACTTCCCACTTCTGTCTGTATTCTGTAAGGGAGATTAAAGTGAAAATGTAATTAGCTGCAGGGTGATACACAATCAGCATTAATACATTATTTTTTCCCATAGCCAGTGAGCACTTCAATAACATCTTGATTTTCATGTTCATGCTGCTCATTTAAATTGAATGTCAACATCACACACATACTTAAAAGTGTTTTTCTTTCTCTTGTCCGATCTCATTATACCATTTCCTAATTGAGCAAATTAGGCCTTTTAAAGCCTGTGATATACTCTTCTCAATATAATGGGGTTCAAAATATGATAGTTGCCTTAAATTGTTATTATTTATTTCATTGTTCTGCTTTATGAATGCTGCTGCCTCGTGTAGGCAGTTTAAGGGACATAATGTATTTAGCAGAGGACAAATAACCACACTGGGTCTGAAAATTATTTTACAGGAATCAGTGTTGATCATTGGTTATAGTTGTGTTATATGCTGTGTGTTTAGCAGGAAAAAGGTGGCATGGCCTCAGGTGACATGTTTGCATGGTGGAGGATATAGGTCTTCATGCATTGCAAGTGCTTTATAACTGATAGATAATGCTTACTGAGAAGTTACTGAAAGCTGATAAGGAAAACAATTCCCACAAGAAACTGAGTTGGGAAAGGGTTCTTAATGCAGCTGAACTTTGCTACACTATGTACTGTTCGTTAAACTAAATTACAGGGCCAAGTCTACTAGTTTATAATGACTTTTTCCATCTCAGTAATTAATTTATAGAACTTGTTCTTTTTTTTTGTAGCAAGCAGATTTGATCTCCCTGGGGAAGGTTGTGTTGGCCTTGGCTTGCAATTCTTTAGCAGGAATTCAGAGAGAAAATTTGCAGAAAGCGATGGAACTGGTGACAATCAACTATTCCTCTGATTTGAAGAATCTTATTTTGTGAGTTATTTGAAATGAATAGCAAATTCTATTTTTACTAGATTAAAATGTAACACACATTGAACATCACTTATCCAGAATCCCAAGATTTAAAATAGCTTAGATAGAGACACCTTTGCTTTCTGATGATTCAAAGGACACAAACTTTGTTTCATGCACAAAATTGTTTAAAAATATTGTATAAAATTACATTTAGGCTGTTTGTATAAGGCATATATGAAGCATGAATGAATTTCGTGTTTAGGCTTTGGTCCAACATTTCTCATTAAGTTACTTATTTGCAAGTGCATACATTTTAACACACACGTACACCCCCCACTGCCAAAAAATTGCTAAATCCAAAAGACCCAAAACATTTCAGATAAGAAATCATCAAACTGAAGTAGAATTGCTCATAGAATGCTCATGTGTGCATATGATGTACTTTAGCATGATTACAGTAACATCAAAATAACATTCATGTGATAGAAAACTTTGCAAATATTATATTGCAGAATTCTTGTCTATCCTGGATCGTGATCGTTTTAGGCAGCTGTAGGAGCAGATTTGTTCACCCACATAAATAAGAACACTGAGTTTCCCTTGCTTCATAACACATGGTATTCACCTCATTCAGCAGGACTCTTCCTCCTGCTTTAGCCCTCTCAGATCTGCTCCAGAAGTTTTCTAAATGTTTTGATATGGGGGATACATGGGGACGGGTGTTGCACAGAGGAAATGGTATGGGTTCCTCCTGGGTGTCCCCCCCCCCTCCATTCCAGAGGTAGGTAGACAGAATGGGATGCAACTAAATTTGTAAGTATTCTAGAATTCTGTTGAAACTGATTTTTGGCAGCATTTGTATGTACTATGCTTCCACAATGTAGATACAATATATTGGCAGCCATTACAGTAACATATTTCTCTTGAATAAGTATCATTTACATTAGACCTTGTAGTGAGATTAAATGGGGGAAATAATATATCTGGTTTTATGAAGAGAGAGTAGGACACAGTGAAACACAACCTTAAAAAGATTTAAATTGCATTCACATTTATCATAGTATTATAATACCATCTCAGAATCATTCTGCAGAAGTGCTGTGGTTACCATAACCGCAGTTGTGTTCAGATTAGTAACTGGCAAGAACAGTTGGCTCATTTTAGATAAAAATAGTGTAACATATTTTATCTAGCTCAGCATTTTATTTAGCTGAAAAAGTAAAAGAAATATGTGAAATGTTGCTGTTGCAGTAGAATCTGGATATGCTTGTGGAAAGTTGACATTACATTCTATTCAAGGCACTACACGTTTTTGTGATGAATCTGCAGAATCGTAATTTAGAATTGGGGCTTATTATAACATGGTTATTGCAACAGTTAGCAAGGTAGTAATTGCAGAATGATACTTAAATATATAATGTTATATCACATCATTCATTCCATGATACATAATGCAAATATGTTAATTATTCTTAATTGGCATAGCTGAAGTTGAAATATAGTTAATCTTCCATGTAACATTAAATATTCTTGCTTTATAGATGAATAAAATACATTTTATACTGACAGTGCTTTTCTTATTTAGAAGCCAGTTTTGTTGAACTGTCATATAAAATTGTTTTGGTAGATATTTGCTGACTGACCAAAACAGGCTTCGAAGTGTAAATGATATCATGCCTATGATTGGTGCAAGATTCTATACTCAGTTGGATGCTGCCCAAATGAGGAATGATGTAATAGAAGAAGATCTTGCAAAGGTAAATTATTATGTTCTGTCCAGTGTTGCATAATTCAGTTAGTAAACTGAAGCTGTCTTTCTGCATCTGTTAGCAAAACCTTTATGATAGATTTTACTCAGGATTTTCTCCCTAAAGACATACAACTTTAGGGAGAATCAAACCAAAAGGCTTGATTATCATCAGAAGCTTGTGCTTACTACATAAAGGATAGAATATAGAACACCTTTCATTTTTAGTAGTGATCAGATAATATTGCTCATTCACCATAGCAGATGTGTGAAGATACTACATAAGTATCTCTTTATTTATATTCAGTTCATGTTGTTCAGATTGCAGCTAAGACTGGATCTTGAAGGTATGATCCAATTCTATGTCTTTTCTGGTAATGCAGTCCTCTAAAAATGAGCGCAGACATACTACTTGGAAAATACAGAACTAAATTTATGATCTTTTCTAAAGCAAAACACACTAAAATATTCCCCACTCTCCCCTGGTCTTCTATGGCTTAGCCAGAAATGAAGAAGTATTGGTTGAATAGTTATTTTTAGGGTAAGAAGTTGATTAGAAAGGATCTCTTAACTTTGTAAAGAGATTAACTGCCAGGCTGGGAAATACTTTAGTCAGATGGATGAATCCTTTATTTATAAAGATAAAGAGATAATGTTTCTGGAAACTCATCTCGAGATCATGCTAGACACTTCAAACATTGACAAAATGGTTTTGGCTATCACTGGAGTTGTAGTGCTGAATTTCAAGCCAAACTTCCTAATAATAGGCTAGATAGAAGCAGCAGAAGGGTAGGACACGCATCAGGAAATTGTGGTAGACTGTAAAAACAGGACAATTTTTTTTTGGTCTTTTCCATTTTGCAAAGTCAAGTTTCAAGTTGAAAAGGTAAAACCTCAAATTGGGGAAAGAGCATATTCTAATAAAAAAGGGACTTCCCATTTATCTAATTATTTATTATTGATATATGTATTGTGGATTGTGTTTTTATGCTTTTAAACTGTATACTGTTGGTTGTTATAAATTGTTGTAAACCGCGTTGAGTCGCCGACTAGGCTGAGAAACGGCGGTATACAAGTATAGCAAATAAATAAATAAGTGAGAAATTTTGGTAAATGCTTCCAAATTTAAAGATTTTGGGGGTTCGTGCACAAAGTGCAATGTGTCGTTTCAAGTAGAAATCCCAAGTAGGGAGTAAAAGTAAGATGTGTCTGGTATAACTCATGGGGGAATAGCTAGGTATTTTCTGAGAAAGTGCGGTTAATATTTCTGAGGTAGGAAAAAGGGAGAGAAAAACTCAAGAGAAGACTTAAAGAACTATTACTGAAATTCCTAAGATTAACAAAGAGCAGAAAGGAAAAAAGAAAGAAAGACAGACAGACAGACAAAGAAGTGTTCGCCAAGCTACTGCTGGCAGAATTGCTAGGTACTAAGCACACTTAATGAGTTAGAAATAAAACAAGCTAGCTGTGATTTTAATTAGATTTCCCCCCAGCCTCCTAAGGTATATCCAGAGTCACTATTTTACCATTCAATTTTGCCCCCTTGTGTTGTATCTTTGTATGTACTAGTTCAACCTGTTTTAAGAGGTTGAAGAAACAGATCCATAATTTGTTGATATTCAACAGCCCTTCATTTCCCTGAAGGTTGCTCCATAATAATGCCTTGCATCTACTTTGGTCAAATGTTGTTCCATAATAATGCCTTGCATCTACTTTGGTCAAATCATAGAGATGGAAACTGTAGTCTTCCAATGCTTCAGTTATATGCTTCAGTTACTTACAGCCTTGTCCAAAAGCTTCAGGTGATTCAGAATGCAGCAACAAGGTTTTTGCCTAGTGCTCAAAGGCTGCAGTACACAATCCAACGTTATCTACACTCCATTGTCTCTTTATTTGCCTCTATACTGATACTTCCTGAAATCCTGAACGATTATGGGCTACGTTACCCTAGGGATTACTTCATCCTACATACACCTTCCAACATATTAAAACCAGGGTCATAGGCCTTTCTCTTTGAGCCAACTCAGGAGATCTAGGAAATGAACATGAGAGTTGAGCACTTTCCTGTGGTGGTCACTTTATCGTGGAATTGCACTTAAAATGCATAAGGCTCACAACATGTTCGTCTTTAGCTAGAAATTTAAGACACTTGCTTTTTTGAATAGTTTCTAATTGCTGCTAGATTTAATACATAATATTTATATTTGCTGCTCTTTGTGTATCTAAACATTGGTTGTATTATGTTCATTGCTTTTAGAACTGGTTAGTCGTACTTTTTGTTTGTCCCTGTGTTATTCAGTGACAGATGGTCAAAGTCATGCTGGGCTAGTGAGAACTCAAAATGGCCAAATCTCCTTTTCCTGTGTCCTACTGGGTTTGTGATTGAACTGTCATAATTTTGCTGCTAGCTGGGAAACAAGGAAATGCTAGGATCCTGTGGTTCCAAGCATCCCAGCATCCCCTAACAAGTCCTCTTTGGGTTTTTCTAAGTCAAAGTACCAATCCTGGAGATGCAAAGGTTACAGAGGTTTTCCCATTTGCCACAATGTGGACAGGGCACTCCATCTTCACCTCTGTTCACTGGGACATCTTCTCAGGGACAATTAGTTGACTCAGAATTAAGGGGGGGGGGGTACACACACTTTTTGAACTATATTTCCCAGAATTCCCTAGCTTTAGCATAGCCTTCTCACTTTTCCAAATTCTCATTAAATTTAAGGCCCTTTTAAATCATTGGGAAGTTCTTGATAACGCAGCCCAACAAAACATTTTTCTCTTTGTGTCTCTGTTTTTAGGCCTGTTCCCAGTGTTATTTGGGGCACTGATTCAGAAAATTGCATTGGATAGGCTGCATCCGCTCTAGTTTCTTAAATATTCTATTCTTTGGGCAAGCAGATGGTGACTGATATATAATATATATTTTGTATCTCAAAAACTGACAGGGGAAAACTAATGCCATTTTTGATATCAGCAGGTCAAATATACCCAGAAACAGGTCTAACATTTGAGATATCAAAATGTGTGTTGGCCAATGAAAGCACAGTTCACTAGAGACCATAGAATATGGTTTTTAAAAATAGCACATAACTGAATGAAGATAAAAACAGGTTTCAGCTTGTTCTACTAATTGCCGTATATTCCAGGGTACTACACTACTTTTTAGGCATGTAAAACCTTATAAAATTTTGAGGGTCGTCTAGTACCCCGGATATAAAATTAAAATAACAATAAAATTACTGGTAGACCTTTTGGTGTCCATGGGCTCCCCTCCTCCTCCGCTGCCTCCGCCTCCGCTGCCTCGGCTCATGGCAGCCTCCCAGGCAGGCTCCCCGTCCTTCCTCTCTTCCTGGCTTTCCGCGCTGGTCAGGCCACTCTCCTTCTTCCTGGCCAGGACTCACGAGAACCTCCTCTTCTCCCACAAGACAATGTGATCTCGCGGGAGAAGAGGCTCTTCTCACGAGTCCTGGCCAGGAAGAAGAAGAGCGGCCTGAGCAGAAGGGCTTTCCGTGCTGGTCAGGCTGCTCTCCTTCTTCCTGGCCAGGACTCGCGAGAACCTCCTCTTCTCCCACGAGACAATGTTGTCTTGTGGGAGAAGAGGAGGTTCTCGCGAGTCCTGGCCAGGAAGAAGGAGAGCGGCCTGACTAGCGCGGAAAGCCCTTCTGCTCTGGCCGCTCTCCTTCCTGGCCAGGCCATGAGAGAAGCACCTCTTCTCCTGCAAGACAACATTGTCTCGCAGGAAAAGAGGCGCTTCCCGCAAGGCTTGATGAGGCTGGGAGCCAGAGACACCATGACGGCAGAAAGAAGGAGAGCGGCCCGAGCAGCATGGGAGGCCCTTCTGGAGGTGGCGCAGGAAGCAGCCCAGAGGCCCAGGGGCAACCACACGGCAGGCCTAGAGGACAGAAAATGCGGAGTTGTCTTAAACGGCGAGTATGTCCCCAACTCTATATTTTGTGTGCTAAAGTTGGGGGGTCGTCTTATAGCCCCAGTCATGTAATACCCTGGAATATACAGTAAATGTAAGACATTTATATTTGGTTTTATGATTATGGTATGTGTCTATGTAAATGGTTGTTTTTGTGATTATGGTTTATAACCATGTCATTGTGAGCCAGTTTTTATTTTTCTCTTAATCTTGCCTTCTAGGAGGTTCAGAATGGAAGATTATTTCGACTTCTTGCAAAACTGGGAACAATCAATGAGAGGCCAGAGTAAGGGACCAAGCATTTTCTCCCTCACAGTGTTCTATCCAGGGGCACCACAAAGAGTCCAAATGTTCCCGTTTTATGAAACATAATGAAGCCTTTGAAAGATGGGTTTGGCCACTTTAGAATGGGCTAAGCTTCATGTTTTGCCACTCTAATGTGATTTTCCTGCTGCTTGGCAGGGGGTTGGACAGGTTGGCCCACAAGGTCTCTTCTAACTCCCTGATTCTGTGATTCTGGTCAGTTTTGTAGGACACAGGCCAGAACTTCCTTGTGCATGAATATAGATGTATTTGCTACTCATGGCTTAGATGGATGATGCCATCCTGGTTTGTGGCTTGTCTGGATGCAGAGAATAATTCGTGCAATATATGTTTCATAATAGATTTGACCATATTCTGACATATTTGAAAGACTTAACTTTAAAACTCCAAGCTGTTAGTAGTGCTTTTCTGGGAAGGTATTTCAGTTTTTTCTCCCAACAGCAGCAAATATCCTCCAAGTGCAGACAGTGCTACAATGCCAATTCTGGAAACTGGGAACAGTAGTTGATATTTATAGAGATTGCATTCTCCTGGACACTGTAAGTCTATCCATAATCACTAACAATGCAAAACAAAAAATAAAATAATACAGCATTTCATGCAGAGCATTGGAAGCTACACAAATTCACATGAAAACCTTATTCACCCGGTTTTCAAATCAATGAAATGATAATATTCAAAGAATGTCCAGTATAGTTTAACTTAACATACTTTTGGACCGATGAAGATTTTTTAACAGTTTAAACTCAATGACCTAAATGGATGATACTTTTTTGTTTTTTCTTAAATTGTGTGTTATGGAGGGTGGGGGAGTTGGTGTGAAGCTCAGGTATTACTTAACCTGAGATGATTGTGAACTCGTTCTCTTAATAGGAAACACAACTTTTCTTTTTTACAATAGATTTCAGAAGGACCCAACATGGTCAGAAACTGGAGACCGATACCTCCTGAAGCTCTTTAGGGATCATCTATTCCATCAGGTGACTGAAGCGGGTACTCCATGGATAGACCTCAGTCACATTATCTCTTGTCTTAACAAGGTAAATTGGAACTATTGTACAGGGTGTTTCTAAAAGATGGACATAAAAATTTACTTTTAGGAAGAAGCAATCTTGTTACAACTGACAAGGACAAGCAGTGTCTGGTTTAAGCTTTTTTTTAGTAATCCAGAACATCATCCTATTATTGTTCATTTAGTCATGACCTCAGCACCTCATTATACTTGTCTTTTCAAAGTAGATTTCTTTTTTTGTCAGGCAATTGCTGGTGCCTGGTGTTTTACTATTTTACTTTAGTTTTAATTGGAATGTGAGGAGGTCCTCTACATCTATAGATTCTGCACGAACAGATTCCAGTATTGTTGGCCTGAACCCCCCCCCCCCCCCCCCCCCCGAAAAAACCCTTTAATTTTGCCATTTAATACGAGGGACACATTTTACTATATCACTTATAGTACAGTATAATTGGATCCGGCACAGCCTATCCTTTTTAGTGTTAACGCAGTATTAATTTAAAAGTTGATATGTCAAATGAATACTTGTGGCATGCTAGAGGAGGAATGGGCAGCGTGCAAGTCAAATTACCACCCTGAGTCCTCACGGGGAGATATGACGGGATACAAAAAAAGATGTTGATGATGATTATTATTATATCCACTCAGACTTTCTATAGACCTGGGCAAATGGGTTTAGGATTGTGACTAAACGGCCCAATATGTTATATTCAGTTGAAAAAATGCCATATGTTGATATCTCTGAACATTAAATGCTTGAGACCATTATGTGTTGGTGTATAGTGAATTCCTTCTCAGATTTTAGTCTTTAAGGAGCAAAATGTTCCATGTAGCAAATATGCAATTACATTTTATTTTGTAGCCCTAGGTTTGCTTTAATATTAAAGCTAATCCCACTTACTGTATATACTCATGTATGAATTGACCTCATATGCAAATTGAGGATGTGTTTGCGGGCCAAAATTACATGACCCATGAATAAGTCAAGGGTACAACTTGCCGCAACAGGGCTCTTAGACATTCCCTGCCAGGATCGGTACTCTTTTTTTCACAAGACTGTGCTAGAAGGACTGCTTATTCCATCCAGGCATCATCTCCTGTACCTTCACAGGAGATTTAATGAGCCCTGTTGAGGCATGGGGAATGCATGCTTGCTTATGTGTGTGTATATTGCAGTTTCTTGTGCTACCTTTGAAAAAAAAACACCCGAGCTCTCCTCTCTTTGGTGGAAGATTTAAACAGTCCCACTGAGGTATGGGGAGGTGGGGGAGTCATTGTTTCTTTTATGCCCAGGTAGACAGCTTTCAGATAAAGATTTGTGTACAACTTGACCCAGGTTTTTAGGGTAAAAAAAATGGCATAAATATTTCAAAATATACACAAGAATATGTGGTATGTCATTTATAAAGTAATACACTCTTCAGTTGGGACTGTACTGTTCCATTAGTCACATCATTGACTACTTGCCTTAACTCTTCTTCCATATCAGAATATCTCTGTACATGGAAAGCATGTTCTTCAAGGATAAGCGTAAGCTTTCTGTGTGTATCACAGGGTAGAGAATTGGGGAAGAGTCCTAACATAAGAAAGATTGCTTATGTGTCTTATGAGATCATAGACACTCCCTCCCACAAGTGATTGTACAGTATGCTTTCAGAAGTGTATGGATTTTGTTGAAAATATGTTTTCCTTTTGTAGTTTGGAATATGTTTCCTGAGTCTCCGAGTCTCAAGTTGTGCCGCTATTATCAAAGCAGCACAACTTGCTCAGGGTTTTACAATGCACAGATGCACAGAAGATTGCTAGAGAATCTGTTAATCCCAGGCTGTTCCTTCTATACAATAGAAAAATAATGATAGTTCTTAGCAGAATGTTGTGAGGATGAAGGAAAGTGTTTATAGGCCTTTGTGTGCCAAAAAGACTTCAACACGCTATTATTACTTTTTGATAGCGAGTCCTGTGCCATCAATCTGCATCAGGTTTCCTGTGCTCTTCTTTCAGCTAGATGCTGGTGTGCCAGAAAAAATAAGCCTCATTTCCAGAGACGAGAAGAGTGTACTTGTGGTAACGTATAGCGACCTAAAACGCTGCTTTGAAAACACTTTTCAAGAACTGGTTGCAGCTGCAAACGGTCAGTTGTAGTACTTGCTGAAAGCATGCCGGACATTGCTGAGGAAAGGAACCAGTAGCAAATTGCACTACAACTGATTGTCATCATCTCATTTCACACTTTGGGAAACAAAACAGCAGGAGATGTGCTGCACTTCGGTCAGGTACACTGTTACTTGAAGGGAAGAATGATTTTGCTTACCCTTGAGCTCTGGCTGCCATTGGAGGCTTTATCTGTGAAAAATTTATTTTAAAAAAAGGAACACATCAGGGGCGTGATGTTCCTGCTTTTATTTTTTCCACTCGTATATGCACTAATTTTAATTTTTTAAGAAGACTTTCTGATCTCTGAAGTTTTGCCACATTGGATACTTACTAAGGGAATCTCTTTGCAAAGACATTTCTGGGATAAACTCTTTTTCTTTTGCTTTCTTTTCTCCCTCCCCCTTATTTTTTTTACCACCAAGGGTTTTATTCATTTTGATATTATTTGCACCCCAGAATGCTATAAAGGACCAGGTGAATAATTTCCTAAAAATTGTGTTCTGTAAATTAAAATGTAGCTTGTAACCTCTGTAAAACTGTGTCATATGCCACCCACTGTTAGGTTAACTAATCAAACCAGAAGATGCGTATTTAAAAATGAAGAAAAAAATCAAGTAAGATATTGTAGAGATGTCACATGTAAAAAAATCCCCCTTTATTTGGTCGAAGCACCATTTGAGATCTGTAACTTCAAGAGCATACCCAAATTCTCTAAACACAACCAGCGCCTTTTAAATAAAATACCTGTTTGTATATTTTCCTGCTAATCGATGCATTTACATTTATGCAATTTTTAATAGAATTTTTTAAAGAGAAATTGTGTTACAGGTCTGATGTTTCAGGAGTGTATTCTTTTAAGTTACTTATAGTATCCTTTTCGTTTTTGTATAAAGTTCTGTTCTTGGAACCACAGCTTTATTATGGTACTTTACACTGGATACAGATACAGAGACACTGTCCAGAAGATTAAGACACAGCAGTTGTCTGGCATCAAGAGCTTTTTGAAGTTTTATAGCCTGATTCTGGAGGAATTGATGGTATGCTGTGCCTTTGCAGTCACTGCTTTGCCCAAAGTAATATTACTTTTGATAATACCCAACGCATGAATATTCAGTCTTCAAGTCTGGATTTTTATTTTATTTTATCTTCTTATTTTGCTTTTTGCCCGCAACTAGTTTTCTGATACTGGACCCGCTGTTGTCTGCAAGCTTTGGGTATTCAAGGGAATTTGTAGTAGAACACCTCCACTTTGATACTGAAGACTGCCAAATAAGTAGGACTGTTTATTTCTTTGTTCTTTCTTAACAAACAGTAGTGAAGATTGTGTAAACCTGCATCTTTTTCCAGCACTGAATGTTTAAAAGCACTGGGTGCTCGCTATGAAGCAAACATGTGGAAACTCTCTTCAAAAGGTGTCGGACTGGCTCAAAGCACTTGCAACTGATGTTACTGGCATCGATTTTATTAATTCTGGATATTTGTAAATTCAGATAAATTTTTAATAATTATCTCCAGTTTTATAAGCTTTAAAGACGACACTCCTACTTTGGATTTGCCTCAAGAAAAGCAGAGCTCTTCAAGGCTTTGAAAGTCTAGGGACACCGTTCAGGAGATGTGGCAGAGCATCAGTTGAGGAGCTTAAAGAAATAACATTAATTATTGTTTGATCTGAAAATAAGTTTTAAATGGAGCATAATGTTTAATATTCAGAGGATTACAGTTGCCATAATGTTCTTTTTTAAAATGTCAAGAGGAACAGAGACTTTGGGATATGAACATGGCAAACCAGTCTTTTATCGTTAGCTCATGTATTTGAGGAAGAGCAGCTGTCTTTTATATGTTTTTGAGAAATCATATTGTAATTCTTTTGTACAAAAAAGTAGTACTTGTATTCTAGAAGAAATATTGAATGCTTAATTTATAAGCGGGCTGAGGCTTTTTTTCTCTTTTCTTTTTCCCAGTATTGTTTTCGTTGAAAATGAAAGGGGATCATCTCTTGAGTTGCGGGAATTGGGAACTTTTTGACCGATTATTTTGTGGACCAATATTTTGGGAAAAGCAAAGGCAGGGGTAAAGCAGGGCTTCTTCAGTCTCATCTTCGCTTATACCAGCAATATCCACCTCTTAAAACAGACAAATTGCATTTTGCAAAACTTCTGTCAACACACATGTCCATTGCTTTAGCCCCAGTAATCTCAGGACTTGATTTAAAGTATATTTAAAATTAAAATAAAGAGCAGAGATCTGATAAGTTTCCATGAGTAAATGCCATCCAGGAAATATTTGCTGTTGGGTAATACATAAAACAATGTGGAATTTTGTTTATTTTCTTTGGTCCATGTTTTGGAAGTTTCTGCTTTGGTGTTTTTTGGGGGGAGAACCCTTCTACTCCAATATAATTCCATTTAGAAGGCTGTCCATTAAATAGCATGTTCCGTTCATAGGAAGAGTTACATAATCCCTAAAGTAGAGCTGCAGCATAAAAGATCCTTGCAAGGCACCCTTTTTCCACATGGGAAACAATTCCGACCTTCCTATCTTTACAGTTAAAAGCACAGAAAGGACAACCTTTTGAAATCATGTGATGTTAGTCCATTTACATTTTATTACCTGTTTTAAGTTGCTTGTCTGGGATTTTTTGTTTTTTGCTACACTGTAAATATTTTGGGAAGTACTTTTTTTTTTGCTTTTTTTTTTTGCCCTTGTTCCAGTATACGTTAGATGTGAACCGCTTCCCCTAAAAAGCACCAGTATGTTACATTCTGATGTCATGATCCCACAATGTGTTACCTTTTAATCCTGTTTTTCATTCTTTTCATGTGTACAGCAGTATTTTTAATAAAGAATTCCAGAAATAACAATGGCTTCGTTTGAAACTGTGGGTATTGTGTTCCTCCTTGGCTAGGTGTTTTAAACTGCATTGTAGGGCTTTTGAAGTGACTGGACTGACCTTGAAGGAGCTGGGGGTGGTGACGGCCGACAAGGAGCTCTGGCGTGGGCTGGTCCATGAGGCCACGAGGAGTCGGAGATGACTGAACGAATGAACAACAACAATAGGGCTTTTGTTTTTCTTGTATCTTACTTTGCCCGACTGTCTAAATCCACATGAGCATATTCCACTCCAAGAATTTTTTCCTTTATTCCAAACATAAAAATTCTGCAACATTTGTACACTGATTACATTAAAATGTAAATATTATGATTTTGCCTGCATAAATTAACCTGGACCACCTGTCAATTTACCTTAAAAAGTTTATTTCCAAGCAAAGTAAACTTAAATCACAGCAAATTTGGTTGGTACTCTTTGCTCTTGCAATAAGAAGGCAAAAGAGATGTCTAATGCATTAAAAAAAATCCTGGAAGATAAGTGTTCATTAAAAATACTGAATGATAACATGTGCATTTCAATACTATATTGAAAATGTTTCCCCCCCCCCTTTCTTTTTCTCGGAAGTTAAGAGTTCGCCTTCAGGAAAGCTTCATAGAATCATAGAGTTGGTAGAGACCGCAAAAGACATCTAATACAATGCACTGCCATAGAGGCATACACAACTGCCATATTTTCCCCAAAATAAGAACGGCTCTGATATTCATTTTTGTTCCAAAAGATGTATTGGGTCCTATTTTCAGGGGATGTCTTATTTTTCTTGTACAACAGTCCATATTCATTCATTTATTCATGTACAAAATCTATATTTAATTCAAATACAGTCATGTTATCTTCTTCTAGGACAGTGGTTCTCAACCTGTGGATCCCCAGATGTTTTGACCTTCAACTCTCAATAATCCTAACAGCTGGTAAAAACTGGCTGGGATTTCTGGGAGTTGTAGGCCAAACACCTGGGGACCCACAGGTTGAGAACCACTGTTCTAGAACATCATCATAACTCTCCAAACCCCGAATTCCAGCCTGAATTTCTTGTGATTTCATTTCCTGTAGAACCATTGGTCCAGCAATAGAGTTCTCCTTAAATGAGCACTTCATGTCCAAGTATTAATGTCAATGATATTGTTTTTATTTAATTATATATAACTATTTTATAATTCAATGTGTTTGTTTTGTGCTGCAATGGATATACTACTGTAAATATGTCCATCTGGCTGACAGTCTGAACTGGGGCTTATTTTTGGGGTAGAGTTTATATTGCGAGCATCCTGAAAAATCATGCTAGGGCTTATTTTCCAGTTAGGTCTTGGTTTGGGGAAAACAGGGTGAAGTAATCCTGAAATATGCCCATTCAGTCTCTATTTAAAAATCTCCAAAGACCAAGAGTCTACCATCTTCTGAGGCAATGTGTTCCACAGTCAAATGCCTCTTACATTCAATAAGTTCGGAGCCCCCAGTGGTGCAATGAGTTAAACCCTTGTGCCGGAAGGACTGAAAACCAACAGGTCGGAGGTTCGAATCCGGGGAGAGCGCAAATGAGCTCCCTCTATCAGCTCCAGCTCCCCATGTGGGGACATGAGAGAAGCCTCCCACAAGGATGATAAAACATCAAAACATCCAGGGCATGCCCTGGGCAATGACCTTGCAGATGGCCAATTCTCTCACACCAAGTCGCTACTGACACAAATTCAAGAAGATCTTCCTCATGTTTAGGTTGAATCTCTTTTCCTATAATTAGAATACTTTGGTTTGTGTTCCTGGCTGTTGTGCTAAATTCCTACAGAGCCTACAGTTGGGAATTGTTAAACCCACTTTCCAACACTTTCAGCTGGCCATCTAATGGTTAAAGCAGTGGTTCCCAACCTGTGGTCCCCAAAAACTAAAATATAGTTTGTGGCCTTACCTTTACTACACCATTGCAACAAGAGCGACTGGTCTCGTGGAACCCACTTACAGTGCTGAAGCTTATTAAATATGGTTTTCTGTGGGCAAGCAGATGGTGACTACTGGATGGCATATGTTCTGTATCAGGATGGCATATGTTCTGTATAGTATCAGAAACTAGAGCTGATGTGGTCTATCTAATGCAGTTTTCTGAATCAGCACCCCAAATAACCAAACCGAATCTAAAGTTGACCAAAAACTGATTCATAACGCTTTTTGGTACTAATGTTGGAGAGTGGTCCCTGGTCAAGTGGTCCCTGGTCAAAAAAAGGTTGAGAACCACTGGGTTAAAGTAAAAGGAGTTTAGTGCAACATATGGTTAGCAACGAATTCCTCATTCAGTATCTATAACATACAAAATGATGTCCTGCATAGTGATGATGCAGAAGAACATGTATGTGTGAACTCATCCTTCACAGAGACAATTCACAAAACAAGCTTCTCATGGCAATCCCACCAGTGGCTTAACATGAGGTAATCATCCTTCATGAAGGGTCTGGGTTTTTGGACATATTGGTATTCCTACGGATGTCCCGGTCCTCAAACACACACTGCTTCATTTGAAAGAATGCTGCACTCGCAGAGCTCAGGTGATGTTATATTTCAGTGTCAATGTTGACATCATATGAAATTTTGAAATTTCTTCAAACAGAGAGTAGTAATTCCAACAGATACCACTGCAACATGTAAATAGTAGGCCTGGGTAACAACGGAAAAATTTGTTTCTAAAATCGATTTGTATTTGGGGGTTTTTTTTGTTTCAATATTTAAAATAATTACAAAATTTTCCTTTTAAAAAGTTCGATATTTACGAAATTTCGTAAATGGTAAAAAATAACGAATCGATTTCCGAAACAATAACGAATCGATTCGTTAATGGCGGACGCGACCGCGAAATACGCTAAAAAACCTCCAAAACCTTCTGAAGCTTCCCTCTCCCTCTGTTGTTGACTGTTGGTGTGATATTATAATTTTTTTTCACTAATTAAACCATAAAACTGGCCCAGACATGCGGAAATAATAACGAAACGACCTCAAAACAATAACGAAACGAATACAATATCGAAATACGAAGCATTTGCAAAACGTTTTTGAAAATTCGTTTTTTTAATAATTGCTCCAGAATGGTTCGTTATCGTTTTGTAATTGAAAAATTAACGAATTATTAACGAATTACGAATTAACGAAACGAAACCGCCCAGCCCTAGTAAATAGGTTATTAGTACAACACAAGTCTTATCAAGCAAAGCTTGGAAATCAGTTTTATTGTGAAAATTTAGAAAATGCGTGTGAAAATAAATTTAAAGGTTTAAGCATAAGTATGAGTTTATTTACATACACTTATCCATAGCAAAATTCACTTAAAAGAAATAAAATAAAACCCCAGTGATTTATTAAAGCACTTTTAATTTTAAATATTATATTTACAGCTATTAGTATCCTATTTGAAGATGACACTAACACTCCCATTCATTATCTCCTCATTAGCTAATAAATGAACCATGTATCAAAGGATGTCTGGGACTGTGCTCTTTTGAGAGGGTGCACAAAGATTGCACTCCTTTGGGTTTTAGAAGTGGGAGTTTCAAATGTTTCTGTACTGAAAAGCTCTTTTGAGAGTGTAATCCTACACATTTCTGTTCAGAAGTTTGTATTAAGATCACTTATACCAGATCAGGTATGCATTTATATCATAAATCTATTGAACTTTGGCCCCAATTTACATTTGTTATGACAAAGTCCCATGAAAACAATGGGACCTGTTTACTACTTGGAAATTGCATTGCTTTCTCGGGTACTTGAACATGACTGTTGTTACCTAATTTTCTCAATGGTTTCTTTATGAACTGAAATAATGGTTCACTAATATTTTCACCACATTTTAGCATAAATGCTCTTTGCACTAAATAAATGTTATAATTGTAAATAGCAGCAATAACATTAGATTCAGCAGTATATTAGACATAGCTTAACTGGCCTTCCAATTCGCATGTACAGTTGCAATGCGACACAGTGGTTTCACCAAAGACTAGCTGCCACACTGTGTTGTCACTTGGAATTGGAACATAAAAGGAAAATATAATAAGACAGAAATAAAGAATTCTGAAGTCTTGCAAGGTTAAACAACAACAATAAAATGAATTAGGGACTCCCAAATAGTGCAGTGAATAAAGCATCAACAAATAGTGCTGTGACTTTGAAGCAGCATATAGACTCTAGTCAGCTATAAAGAGCTATGCAAGATATTGATGATCCAGGGCAACTCTGCTCAGCTGCCAACTTGTGGTTTAGAAATTTTAAGTTGCATCCAACTTCTCATATGATCCCTTTATAATGAAGACAAGAAGTGTGTGTATGTTGATAACGACGTTCTTAGAACCCTGTTCACCACCACAGGATCAAATGTAATACCACAACAGTGTGAGGCCAGCATTGTGGTGTCTGTGGAAGACTACTGATAGAATGGGTTCCGGACACTTTCTGTAGATGTTGCTTACAGACGGATTGGCTCACAATTTCCTTTTCCCCCATTTCAGTGACAGTGGCTACGACAGTGCTGTGCCAGTGCTATGGCATACTGGGTTGCTGATACTTAACACTGACAGGACAGTGCTATGGGTCTTGACATGGCTTCAGCAACATGCAAGTTCTTGTTCTTCTTTCAAGGATCTGCCTCAGCACTGTAAACAAAAACCAGAATCCTTTTGGCACACTGGAATTTTTGCAGGGATGCACAGTAGTGGGGGGAAAAAAACAGGCCACGATCCTGCATCAGCCTGTTTCCTACTCATCCATCTATAATCCAGCAACTGCCAAGCCCTAGGAAGGGTCCCTGCTACTGTTCTTTATTGAAAGAAGGTGATCAAAACCATGGAAAAGCAAGTGTGTGGGGCGGGGGGAGTCTTGCCCTTCCCAATAGGCTCAGGCAAAAGCAGGCTGCTTCCTGCCTCCCTTGTCTTGTTTATCCTTCCTCATCAAGTCAGCCATTCAAACCCACTCTGAGAATGCTTGGACCAGGTTTCATCTTGAGATTTTGGAAGGTATGGTAGCAGATGTAAGAATATATTGTCCTATTGCACCCTAGGATATCAATATCTTTAAAAAGATATCTGCACAAAGTATTACTTTTCATCAAATCTACATTAAAGATTGCTCATCTTCACCTGGAACTGTATGGAAAAGAGTACTGTAAAAGTGGTTTCAGCTTCTTAACCAAGCCTAAACTCACAGAATTATTTAGGGGAAAGTCCTATTACACATCTAAATCAATGTATAATTGGTTTATTTTCAAGGCAGTGTAGATGTGGTCTATGCAGTGTTCGCAACAAAACTTGGAGGTTGTAAGATAGCACCCTATGAGGTCTGCTTCGACTTCGTTTACATGGACACCAAGATTAGAGAAGTGGAAGCTATTCCCCAGAAAGCCAAATAGGAAAAATGTCCATGTTTGAGTCTGATGGGCAGAATTACCTTCTGCCAGTTTTGCATTTTTCTTCCACCTTGACTAATATAACCAGAACATTGCCAGAATGGCTTTTAGCATTTTGTTTAAAATTGTTAAAAAATTGTTTTTGAGAGAATGAATGTACAGGTACTCAACTCAAAGATGCAAAGTTTCACCTGGGAACAGAATTGGCTAGACTACACTGGAAACAGCTTTGTAGTTAATTCATCTTCCTTGCCATTGTGTTGCTTGAGACTAGCACAAAAATGTACAATATGGCATTTCATAGTGAGGAAATACTGCTCTTCCACCTCAGCCGGCATCTTTTCTTTATCAAGTTTCCACTGTTGAATGGGGAGCTAATACCACAGTAGAAGCACTATGTGGAAGTGTTCATGTATGGCACTTCTTAGAATATAATACTGTACATAGGTAGTATTGCATCAGCAGGAAGCACAGTTCAGTATTTAAATGATGACAGGTAAGAGGAACAGCTGTTTTGAATAATTAAAAAGTCCTTTGCTAAACTGGGGGAGTTGAATACCGAACCTCAGAATTATAGTTGGGTGGAGGGAAGCCATGTTTTTCTCCCAATGTTACGCTGTCATGTGTAAAGGGCTGGGTCACATCACTGATATGACCGCAACTGAAACTGTAGAAATCTCGTTTGGTGATGTTGGAAAGGAGAGATTCCTTGCTCCTTTTGGCAGAGTGGAGGCTGTAAGTAAAGACAAGATACCCTTGAAATGAAAGAATGACAAAGAGATAGCAAACTTCACCATTTGTTTTCATTAAAAAAATCAAGTATCTACCCAGTCTGCTGGTTTGGTTTAGTTGATTCTGCAAGCTTTATATCAACCAAAAATTCATATAAAATAATGGACATAAGTTCTAATATTTCAATTAAAATATCAACAAACTGTAGTCCACAAAAGTTCTCTCAGGTTATAGTTTCCTGACTATGTTAAAACCCTTGATAGCTTTAGCTTGTGTCTATAAAGTTGAAACATAAAATGTAAATTGCTCTGTTCAGTATCAACAAGTAACTAGCAATGCAGTATCAACAGAGAAAAATACGTTTACACACCTTTATATTTAGGCTGCCTAGCTGCTAAACTGCTCCATTCCTGCCAGCTATTGTTGCAGGGGGAACCTCTCCCCATGACTTTATGAACACTGTGTGTATGTTTGTAAGTCTGTGTGTGTGTGCACGCACCCAACTATATGTGCAAGGTGGAGAGAGCAATTTTATATAACCAGTGCAAAATTTATATCAATATCAGTATCCCGCCATTGGTACAAGCATGGTTGCTGGGGAGAAAAGAGAGGGCCTTGGTGGTGACCCCCCAGCTCTGGAACTCCCCGGGGAGATTAGGCTAGCACCCACTCTGCCCACTTTCTGCAGGGACCTCAAAACCAGGATGTTCCAGTGTGCGTTTGATAATGATCAGGCCCCTGTCTATGAATGACCAGCCCATGCTGACCATTGCAGTGAACTCAGCACTTTACCCCAGGTCTGGTCCTATAATCTGCATTTTGCACAAGCCCAGGGGTCCTCAAACCTTTTAAACAGAGGGCCAGGTCACAGTACCTCAAACTATTGGAGGGCCGGATTATAATTTGAAAAAAACATGAATGAATTCCTATGCACACTGCACATATCTTATTTGCAGTGCAAAAAACACTTTAAAACAATTCAATAATCAAAATGAAGAACAATTTTAACAAGTATAAACTTATTAGTATTTCAATGAGAAGGATGGGTCTTCTTTTGGCTGATGAGATAGGATTGTTGTTGTTGTTGTTGTGTGCTTTCAAGTCATTTCAGACTTAGGTTGACCCTGAGCAAGGGCCAGGTAAATGACCTTGGAGGGCCATATTTGGCCCCTGGGCCTTAGTTTGAGGACCTCTGCACAGGCCCATGCCCAGCCCTCTCCAATTTCTGATCTTGCTCACCTTATCCCTGGCTCTGGCTATTAAGGTTTGTTTTTATTCATTTTAATTGTTGTTTTTGTATTCTGCTGTTTTTAATTGTTTTATTTAGTTTATTATATGTGTATTATATTTTTAAATGTGTTTTTTGTTTGTAAACCTTGTGTTGGGCTTGGTCCCACTCATAAGCCACCCCGAGTCTCTTCGGGAAGATGGTGGTGGGATATAAAATAAAGTTGTTGTTATCATCATCATCATCATCTCAGGTAACAAAGGCTGAGATCCTACATCAGAGATGCAGCCAAGCCATGATGTCATGAATACAATCTGTTCCCCCATGTGCCCCTTGAAACCCACCTGCAAATCAAGCCAAAGGATAGAGTAGTTGCAACTGCTCTCCCTATCTGTCCATGTGCATGTGTTTGTGCCTTCAAATTGCCTGCCAACTTTTGATCACCCCATGAATTTCATAGGGTTTTCTTAGGCAAGGAATTGTATATTGTTGACTGTTGTACCTTTGTTGTAAACCGCGTTGAGTCGCCTGTTAGGCTGAGAAACTGCGGTATACAAGTAAAGTAAATAAATAAATAAATAAATAAGGAATACTCAGAGGTTATTTGCTTCCTCTGAAATATAGTCTCCAGCTCTGGGTATTGGTTGGTAGACTCGTATCCAAGAGAAGATAGGATCTGGTGCCTTTAGACCAGGGGTCCCCAAACTAAGGCCTGCAGACTGGATGCGGTCCTACAAGGTCGTTTCCCCAGCCCCCAGCCCCAACTTTATACTTGGGGTTGCCCTAAGCCTGAAACAACTTGAGGGCACACAACAGCAACAACCCTAATTAACGTGACTATCTCATCAGCCAAAAGCAGGCCCACACTTCCCATTGAAATACTGGTAAGTTTATGTTGATTAAAATTGTTCTTCATTTTAAATATTGTATTATTCTTTCATGTTTTTATTTGCACTACAGATAAAATATGAGCAATGTACATAGGAATTTGTTCATGTTTTTTTCAGACTATAGTTCAGCCCCTCAACAATCTGAGGGACCATGAACTGACCCTCTGCTTAAAAAGTTTGAGAGCCCCAGCTTTAGAGTATTTAGGCCATTCATAATAGTAAAAAAAAGAAATGCAGCACACTGTTATGTAGCCTGAAATACATCCTAAGATGCTATTTGATCCTGATGCAGTGTACTTCCACCAGCACACTTATGGAAGAGATCACTCTGGAGACATTTGGATCAATGGTGGATTTGTTCCAAGGTGGCATCTGACCAGCTTGGAAAAAAACATTGCACAAGGAGGTACGAATAGATAGCTCTTTCACAGTGTTGGGAAAAGTACATTGACTGCTGTAAAATCTTGTTATGCTGGCATAAATTACCAAAAGGACTCAAGCCAAATTCTTCTGAAAAGTCACATGCTTTTGGAAAATAATAAGAATGGCATGAAGGCAACCAAGAGTTCCTGTCTGGGAGTTCTAAGATACAATCTTCCTTCAAAGAGTTTTCATCCAACTTCTCTAATCTTGTGATAGCCCGGTCCTTCTCCCTTTTTCTCACAGAGAATGTCCTACTGGGGTCGGTAGAAGCCAGTCTCTCACACCCAACGCAAGAATCATCTGTGCTTTTTTAAGACTCTGCACTTCCTTAATGTCCTTAATGTCTCAGAAATAATTCCTGTTAGGACCTTTTTCCCCCCTCCTAGGAAGTTCTTATTCTCTAAAAAGGAGCCAAACAGAGGAAAGTGGTTAATATGAAACAGCAGAGAGCAGGAAGAGAAATGACGCTCCTGCATCCCTTCATTGTCATGTTGCCATTTTAGTATTCTGAGCCCTTGGATTTTAAGTTGTGCATGTCTCGCTGAGTCATGAATGGGAAGGGGGGAGCACGCATCTTTATATAATGTTCTCCTTGTTTGTTGGTCAGGATGCAGTTCCGTAGATTGAAAACATACCTTACTCCTAACTAATGCCATACCTTAACATGCTGCCTCAAACTAGCAGCTGTCCCAGTGTGTGCTCTGCAGAAACATAGGTACAACTTTTCTCATGTGGTACACTAGCATTATACTGTGAATTTACACAGCACTTCCGAAAGAGGCTGATGTGAGATCTTTTAAAAAAGAAAATCTCAGCCCTGCTTAGGATCAAACTAGGGTTGGCATCTTGTTGATGACACACACACAAAGTGCAATGCTAGCCTGTGTTTTGTTTTGGTCATTAAAGAGGAAGCTATTCAGTACTTCCATTGTGCAACAAACACCACCTCCTTAAATACCTGTCTCATGCGGGAGTTCCCTAAACATGGTAGATGTTGGAGACCAGAGAGCATGTCTCCAAAGCCAGGCACAAAATGGAAAAGGCATTGGGTCACAAGTATGAGAGAGATAGGCTCCGAGGAAAGTGAAGGTGTAATTCATATAATCATAGAATAATAGAGTTGGAAGAGACCACATGGGCCATCTAGTCCAACCCCCTGCCATGCAGAAAAAGTACAAAGTATCCCTGACAGATGGCCATCCAGCCTCTGTTTAAAAGCTTCCAAGGAAGGAGCTTCCATCACACTCTGATGCAAAGAGTTCCACTGTTGAACAGCTCTTACAGTCAGGAAGTTCTTACTAATGTTCAGATGAAATCTCCTTTTCTGTAATTTGAACACATTGCTTCAAGTTCTAGTTTCAAAGGCAGCAGAAAACAAGCTTGCTCCCTCTTCCTTTTGACATTCTTTCACATATTTATAAATGTCTATCATGTCTCCTCTCAACCTTCTTTTCTGCAGACTAAACATGCCCAGTTCTTTAAGACGCTCCTCATAGGGCATGGTCTCCAGGCTTTGATCATTTTAGTTACACTCGTCTGGATACCTTCCAGCTTGTCAGTATCTCTTTTGAATTGTGGTTCCCAGAACTGAACACAGTATGCCAGGTGAGGTCTAATGAAAGCAGAATAGAGAGGCACCATGACTTCCCTGAATCTAGACACTATAGTCCTTTTGATGCAACCCAAAATCCCATTGGCTATTTTAGCTGCTGCATCTCACTGTTGGCTCATTTTCAATTTGTTGTCCACAAAGACTCCAAGATCTTTTTCACACGGACTGTTGTTGAGCCAGGCATCACCCATACTGTATCTTTGCATTTCATTTTTTTCTGCCAATCCAAGGCCTTTCTTCTAGGCCTAAATTTAATAAGGGGAGCTCTGTATTTGGATCTATTTTTTTGATTTTAGATATCAAATATAAGGCATGGAATACTGTCTACTATTTCAGTCCTGGGCCAGAAAAAGCTTAACCCTCCTTCACACCCCTTTCTTGAAGAAAACCACTCCTGGTCAATATTTACTCCAGGAGACACCATATAAATCTGTCTCTGGAATGGCTATATAATTACCCCATCAGGTCATTAACCTCTTGGGAAGCACAGAGGGAGATTTGAGGTGCCCCTTGACCTGCTATTAAATAGTAAACTAGAACCTCTCATTGATGTCAAGCCCATGTCAAGCAATGAGAGCCAACTTTCTCTTGGTGATCATGCATCTGAAGAGGGTTAAGCCAGTATCACTATTCCAGTGATACTGGTCACTATTGCGGGGTTGGGTGGTTCCCAAATCCCATTGGCATCAACACCATCATCTAACACTTCTGGTGATCCCAATCAATCTCCATCCCAATGCATACACTAGAGTCAGAAAAATGGATTATTGTGACTAAAGCATGGGCAGCACAAGTTTTTAGAACAGTGCTTCTCAACCTGGGGTTCCCAGATGTTTTTGGCCTTCAACTCCCAGAAATCCTAACAGCTGGTCAACTGGCTGGGATTTCTGGGAGTTGTAGGCCAAAAACATCTGGGGACTCCAGGTTGAGAACCACTGTTTTAGAAAGTGTTCAAGCTTCTGATGTTGCTCTCTTTCTTGAGCAGGCATATATGGAGAGGCTTGAAATATCCTGTTTTTGAGGAGAGCAGGGATGGAGGCAGAGCCAAGAGAGGTAAATATTGGCTCCAACTTGGACTTCTCACTTTGAGGAGCTTTATAAATTGACACCCCCCCCCCCCTTGCAAAAATGGCATGGGGTGGTCCCTCTTAATATCCTGCCTTGGTCAGTAAGAGTCTTTTGCACAAGAACAAATAACATATATGCACCGTCCTATTTTTTCAGGTGATTATTTTTTTTTTTGTAAATCCAACAGCTGATGAAAGCATTAAACCAAATAAAATTCAATTCTGTGGAATACACGGAAGATGCAGTGTTTCTTTTTGGTTTTTAATTTTTAATAGAATTCTGGGAGGGGCATGAGGACTCAGCCTTGGAGGAAAGTGACTCACCTGTACCAAGATGTTGGCCACCCCTGTCTCATTGTATTTGTAATTGGATGCAACATGACTGGACTTACCCAAAGAAAAGGTGCTTTTGTTTGCTTCCAGTCCATGTAAAACGTTTCGGCTCTTCTGAAGGCTGTGCAATTCCACTGTCTGCTTGGTAACCCTGAGAGAAAATCCAGCTGTAAAGGCTCTATTCTATTTATCACAGACCAAATCTAATTCGGTCCCCATCTCACATCAGTACAATATGATTCCTGTATCCCAGTGGTTCCCAACCTGTGGTCCATGGACTACCAGTGGTCCACAAGAACTAAAATATGGTCCACGGCCACACCATTACTACATCATTGCAATGAGAGTGACTAGTTTCACAAAACCCTCTTATAGTGTTAAGGTTTAATAAATATGGTTTTCTGTAGGTGGGCAGATGGTGATTACTGGATGGCATATGTCCTGTACCAGAAATTAGAGCTGACATGGTCTATCCAATGCAATTTTCTGAATCTGCACCCCAAATAACCAAAACAAATCTAAAGTTGACCAAAAACTGATTCATAACCCTTTTGATACTAATGTTGGAGAGTGATCCCTGGTCAAACAATGGTGGGGAACCAATGCCATATCCACAAGGGATCAGTTCTCAGACTTCATGTGGATGCGTGAACCCATGAATAACAGCAAACCATATTAAAACAGAAGTACTGAAAAAGAGGCACTTGTACAAGAGGCCCTGTGTGATTAACTGAATAAGTTAACCCATGGATAAGTGAAGCCACATATCAGTCTCACAGATATGGGGATCATACTGTGTAACCATTGTGGAATTCCTAATAGGTATACATCCCCTGACCAACAGGTGAGGTGATGGTAACACACAATGTTTTTCACAAGAATGGTGCCTATATCAGTTTCGGCAAACTATTGTAATTATTTTCTGGAGCAAAAAACAAATTGTTTGCCAAAGGTTGATAAAATGCTGTTCAATAGGAATTCCATTTATGCAATTATTCCTAGGTGGGTTGTGACCTAATAGACCTATAATAGCTATTATAAGATATTAGCATAGTTTTTTTAGCTCATTTGGAGAGATAGTTTTAAGCAGCTCAATAGGTTGCTTCTAGCAAGAATTTTATATGCACCCAAATTGTTCTGTGGCTCAGAGTAAAATCTGGGTCAGAGAAAAATTCCCAGTGTTTCCACTTTATTCCCACCATAAATCCCTGTATCTCTCCTTCACACAAACTTTCATTTTTTCTTTAGATAAAGATTACTAGGTATTGTGATGGATCGTGGAAGAGAATTGTAATAATGCTCTGTACGGAGAAACCCTCTCATTCTATGATTCTAGGAAGTTGGCTGCAACTTACATCGTGTTCAGATTTGTCCTTGGGTGAAAGTTCCTCAAAGGTCTTGACCCTCTGTGGTGGCCTCATTCTGAAGGCATTCATGTGTCTTCTTAAAAGACAGAAAAGAAGGAAAGAAGTCTAGTTGGATGAATGCAAAATAAACCACATACAGAATATAACCAACAACCTACTTGTGAATACATGAAAGTGGGAGAAGAGCATGAAGATGATCCATCCTATGGCTGGGATTACATTTGAATACCTTACTGTGAGCATGTATGTGCCTTCAAGCCATCCGTCATCTAATGGTGATCTCATGAATTTCATAGTGATTCCTTAGGCAAGGAATACCCAGAGATGGATTTATCAGTTTCTTCCTCTAAAATTTAAGCTATAGCACCTGGTATTCATTGGCAGACTCCCATCCAAGTATTAACCAGGGCTTGGATCTGCTTAGCATCTAAGATCAAATGGGATCTGCTGCCTTTTGGGTATTTAGGCCAGCTACTTTCAGTGGTGTTGCATATCTATTCAATTAATTCCTGCCATTTATTAATTTATTTAAACATTTATATCTAAATATCACACAAAAGGATATAAAATAATCAATTTGACATATTTATAATAATATAAACAATTGTTCTATGATAATTTAAAAAGCTAAACACATATTAACCAGTGTAATAAGTTAAAAGATGGCAGATTAAAACCAACTAAAGTGGTTTAAAACTATCCATTTAAGTAGAAATATGTAATATCTAGGCCTGTTTGATCAAGAAAAAATTTGTTTCTAAAATCGATTTGTAATTGGGGTGTTTTTTTGTTTCGATATTTAAAATATTTACAAAACTTTCCAAAAAAATGTTTTGTTATTTACGAAATTTCGTAAATATTTACAAAACATTTTGTAAGTGTGAATGTTGCAGTTGGTCACCTTGATTAGCATTGAACGCCATCCAATCGGCTCCGGCTCCTGCGCCCTCCCTTCCTCCTCCTCCTCCTGGCACTTCCTGCACACAGCTGGGAGGAGGAGGAGGAGGAGGAGGGCGCAGGAGCCGGAGCCGATTGGATGGCGCGCGGAGGCCGGTTGTAAGGGTGAGCGCGCGCGCGCCATCCAATCGGCTCCGGCTCCTGCGCCCTCCTCCTCCTCCTCCTCCCAGCCCTCCTGCGCCCTCCTCCTCCTCCTCCTCCTCCTCCCAGCAGAGCCGATTGGATGGCGCGTGCGCGCTCACCCTTACAACCGGCCTCCGGCTCCTGCGCCCTCCTCCTCCTCCTCCTCCTCCTGGCACTTCCTGCAACACAGCTGGGAGGAGGAGGAGGAGGGGGCGCAGGAGCCGGAGCCGATTCGATGGCGCGCGGAGGCCGGTTGTAAGGGTGAGCGGAGCGCTTCCTGCAACACAGCTGGGGAGGAGGAGGAGGAGGAGGGCGCAGGAGCCGGAGCCGATTGGATGGCGCGCGGAGGCCGGTTGGATGGCGCGCGGAGGCGCGGAGGCCCCGCCCTGCAACACAGCTGGGAGGAGGAGGAGGAGGAGGAGGGCGCAGGAGCCGGAGCCGATTGGATGGCGCGCGGAGGCCGGTTGGATGGCGCGCGGAGGCGCGGAGGCCCCGCCCGCCCCATTTACAAAACGGGCGAAAGCTCGTAAATACTGTGGGAGTTGCTGTTTCGATATTTAAAAACCCTTACGGGTTTAAAAATGTGTTTTGAAATCGCATCGGATATGGTAAAAATAACGAATTAATAACGAAATAACGAACGAAACCGCACAGGCCTAGTAATATCCCTACATTCCAAAGTCTTTAACAACAACAGCTATGCCTTAGCCATTTTCTTAACCCACTTGGGAGCTTCCCAGCTGCCTTAGACATTATTGGAAACAGAAACTTTGCCTTCATAGATTTTTGTTTCAATCCAACAAGGAACTTCATGTCATCAAGACATGGAGAACTTTTGGTCTTCAAGGGACCTCTTCTCTAGCCAGCCTGGCAATGGGTAGAGTGATGGGAGTTGTAGTTGAGAAATACCTGGTGGGATATGTTGGAGCATGCAAGGAATTAGTGTGTGTGTGAACTGTATGTACGTATGTATGTATGTATGTATATATGTATGTATGTATGTATTTATTTACTATATTTGTATACCGTTCGTCAGCCCGCGTCTGTGTTATGCACATCTCAATGTTGCGGACCGCAGTTGTTGTGGTCGACTCTGCACAACAGGCGGGAAGCGTAGGGTCGTAATCGGCACGGAATCTTTCTATGTTAGTGTATGTCCGCTATGCGTAATGGCGTTTCTCTTGGATCACAGCATGGTTTATCCCGTTCATTAGTCAGTGACAGTTTAAAAACAATTAACATATTAACCCGTACAGTCGCGCGTCGGGGGGGGGGTGAACGGTTGCTGCTATATAACTCTTGTCGCTGTCGTCCTAGAGTATTAGGTGTTAGCGTAGTCTGAGTGGGCGCGTATGCTGGCCTGGCGATGGTAGCTGGTGGGTCTGCCTGGACTCAGTTTTTTGATTGATCGTTCTGCGCTTTAGTTTCTTTGACATTATTTTTTTGAGCCTGGGAGATGGCTGAGCCTGGGACTTTGGGATACTGCTACATTTTTGTTCATGCTTGAGCTATGGTGGTGTTCATAGACAGAAAAGGGTGGAGCAGAGAGAGACAGAGTTTGGAGTGCGCTCTCATTTCATGAGCTGCTGAAGGAGTTTATCCACATGGACAAAGAAAGACAAGTGGCATTTTTTCTTTCTCTGGCAAGGCAGTGTGAGGGCTGATCAAATGTGAACCACACGTGGTTTATTTTGCATTACACCACAGGATAAAAGTTCCTCGGCCCTGTTAGAAATTCCTACTGCATTGAAATTGTTACTGGCATTGCTGGCTAGGGCTAATGGGAAAAAGTTTAAATTCAATAATACCTGGAAGCCTGTACTTTGCTCAACCTACTTTTCTGGTATGCAAAAGGAAAAGCCATGTAGTGTACCCCACTACTCCTTGTGAAATTGTCTTTTGCTTTGTTGAAGCACAGCCTTGTTAAAATTTGTTTGGATCTTATTCACATCACACCAGTGACTTAATCACTTTCTTCTTACATTCGTCTTCTTTTTTAAAACAAAGCAATCACTTTATGATAACTTTCTGTATTCAACATCAACATCATACTGACATTCATCTATTTTCGATACGTGAAGGACCATGGTGTTCCATCTTACCCAGTATTTTCAGAAACAGTATAATTCAAAATGGTCACTGAATCATTTTCCATCCCATGAGGATTAGGGGAAATCAGAGGTGAACAGTCAAATCCAGAGTCCACTGACAAAATATTATTCAGTGGGATGTAGTCTTTGCCATCCTATGTGCATAAAAATACAACTTCATCAACGACACATAAATAAAACGAAAACAGGAGTGAGATTTGTTGTCATCTTGATGTTGCTGGACTTTAAAAACTCCTTTTAAGACCCCTAATCCATTTAAGTTAATACTGGATGATCCTGTTTACTCATTGTTACTGTTACATTAGCAAGGAAACCATATTATTAACCAGTGAATCATAGGTAAAAAACACTTATTCAGAAACATCGTCTGAGTGCTTCCAAACGGGCATGGAATATTATTGTGTGCTACTAAAGAAATACATACTGTGCAGAGTTCCAAGTTTGAAATTTACAATATGAAAACTGGGATTAGGTTTTAGAAAAGTTTATTATATTTGTGTATACAGTAGAGTCTCGTTTATCCAACACAAACAGGCCGGAAGAACGTTAGATAAGCGAAAATGTTGGATAATAAGGAGGGATTAAGAAAAGCCTATTAAACATCAAATTACATTATGAATTTACAAATTAAGCACCAACACATCATGATTTACAACAAATTGACAGAATAAGCAGTTCAATACATGGAAACGTTATGTAGTAACTACTGGATTTACGAATTTAGCACCAAAACATCGCAATGTATTGAAATAGCTGTGGATCTGGGCAGGAGGCAGACTGCGTTGGATAGTACAGACTGTTGGATGAGCAAAGGTTGGAAAAGTGAGACTCTACTGTATATTTAAAAAGAAACTGGCAGTGTAAATTATTTTTAAAAATACTAATTTGGGAAAGTGGGTAAAGGAAACTCAGAGCCGGTTTTGCTAGTTCCTTTCTCTGAAATTCAGTTAGTGGAACCAACATGGTCATCATATAGCAAAAATGTAAGGCCCTCAAGGCAAAAACTGTACACTTATATGTCGGTCTAGTATAGTTTGAGAGTTTTTCATTGTGAAAAAGCTTGGTGCATATTGAATTGTACTGCTAACCTGTTGCACGTTTGCTTGAAGAAGGTCTCCTAATCTCGCCACCAGTTCTGAGAACTTTGGCCTTTCATTTGGATCTCCTTGCCAACAGTCCAGCATGATCTGGTAGCTGGCAAAAGTAGAAGAACCATGGTGAAAAGAAAATGTAGTATATCACAGTCCAACTTCTAATTTAGGGTCACATCTGAACAGTTGTTTTCATTCCCACATCTGGAAGCAACCTTTAATCTAATCTAACAATATGGAATTGATACATGTCCCTCTTTCTCTTCCATTTTTTTCTTCTCATCTTTCTTTAAGTAAAGGTAAAGGTTCCCCATGACATTAAGTCTAGGTGTGTCCAGTTCTGGGCGTGGTGCTTATCTCCATTTCTAAGCCAAAGAGCCAGCTTTGTCTGTAGACACCTCCAAGGTCATGTGGCTGGCATGACTGCATGGAATATCTTTACCTTCCTGCAGAAGCCACACCTATTGTTCTACTCACATTTGCATGTTTTCAAACTGCTAGGTTGGCAGAAGCTGGGCCTAACAGCAGGAGCTCACCCTGCTCCTTGTATTCGAACTGCTAATCTTTTGGTCAGCAAGTTCAGCAGCTCAGCAGTTTAACCCGCTGCACCACCAAGGGGCCTCTTTCTTTAAACATCTTTAAAACAAAATCTAGGATGACTCTCAACAGACTAAAATACAAATAGTGGTATTGGTATAGCCCCCCCCCCCCGAAAAAAATTACAATGTGAACTGTGTAGTGGTGAATTTGTGGAATACTTTGGAGAATGCATTGATGATCCGAAGAATTTCAGAGATTTCTACTGATTTAAGGAACTATTCTCCAATTTGGTGCTTTCCTGGGTGACTCCCATCTGGAAGGCTCCCAGGCTGAGGAAGACTGCATCAAATTTTAAAACCTGGTTCAGGTTGAGCACTTGTAATTCTGAAATCCAGAATACTCCAAAATCCAAAATACATGGCTGAAACAATGTCACCTTTGTTTTTTAATGGTTAGATACATACATTGTGTTTTATGTACAAAATTATTAAAATATTGTGTATAAAATTACCTTCAGGCTAATGTGCATAAGATGTATATGAAACATAAAGGAATTTAAAATTAAACTTGGGTTCAAATTCCAAGATATCTCATTATGCATATGCAAATATTCCAAAATAAAGAAAATCTGAATTAAGGAATACTTCTAGTCCCAAGGATTTCAGATAAGGGATATTAAACCTTTATTTAGTTATGGTCATGGTATTTGAATGAGAGCAGAAGAAGATGTGGAAATCAAAAGTGAACATTAATGTAATTGTGGAATAAAGTAAATATAGTAAAGTAAATTGACAATTTCTTGTAAATAGTCAATTAAATTAATAACAAGTAACTAAAGGGGGGGAAATCCTAGGAACTATCATTACTTCAAATACTTTCTCTTTCAACATACAAATCATCAAGAGACTTTTACTTAAGCTCTACAAAGGCTCCGTGGATTAATTGCTCATTTGACTGATTAATTTTAGAGCTAAAATAATCCCTGCTGCTTCAATATTTTTGATCTTCCCTAGCCCAATGTAAGCCCATTATCTCTTCTTTTCTAAGCACGGTTGAACTATCCAACTTTCACGTACATTGTACATGAAGACGTGTTATCTAGGTTCTGCAACAACTTTCTCTGCTGGAGGCTACATTTCTGCAGCTTCCTTGCTATCCACAGATCTCTCCATCGCAGTCCTGGATAACCTTTGATGGTCTCTGCTGAATTTCTCTTGTCTTGGCGGCTTCCCCACAAGAGCCAGATCACAAAGTTTCACTCCGTAGTTCCACCATCTTATCTGGCTGTTCATAAATCCTTCTAGACATTTGTGTTGGTCAAACACACTATGCTGGAATATGATGCTGGTGAGCCTGTGATGCTTGTGCACATGTACAATGTTTCCTATCTCTTTTCTAACAGGCCTCTGCGGGCTTGTCAAGATCAGATTAAAGGTCTGTGAGCAACATTTGATGGAATTTCTGAAGCTGGACTGAAGTCAGGAATAATGTCTTAAACAGCAGGAGGGAGGGTTCAGAGGAGGGTTGACTTCTAATTTTAACCTTCACACACATTTTTAGCCTCATCACAGAGTTTTATTCTCCCCGGTTGTGACGTCTTTAGAGTTATAACTCTCTCCAGGGAAGTACAGAAATATGTAAAACATTCAAGAATGAAAGAAGGCCTACCACTTGAGAAACAAAGCACATGTTTTGCATTCATACTGTTGGTGAGAGCCTTAGAAGCCAGAGAAAAACATCTCAGAAGAAGGAACAAGGTTTACAGAGATCAAACTACTCCTGTTCAGATAGAGGTTGACTTCTACCTTTTCCAAAATGCTTGGGACCACAAGTGTTTGGGGTTTTAGATTTTGGAACACCGGTATTTGTATCTATATACATCAGTGGTTCGCAATATGAGGGTCCTGAGATGCTTTGGCTTTCAACTCCAGAAATTCTAACAGCTGGTAAACTGGCTGATTTCTGGAAGTTGTAGGTCAAAACACCTGGGGACCCACAGGTTGAGAACCACTGATGTATATAATGAGATATTTTGGAGATGGGACCTAAATCCAAACACGAATTTCATTTATGTTGCATATATATCTTATACAGTTTTGCCTAAAGGTAATTTTACACACAATATTTTTTAATACTTTTGCACATGAAGTTGATATACATTGGAAATCTAAGGTACTCTGTCTCTGCGCCTCTTCCAATCCCTGGTCCTATGCTACGCTGTTTTGCACATCCAATGCCCAATCCTTTTAATAGCCTACTCATGTCCATCTTAGTATTTCTGGTTATTTGATTTTTGTCGTGCATTGTTTGACCAAATTTTAAAGCTGTAGTTTTACGCCTTTATGTTGTATCTAATTGTGTTTTATTTGATTGCTATGTTTAGCTATGTTTTCATTTTAATCGTGTTTTTGTTTTAATTGATTGTTTTGCTTTGATGTTTTGTGGACATTCATCCCATGTGTAAGCTGCTCCAAGTTCCTTTGGGGAAGTGGATGCGGGGTATAACAATGAAGGTGTTGTTGCTGTTGTGGGTAAAGGTTTTTCCCTGACATTAAATCCAGTTGTGTCCAACTCTGGGGGATGGTGTGCATCTCCATTTCTAAGCCGAAGAGTCGGCGTTGTCCCTAGACACCTTTGAAGTCATGTGGTCAGCATTACTGCATGGAGCGCTGTTACCTTCCTGCTGAATCAGTACCTATTGATCTAGTTACATTTGCATGTTTTTGAATTTCTAGGTTGGCAGAAGCTGGGGCTAACTGCGGGAGCTCACCCACTCCCAGGATTCGAACCCGCAACCTTTCAGTCAGCAAGTTCAGCAGCTCAGTGCTTTAACCCTTTGTGCCACCGGGGGTTCCATTATTATTATAAGATGTCACTATTTCATCCACCCATGCAGATATTTTTTTTCAAATGGTGGAGACCTTCAAATAGAGGGCAATCTGATCTCTGTAAAATTGGATACTGGTGTTGACTGTGTGCATATCTGTGTGAAAGCTGTGTGAGGGAAACATAGCACTTTGTGCTCTGGTCATGTTTGCTGTTAGGATTCGGATCCTAGAGATTGCTCTTATGTCAATTACTCAGTGTCCCTTCACCTTGACATTAGTCCCAAAATAGAGCCTGGCAAAACAAATATTCTCACAAACATTTGAACAGTATACCATATGAACAGGCCAGATGTAAATGCAGAAACACCTATGGCCAGGTGCAGATCCACAATTTAGGTATACTATATGTACACAGTCTCTACCTGTCTAGAATGTAACAAATGCAACTCTTAAAATATTCCTGAGTAATAATACCAGTACTCATACATTTCTGAGGTTGCAAAATCTGGGGCCTTCATTCTTATGCCTTCTTTTAATTTGTTGAAAAAGTCTTCATCAATTTGAACACCTGGATATGGAGATGCACCTAAAAAGGAAGGTTTTTTAAAAATAAAAGTTGCACAGAAGACAACAACAATGTAAGCATACAAATATTTCAGACTGCTTTGAGCAAGTACCTAGTTCAACATAATCTTGAGACCCTCTTCCCTATGTGTTTTTCTATCATTTTCTAGAATGACTTATCAGCTCTGCTTGGAAAAGTTACTGTCTTGATTACAGCCCTATGGCCTGCATAAAAAAATACCCTCAGGACCTTCTGTTGGACCTCCATATGCCCTATGGGATGAAACCTTGTCTAACTATAATTTACTGTTTTTACTGTTTAAACTCTGTTATATTTATTGTATCTGTTTTTTACATCTCGGCATCGAATTGCTGCCAGTGTAAGCCGCTCTAAGTCCCCCCTCGGGGTTTGAGGGCGGGGTAGAAATGTTAGAAATAAATAAATGATGACAATTGCACTGTATTGTCAAAGGCTTTCATGACTGGAATCACTGGGTTGTTGTAGGTTGTAGGCATTTTGGGCAGTATGGCCATGTTCTACAAGCATTATCTCCTGACGTTTTGCCTGCATCTATGGCACGCATCCTCAGAGATTGTGAGGTCTCACAACCTCTGAGGATGCTGCCATAGATGCAGGCAAAACATCAAGAGAGAATACATATAGAACATGGCCATACAGCCGAAAAACCTACAACAACCCGACAATTACACTGTTAATGTCAGAGCTTCATTCCTTTCTCAGTTAAGTTAAAAAAACCCAGGATACATAGAGCATTTTCTTGAATTGTACACACATCTGTTCCTATGTTAAATTCTACTGAGTTAATCCGAGCTTCTTTTCAGGTAAGCAGGTATCATATTACAGCCTTACATGCTTTTTCTTAAACTTAGATTTTCAACTGGCTTTCTTTTCCCAGAATCACAAGGGGTATTTCAAAGGTAAGAACTGACAGAGCAGCCTGCACTAGACAACCAAGAGACTGTTTGTCTAAGGAACTGTATGCCTGGACCGACTTCCTTTGCTGTTGTGTCTGCCTCTTCTACCATTCTTCTTTGATGAATGAAACTGGTTTCCTTTCTAGGATGGATTGTGTATCCTGCATTTTTCATCTTCTTTTTTTAATGCCTTGCTCAGCATTTTCCTCTTGCATGCAATTGTCTTGGGATATTTGAGCATTTTCTATGAGCCCTGCTGATCAATTCAAGGAGGAAGCAGCTGCAATGGCAACACCAGGCACTATGTGACCCCAGGGACAACTGTGACTGGCTCTTCTTTCCCATATCCACTACTACAGCCTGAAAGAAAAAATACTTTTTGGGAATCCAATTCCAAGAAGCTTTCAAGCAATGCGAGCAGTGGATAATCCAGCCAAGCAATTCTAGAAATTATAGTCCCCAAAGGTAACTTTGCTAAGATTTGACTTGACCTATGGGTGCACATTTGTTTGTATCATCTTAACTCAATCAGTGGCTGATACCAGATGAGAGACTCCCTCCTGGGCACACAGAAGATTGGGTGACCTGGAAGGTGCTGATCAGGCCGTGCTCTGGCACCATGAGATGCAGAGCTAACCTTAAGAAATTGGGCTACAAAGCAGAGTCCATGACATGCAAGTGCAGAGAAGAGCAAACCACAGACTACCTACTACAATGCAGTCTGAGCCCTGCCACATGCACAATGGAGGACCTTCTCACAGTGACACCAAAGGCACTCCAAGTAGTCAGATTCTGGTCAAAGGACGTTTAGCATAATGCCAAGTTTTTAACTTAGTTTATTTTTTTAAATACATTATAACTGTACCCTCAATTAACTTCTGCCACATGGTCCTGTAATGGACAAGAAATGTGACGGTTGGGCCCTTGCGAACAAGCCAGATTGCCGAAGGGAACCGACCTCTCCGAATCCATGCACAAGCCTACAAAGCAAGTCTAGGGAACTTAGTCATTTGGATGTTTCTGATTCTAGCTCCCCAATGTCCCATCCAGCACAAGCAATTGTAAGCAAATATGGGAGCTCCAGTCCAGAATATCTCAGTCCTTACCCATCACAGAGAGTACACTGTTTGCTTGACTGTGACTGTTTCAGTTTTGCACTTCACTGGCATGACCTTTGAAAGTTCAGGCTTAGGGTCATATCTATATTATAATGAGTGGATAGGACTTTGTGGCGTTTGTCACAATATACATAATGTATAGTAGGGCTAGAGTTATTGTGATGGTCCACTTTGTGTCTGTTACTTAGAATTTGCAAATATACAATTATAACATCCTGAGTAGAGATTATTGCTTCATATATTGAAAACATTTTGGTTCATCTGACAGAATACAAATGCATCATTCACGACTGAAGTTAGCCCTCTCTTAATTTATAGTATTTAGATTGCAACTTTAGTAGGGAAAATAACAGTGAAATTGTGTACTCACCAAATTGGCAGTAAGCACTAAAAAAATCCATTGTACATATGTCCAAACAGACATGTATAGGATTACACTACATATATATGTATAGGATTGTACTTAAACTCAGACAATAAACTTACCTGAAAATGAGTCTACATATTATTTACCAAACTCAGTAATATTTCCCAGTAAACATGTATAGGATTAACTAGGTAATAGTTTTATTGCATTTTTAATTCTCGTTTTCAGAAGCTTTAGGATGCTGTGGGTTGCTAAAAATACCACTTACCTAAGGAAAATATTTCCCATAGCAGCACCCCATATGACCAAACATCACTTCTGGTGCTATAGATTTTATCAAATATTGATTCTGGTGCCATCCATTTGAGAGGAAGACGGGCCTGTAAGAAAGACTGGTCATAAACAATGTGTTTTACAGAAGTAATTTCCATGGTTAAGATTGTATCACAAATGTATGTACAAACATTTGTAGAATAACACAAGAAGCTATTGTCCTTATACTCATGGTCTTTTGACTCAAACTCAACACATGCAAAACAAGGAGGCTTTCTGTTCGGTTTTTATTTGCAACTATTTCTATTGCATCTACCAGATTGAATTAACTGTTATGTGTATCCAAAACACATAACTGGTTCATACAAAGGTCATTATCCTCAGTCAGCCTGGCCAATGGGGATTTATACATTGACACATCTGGGCTGCAGTACAAATTGACTGGGGACCAAGTAGACACAGGCAGGAGCCATGGCATATATTGCATTCCCCTTTGAAGACTGTGCCAAGTGAGACTCAGTATAGCTAGCTTATCATTTATTATTTTACATATTTGTGATTAGTATTATTAACAGTATATTTTATGTAAATTTTACTGCCCTTGGGCTCTTATGGGGAACCGCAAAGTGTACATTGAAATAGCCATAATAGCAAGCATTACTATTATTGACATTGTTATATCGGCTTTGGGATCCTGTGCCCCCCCCCCCCCCCCGTTGGACAATTTCATTGTAAGTTCAACAGTGACAAATGCAAGATACTCCACTTTGGCAAAAAACGAAATGCAAAGATACAGAATGGGGGACGCCTGGCTTGAGAGCAGTACGTGTGAAAAAGATCTTGGAGTCCTCTTGGACAACAAGTTAAACATGAGCCAACAATGTGATGTGGCGGCAAAAAAAGCCAATGGGATTTTGGCCTGCATCAATAGGAGCATAGTGTCTAGATCTAGGGAAGTAATGCTACCCCTCTATTCTGCTTGGTTAGACCACACCTGGAATATTGTGTCCAATTCTGGGCACCACAATTAAAGGGAGATATTGACAAGCTGGAATGTGTCCAGAGGAGGGCGACTAAAATGATCAAGGGTCTGGAGAACAAGCCCTATGAGGAGCGGCTTAAGGAGCTGGGCACGTTTAGCCTGAGAAGAGAAGGCTGAGAGGAGATATGATAGCCATGTATAAATATGTGAGAGGAAGCCACAGAGAGGAGGAGGGAGCAAGCTTGTTTTCTGCTTCCCTGGAGACTAGGACGCGGAACAATGGCTTCAAACTACAAGAGAGGAGATTCCATCTGAACATGAGGAAGAACTTCCTGACTGTGAGAGCCGTTCAGCAGTGGAACTCTCTGCCCCAGAGTGTGGTGGAGGCTCCTTCTTTGGAAGCTTTTAAACAGAGGCTGGATGGCCATCTGTCAGGGGTGATTTGAATGCAATATTCCTGCTTCTTGGCAGGGGGTTGGACTGGATGGCCCATGAAGTCTCTTCCAACTCTTTGATTCTATGATTCTATGAAAGTTAGGTAGTGTATACAAATTAACACGAATTACCTTATGCTATAGTATATATGTTTGTCATACAATTATGTTGTTTCTTTTTATATTTAGCTTATGCTTTTATGTAGCTTCTGAAGAAGACCATAAAACACATAAATATAGGTGGATACATGCTGGATTTTCTCTACAACGAATCAGCTATCTATGGAGCACTTGAAATAGAAACTTGTCCCTAAACTGTGATGGCCATATCAGTATTTCAGGTCTACTCCAGCCTCAGTGTAGAAAAGCTGAAGTCTGTTTCCCTTTTCTTTTGTGTGTTAGCTTGAAGCCCTTCACTGGCTCATCTAGTGAGGTTAGCCAGGGAACAAATAACAACATGTAAACTATTTAAAACACAGAGCTGGTGAGCATTTCCGAGCATTGTTGTAGAGGATGCAGATCATTGCAGTGTATACAACTCATCTGGATTGCTCATCTCCATGTTAAAAAATGTACAGTCCCTTTCAGGGGCCTTTTAAGTGCAGAGAATGTAAACATTGAAAGAACATGTTTTGCGAGCCATTCAAAATGATAAACAAGGAGACAAATAATAATCAGCGTGCTGACTTACATCGCCTTTTCTCACATAATCAGGGTTCTTATAAATATCTCTTGCAAGGCCAAAATCACAGATCTTCACAACATTGTTTTCAGATAAAAGTACATTTCTGGCTGCTAAGTCTCGATGGATGCACTACAAGAAAAATAGTTGCACAATCTCATTCCAGTACAGGACATAAATCATACACATAATATCTTTGATATCCTTCTTGCAGCTTTTTCAAAGTAAATCAGTTTCTCGTGAAATTTGCTGCAGTGAACACAAAACTACAACCATGAGATTTGAGCTGTTTCAGAATCTAAACATAGGCATGTTTCTTGTGCTATGCTATATATAACTTCAAAGAAAAATGGCCCAGTGAAGTCAAGGGGACATATTCCAGGAATGTATAGGATTGCATTCTTGTTCTAAGTTCACATGAATAGCTGTGTTGTAAATTTATTAGGAATTACCCAGGTATACATTGCACTATTTTAGACTTTGTAATATTGTGTTGCCGAAGGCCGGAATCACAGGGTTGCTCTGAGTTTTCCGGGCTGTATGGCCATGTTCCAGATGCATTCTCTCCTGATGTTTCGCCCACATCTGTGGACCACTATGGACACAGAAATGCTGGACCACTCTAACAACTACCATGTCAGGCTACACAGAGAGGCCACTGAAATCCACAAGCATGTGGACAATTTCAACAGAAAGGAAGAAACTATGAAAATGAAAAAAATTGGCCACCAGTATTAAAAAAAGTTCCAAAATCAGGACAGTAAATAAAGAGCAACACTCAAAAACAGGGGAATTCCTGACATGAAACAATTAGGGCTAGCGAACACCTCCCAACAAAGGACCCTCCCAGCAGCAACCAGCCAGGCTTTGAAGCTACAAGGACATTAAATGCTAATCAAGGTGGCCAATTGGAACATTCACACTTGCCTCCAGCAGACAAGAGTTCTTTCTCCCACCCTGGACATTCCATACTTATAAACCTCACTTGCCTAGTTTCCAACAGACATCACAACCTCTGAGGATGCCTGCCATAGATGTGGGTGAAAAGTCAGGAGAGAACATGATCATACAGCCCGGAAAACTACAGCAACTCTTTGTAATATAGTTTGAAATATATAATAATAGTAAAGAAGACATTGCATGTATCTACATAACCAGCTATTTTCAGCTTATAGGACTGGAATTCAATAAACCAAAGCTATCTTCAGGGAACCCTACAAAATTGAACAAAATCTGTTTTGAATATATTTTTAGTAATTTTAACTCATTTTTTTAAAATACCAATGATAATTAATTCTGTTTTAATGTTTGTATATTAGTAGATTTTAAATTGTATAGAAATGATTCTAATGTAAGGTGCCTTGATTCTTCTGGTGGAGAAAAAAGTGAGGTATAAATAAACATAAAAATAATAATATTAATAATAATCTGGACTAAAATTTAAACTGAATTATCCATGGTGCTGATCCTATCCGCCAAATAGGTTCAACACCTGGATAATTCCTTTGAAGCCTGGAATAAAATTCACAGTGCATTCATTACACCCCTAACATGGAAGCCACTGGTTGTTGGTGGAGATGTTTTGAACTTCAAGACTTTAATCCAGGGGTCCTCAAACTTTTTAAACAGAGGGCCAGGTCACAGTCCCTCAAACTTTTGGAGGGCCGGATTATAATAAAAAAAGAATGAATTCCTATGCACACTGCACATATCTTATTTGTAGTGTAAAAAACATTTAAAAACAATACAATAATTAAAATGAAGAACAATGTTAACAAATATAAACTTATTAGTGTTTCAATGGGAAGTGTGGGCCTGCTTTTGGCTGATGAGATAGGATTTCTGTTGTTGTTGTTGTGTGCTTTCAAGTTGTTTCAGACTTAGATTGACCCTGAGCGAGGGCCGGGTAAATGACCTTGGAGGGCCATATCCGGCCCTTGGGTCTTAGTTTGAGGACCCCTGCTTTAATCCCTATTGGGTGTTCTTCATGTCAGCATTTTAAAATACTCTGGGATATCAAGGTAATGATTGTGGGAAATGCACAGAAGCAAAACTAACCTTTTGAGATGACAAGAACTCCATACCTCTGGCGACTTGAAAACTGTAAGACATCAGATCTTCCATCATGAGAGGCCTTTTGTAAAATTCACCAGAATCTGAAATCAATTCAGCACATACAAGGTTAACATCATTTTTGTATTTCTTGTAGTTAATTTACTCTCAATAGAGTACTTGAAGTTTAGTTTAGTGGGAACAGAAAAGTATCACTTTTGATACACTGAGAACTTCCCCCAAGGAAGAGATCACCAAAAAACAATCACAACGTCTTCCTGTCAGGTTGAGTAATGCCGTAAATAAACTCATTTCAACCCATCTTTTCTTGGAACGTAGTATCTCCCACGGATGTTTATGAGAATGATAAATGGAGAAAGAAAATGTCAAAGATGCCGAGCATGTCTGTAAAAATATCCCAGAGTCTGTCAAAAGAGGAAGGAATTCCTACATACCCTCCTCTTCCTCCTCCACGTCACTTAAACTTTTATCTTCCTGAAACCCAGAGCTTGCTAAACTCTCGTGACTTGGGATGCTCTCCAATCTTTTTTTTCTACTGACAGTTGGTTCGGCTTCCTTCTCCTCTGTTATCAGCTCTTCTTGAATGGAGGTATCCTATAAGCAGAGAGGGGAAGTTAGCAAAACACAAAGTGGAAAAGAGATTATCTGATGATATGATTCAGACCAAGTTATACCCCATTTATTTCAGTAAGATTTTGCATGTGTGTATCAGGAGTGACTTGAGAAACAGCAAGTCGCTTCTGGTGTGAGAGAATTGGCCGTCTGCAAGGATGTTACCCAGGGGAGGCCCAGAGGTTTTACCATCCCAGATGTTTTACCATCCTATGGGAGGGGACATGAGGCTTCGCTCATGTCCCCGCATGAGCAGCTGGAGCTGGAGCTGACAGATGGGAGCTCACTCTACTCCCAAGATTTGGCACAAGCATTTAACAAGGGGAAATTAAGCATGTCCTTCTATCATTGATTATAATCAATGAGCTAGATATAGAGTGCATCTACACTGGAGAATTAATGCAGCTTGACACTAGTTTAACTGTCATTGCTCAATGCTATGGAATTATGGAGAGGAAGACCACATCACAATTGGATTCACTGAGTAGAAGAAAGCATAGGTCTGAGTTTGCAAGACCCGAGCGGTGTGGTTAGCAACAGGATCTCTTCAAGCTTGGTCATTCATAGGGTCATTGTAACTCAAAACCAAGTTGATGGTACACAATAACAATGCCTCTACTTTTACCCAGCTTTTATCAACCTATCTATAATTTATTAATCTTTTTTCTCCTCCATATGGGACAAATGTGCCAGCATTTATTTTATTTATTGCTGTAGTTCTCAGTTGTTGAATGAGTTCAAAGTTAAAATTCTTGATTTTATCTGGCCATTTATGAGTGGTTGTGTGCTGCTGCAGTGAAGCTATCTGCTGTTTACTAATTTTATTAGGTTTTTATTAATTATATTTGTTATTAACTGCTAATATAGTGGCTGTTGCCGATCCTTCCATGTTTGCAAGAGCTTATGCAAAGCTGATCCTATTCATTGTTTCAATGCTGTTGTTGTTGTTGTTGTTAGGTCAGCCCCCTCCCACCTGACCTTCAGAAAAAAAGTGAAGACATGGCTATGGGACCAAATTTATTTATTTATTTATTTATTGCTGCTATTCAACGGTTGAACGCTTGGTCCCATAGCTAAGTCTTGAGTTTCCTTCTAAAAGACAGGAGGGGTGGCTAGTCTGATGTGCCTGGGGAGGGAATTCCACAGATAGTGGACCACTGCTGAGAAGGCCCTGTCCCTCGTCCCCACCAATCGAGTTTGCGATGGTCGTGGGATCGAGAGCAGGGCCTCTCCAGATGATCTTAGACTTCTTAGACTTCGTGATGGTTCGTAACGGGAGATATTTTCAGACAGGTATCTCCTTTGGACAATAACTTTGGACAAAAAGAATAGCAAACCTTTGGACAATAACTCTCAGTGCAATGATTGTTCTTTTTTTTTTTATAAATCTTTATTAAGGTTTTACAAAAATAAATATGCAGTGGGGGGGGTAGTACAGGGGGGTTGTGCTGGTTCGGTTAGCGGTGTGGTGGTGATAGGATTAGGGCGGAGGGGTTGGGGGGGGGAAAGAGGGGGTCGGGGGAGAAGGCAGGAGAGGGTGGAGGGGGAGGAGGGGGAGGGGTTTGACTTCCCAATCTTCCTTCCGACTGTTTCCATATCCTTCTTGCTTGCCATTCTATTTTGAGTTTTTCATCTCGGCTCTTACTCTTGTCCTTTCTTGTTTTTTCTTCCATTATGTGTTTATATGCTTTTATGGTTCAGATTGTCTTTAGAGTTCTTAATGAGTCCTCATAAAATCCTCGAATTGTTTCCAGTTTGTTCTTTTTAGGGGGATGCCTGTATAGTCTTTTAGATAGTAAGTTAGCTTGTCCATGTTTTTCAGGTCCCACCTTTTTAGTAGCCATTCCTCCGCTGAGCTAGATTCTTTTTGTTTCCATTTCCTGGCGTATACAATTCTGGCGGCTGTTGTAAGGTAGCTAAAGAGGACATCTTGATTAGAATCAAGATCGATGTCATTATCTATGACTCCCAGCAGGAAATATTCCGGCTTCATCTGGATTTTTATGTTTAGTATTTTCTGGGTGATTTCCTTAATTTCTTTCCAATAGTCTTGGGCTATGGGCATGTCCACCAGAGGTGGTAAAACGTTCCCACTTGGGATCCACACTTCCAGCATTTGTTTGAGGTTTCTTTGTACATTAAGCTGAGCTTGTGCGGTGTCATATGCCATCTATAGATCATTTTATAGTAGTTTTTCTTAAGTTCTGTTGCGTACATGTACTTCATCTTATTATTCCATAGTTGTTCCCATTCGTTGTAGTTTATAGATCTTCCGATGTTCTTTTTTTTGTTGTTGTTGTGTCAGGAGCGACTTGAGAAACTGCAAGTTGCTTCTGGCATGAGAGAATTGGCCATCTGCAAGGATGTTGCCCAGGGGATGCATGGATGATTTGATGTTTTTATCATCCTTGTGGGAGGCTTCTCTCATGTCCCCGCATGAGGAGCTGGAGCTGATAGAGGGAGCTCATCTGCCTCTCCCCGGATTCGAACCTGCGACCTGTGGGTTTTCAGTCCTGTCGGCACAGGGGTTTAACCCACTATGCCACTGGGGGCTCCTATGATTGTTCATGGAACAATGCAACTGACGACTAGAATGGCTCCTGGAATATCCATTTGGATTGTATGACTCCAATTAACTGCTTTAAGATTGACTTGTTTTAATTATTGGTTTTAATGCATGTGTTGTATTATCTTGTGTTTGTATATATGGCATCGAATGATGCCTGTTTTGTGAGCTCCCCTTTGGGGTGAGAAGGACAGGATATAAATGCAGTAAACAAACAAACAAACAATCTTGAGCAGCAATTCAAAATATATGTTACTCATTTCAATAGGCAATATACAGCTCAGGAGATATAAAATACAGCATCTGGGTCTTTACCTTGTTAGTAATAAAAAAATCTCTTTTGCTCTTCAAGTAGCTTGACAGATTTCCATATTTGCAATACTCAACTATCACCATTAATGGTCCTATAAACAAAGAAAGTAACTTTGAATGGAGAAAGGAATAACCATGTCCTTTAAAAGTCATAAACTGAACAGCATAGCAAAATTTATCAATATGTATTTTACTTGAAATAATGTTTATACAATTGATAACTCACATTTAGACTTTACTTGCTTTTCAGATTGACTTATAGGGAAGTTTTCTCTGTGCTGAATTTTGTTAAGGTCCATGACTTATACCCATGGGGTCAATACAAGGCTAAGGAGAGAGAACTCTCAAACTAACAAAGTCCTACTGACCTGAGTATTCAAGATCATCTTTTAGCTCCTAACAAATTTTAAACACACACACACACACACACACACACAGAGAGAGAGAGAGAGAGAGAGAGAGAGATAAGACACCATGGTACCTCCACTTTTTGTGCAAGCTCCCAGCAAATTCACAACATTGAGATGATGGCCGATATGTATCAGGATCTTCAGCTCAGTCATGAGAGCTTTATACTCACTGGCAGTGGCCCCTTCTGCAAAACCAAGAGAAATTATTGACTTTCTGCTAAACTTAGAGGATTTCTTCTGCAATCTATCTGAATCTTCTGCCACCACCATCACTTCTTGGGGCAGTCAGCACACTCCAAAGCAAGGCACAGTTTCAGATGTATGGCAGAGTCTTGCTTATCCAACATAAACGGGCCGGCAGAACGTTGGATAAGCAAAAATGTTGGATAATGAGGAATTAAGAAAAAGCTTATTAAACATCAAATTACATTATGATTTTACAAATTAAGCATCAAAACATCATGCTTTACAACAAATTGACAAAATAAGCATTCATTAGAGGAGTCATGCCACCCCTCAATTCCGCCTTGGTGAGACCACACCTGGAATACTGTGTCCAATTCTGGGCACCACAATTGAGAGAATGTCAGGATTCTCTCCTGACATTTCTCCCACATCTTGGCTGTCTCCTGTTTTTCAGTGAAGCCCAGTTGAAGATATTTTGCTGTCAAAGATTGGGATTCTAATTCCAGGGAAATCATGCTACCCCTCTATTCTGTCTTGGTTAGACCACATCTGGAATACTGTGTCCAATTCTAGGCACCACAATTGATGTTGACAAGCTGGAATGTGTCCAGAGGAGGGCGACTAAAATGATCAAAGGTCTGGAGAACAAGCCTTATGAGGATCAGTTTAAAGAGCTGGACATGTTTAGCCTGAAGAAGAGAAGGCTGAGAGGAGACATGATAGCCATGTATAAATATGTGAGAGGAAGCCACAGGGAGGAGGGAGCAAGCTTGTTTTCTGCTGCCCTGGAGACTAGGACGCGAAACAATGGTTTCAAGCAACAAGAAAGGAGATTCCATCTGAACATTAGGAAGAACTTCCTGACTGTGAGAGCTATTCAGCAGTGGAACTCTCTGCCCTGGAGTGTGGTGGAGGCTGCTTCTTTGGAGGCTTTTAAACAGAGGCTGGATGGCCATCTGTTGAGGGTGCTTTGAATGAAATTTTCCTGCTTCTTGGCAGGGGGTTGGACTGGATGGTCCATGAGGTCTCTTTAAACTCTATGATTCTAATAATTACTGTGTTTATGAATTTAGCACCAAAACATTGCAATGTATTAAAACAGCTGTGGATCTGGGCAGGAGGTAGACTGTGTTGGATAATATAGAACGTTGGATGAGCGAAGATTGGATAAGCAAGACTCTGCTGTATCTTCTTTTTTAACATCACCTTCCTGAAGAAGAAAAAACAACCTTTGGTCCTCCAGGTGTTTTGGACTTCAAACCTCAGAAATTCCAGCCATTTTACCAGATATTAGGAATTGTGGGGGCTGAAGTCCAAAACACCTGGAGGATCAAAGTTTGGGAACCACTGCTCTATAGTCAACTTCAGCTAGAGATTCCCAGGAAGGTTTTCTCTCTGCTAAAATATTAGTGGCTTTTCAATTTATGGTTTTTCCATTTTCATGGGATTTATTTGAACACAACTGATTGAACGTAAATGGTTGATTCTACGGATTATTTGGTTTGGTCAGATGCAATCATGAGTGCCCAGCCATTAGCTGCCATTCACTATGATGTCATCGTCAGTCCTCTGTATCTGTAGGTTCTGCACAAGTGGATTCAAAATGTTTTTTTAATCCCAAAAGTAAGCCTTGATTTTGCAATTTTATATATGCAATTGCATATAATGAGACTTGAGTATTCTGGGAACCAAACCCCAGCAGACACCTGGTTTGGGTCCCGATTACCTAAAGGATTGCCTTCTCCCACACACTTTGGACTTCTGGGGTGGCTTCTGCTCCAACCGGCCAGAACCCAACTGGCAATCACCATCCAGAGGACCTTTTCATCGGGTGCCCCACGATTGTGGAACGACCTGCCAGAAGAACTCCGACAGCTAAATGAGCTGTTGAAATTGAAAAACCATGTAAAGACCTATTTCTTCTGGCAGGCCTTCCCAGACAGTTTTTAAACGTGAATTTTAAGTGTCCTTAGTTTGATCTCTGCTTTGTGCATTTTAATATGTATTTTGTAAAGATACATTTTAGTGTGTAACTTTTATGGAGGTACGTTTTAGTTTATTTGTAGTGTTTTTGCTGTGCTTGTGTATTTTAATTGTTTTGTAACCCACCTTATGCCAGAAGGTGAGGAGGATAAGAAATAATAATAATAATAATAATAATAATAATAATAATAATAATAATATACCAGTGGTGATCGGCACACTGGGTGCAGTGCCTAATGACCTTGGCTTGCACTTAAACATGCTCTTGGATTACACTTCCCCAAACCAACAGCTAGTAAGGGCATTGTCTGATAAATTATAAAAGTTGTAATCTAAAAGAATAACTTCGCAGAGCTCAGTTGAGCTGACTGTAACTTCTAGCCCTTGGACTGTATCTTTGCAATAAGCTTTTACAAAGCCATGTTGGGTGTCATAAAAATGTTTTCTTTTATGGCATACATAATTCATGTTGTTTTAGATGAATTCTTACAGAATTGCTTTAAAGAATTGTGGAGGTTGTAATTACTAGTTCATGCAATATCTAAGCTGTTTGTGAAACCGATAATTTATTACTATACAAATGCAATCATGCATGCATTTAATTGTACACACCTCACAGAACAGATTAAATGGGAACTCATCTCACTCTCTCTGAACAGCATCAAGTAAGAATAGATTTCAGCTGCACAGTACCTTTCAACATTTTCACAGCGACAACTTTGTATGTGGGGGATTTTTTAATTCCAAAAGCAGCTGCTTGTACAACTTTCCCAAAAGCACCTCGCCCAAGTGTCTTTCCTGCATCAAGAATAAAGAATAGGTGATTTGTTGTGGTTGTTTTAAAGAGAGAGCGTCATTGAATAATTCATAATATTACATTTTCCATTATGTTTTAGAGGTCCAACAGTACTTAGATTACAATAGTCCACAAGGGATTCCTGAACGTCTAAAACCATTATACCACCAGTTTACCATATGAATGGAGCCCTTGAGTGAATAAATCCATTATAATCAAGGTATGAGTGGCATTAGAAATATTAACAGTTTCAGAGAATGCACCAATTATAACACACAGCTGCTTCTGATCTGCCATTTATACTTGATGGATTCAAGCAGAGAGGCTAACCCTTTGTTGTTTATTTGTTCAGTCGCTTCCGACTCTTCGGGACCAGCCCACGCCAGAGCTCCCTGTCAGCCGTCACCACCCCCAGCTCCTTCAAGGTCAACCCAGTCACTTCAAGGATGCCATCTTGCCCTTGATCAGCCCCTCTTCCTTTTTCCTCCCATTTTCCCCAGCATCATTGTCTTCTCTAAACTTTCCTGTCTTCTCATTATGTGGTCAAAGTACTTCATCTTTGCGTCTACTATCCTTCCCTCCAATGAGCAGTTGGGCTTTATTTCCTGAAGTATGGACTGGCTGGATCTTCTCGCAGTCCAAGGCCCTCTCAGAACTTTCCTCCAACACCACAGTTCAAAGGCATCTATCTTCCTTTGCTCAGCCTTCCCTATGGTCCAGCTCCCACATCGGTAGGTTACCACGGGGAATACCATTGCTTTAACTATGCAGATCTTGGTTGCCAGTGTGATGTCTCTACTCTTTACTATTTTATCGAGATTGGACATTGCTCTCCTCCCAAGAAGTTAGCGTCTCCTGATTTCCTGGCTACAGTCTGCGTCTGCAGTAGTCTTTGCACCTAAAAATGCAAAGTCTGTCACTGCCTCCATGTTTTCTCCCTGTTTTGCCAGTTATCAATCAGTCTTGTTGCCATAATCTTGATTTTTTTTTTATGTTTAACTGCAACCTAGCCTTTGCACTTTCTTCTTTCACCTTGGTTAGAAGGCTCCTCAGCTCCTTCTCACTTTCAGCCATCAAAGTGGTATCATCTGCATATCTCAGATTGTTAATGTTTCTTCCAGCTATTTTAACCCCAGCCTTGCATTCATCAAGCCCCGCACATTGCATGATGTGTTCTGCATACAAGTTGAATATCTAAAAATATCTAGAATATCTAGAATATCTTTCTGAATATATAGAAAGAAGAACTTCTTTCTAATTTTTAATTGAAATTTCCTTTCTTGTAATTCGAACAACTTGGTTAGGGTCCTACACAATGGAACAGCAGGCAAAATATTGCTCCATGGACTAGCATCCTATTACTATTTATGATGTCATAAGCTAGACTTATGGCCTCATAAATTTTGTTGTTCACACTTATAATCATGGCAGCATTGCTGCAATCACAAATCCCACTTTTATAAAACTCATCCTCAAAGCAAAAAGGAAGGAAGACATCTCCTCTCCAGCCTCTTTCCGTTGGCAAATGGGGAGCAACAAGCAACAGTTGTTTTTTTATACCCCATCTGTTGACTGCATCCCAGTTAGCAGATAGAAGGGCTGCATCATTCTTCAGTGTTTTGCTTGCTGCAGAACTTCTTTAACTGGTGCAGCTGCCTGCTTTTAATGTAGTTTGCAGGGGGCGGGGGGTTGCGTTGGATCAGGAAATGGATCATAACTACATTGCTAAAGCTTTCTCGCCTGTTCAGGAGCTTGACCATTGCCAATCAATTTTTAAAAAATTAAATATAACTCATAAGCCTCCTTGGAAGGATTTTATATTATTTTTTTTGAAACTAAGTCACTTTGATGAATAAAATAGAAACACATAAATTATATCTTATGTTGAGATTTAATGGATCCTGCACCATCCTGGAATTCTAAACAGAATGTAAGACTGTTTTCAAAAACTGTCTTACATAAATAAATGATATGACAAATAGGATGACAAATTGTTTCATGTCAGCAGAAAGGCAGGAGAGAGAGAAAAAAGACGTGAATAAATGTGTGGTTCTAAATTGATTATGGCATAAGCTTAATGTTTGCCCTCAGGCCATTTGGATCTCCTTGCACTCATCATTTGGATGGAAGATCCTGCATTCATTTTTATTTATAGGAGTTCATTTAGCACATTGGAATAAGCAACTTGTAAACCTCACTCTGTACTCAGTAAAACACCACAGGGGTATTGTTGTATTTGAAAACTCATACATTTTCCAGATATCCCTTCCATCTGCACAGTCTCAGTTTCATGGAAAAATCTAATAAACCTCACAGCTTTTTTTTTTAAAAAAAATCTAATATTCTGCTTTCAGTCAAATTACATTTTAATGCCAAACATGGGCTCTTAAGCACTTTAAGGGCATGTTTGAATATTTTAATTCTTGGACCAAATTCTTCTTGCTTTGCAAGCTACATAAATTCCTCCAGCAGCTTCAGAAGATAATTACACGCAGAACAGTTTTGTTACAAGTGTAAGGTGCATTCCACATACCAGGAAAATCAATCACAGATCCTCCACTGACGTTTATAGCTGCAGACAATCGCTGTTAGTTGCAATCCTATAGGGACAGACTATGCTTTCCACTCCATGAGCTACAGTAAACAAATTGTAGCTTCCCAAGTTGTAAGTCACAGGGAATTGTGGCTAGGTTTATATCAGACGTGGATGTTCCCAATCACTTCTGGCACACAAACAACCCCTGCGTTCCCTTTGGCTCATTCATGGTTAACAATGGTTTATCATTATATTTCAACACCCAATCTATGAGGGCTGAATGAAAAGTAATGCCTCCACCTTTGTTACTTGAGTTTGGATGGGAATATTTTAATAAATCAAACACAAAAATAATCCTTAGAATGTGCTCTTTCACTACCACTATTCACTTTTCCACATAATCACCAAACAATTGGATACATTTTTGCCAACGATGAACAAGTTTTCTGAAGCTGTCACGGAAGAAGTCAATACTCTGTTTCCTCAACTAGCATCTCACAGTTCTCGCAATGTCTTCATCAGAAGCATAATGATGTCCCCACAGATCTTCTTTCATTATCGGGAACAGATGGAAGTCAGATGGTGCTAAATCTGGACTGTATGGAGGATGTTGTATGGTGTTGAGATCCAGTCTCTGAAGTTTCAAGTCTGTGCGCTTTCATTTCAGGCATCAGCATTCTGGGTACCCATTGTGCACAGATCTTCCAATAGCCAAGCAAAGCAATAATGTGATTCAGATGTTATTGTGAAATGCTGATTGTGCTTGAAATTTCTCTTTGAGTGATACGACAATTGTCCTGAATCAATCTGTCAAAGCTTGTGAAACTCAGTGGTTGCTGTCACAGGACGTCCAACTCTTTGTTTGTCACGCAAGTCAGATGTTCCCATCTCAACGTCTTTAAACTTACTCGCCCAATGATGCACAGTACTCACATCAACACAATCACCATAAAGAGCTTGCATTCTCTGATTAATCTCCTTTGGGGTGACACCTTCTGCTGTCAAGAATTCAATGACTGCACATTGCTTAAGTCGGATTGACCAACAGTCTGCGTTCCATACTTTGCTCTTTAACAACACAACAATTCAATGCTAAGGCTTCCTGCCAAAATGGAACCGTAGAGGAGAGTCTATTGAACAAGCCAATACCTGCTGCATACCAGTACTGCCATCTTTTGAGGAGTTATGAAGGTGGAGGCATTACTTTTCATTCAACCCTCATATCTATACGCCTGTTTCCCTTCATAAGCCCCAATGCTAGAGGTCCACATTGCATTAGCTGATAAAAAGGATCTATCTTGGCAGGGATGATGGAAGAGTTGAAGGAAAGAAAGAGAAAAGACCTTTTAGTTAAATGTTGGAATTAATTAGCATTAATAGCATGGCAAAGGGCAGATGATCCATTCTCTTACACATTTTCCCTTACTGTCTTGACTTCAATCAAAACAGTATGGACTTAGCTACCATCTGAAACCAATTCCAACTGGGAGATCTTCTCCCATGTTAGCAGATGGCTAGCATTACATTAGCACTTGGTGTATATGTTTCCCACCTGATGAAACTGACTGACAAAACATTTGGGATAGATATAAAAAGTGTTTCCTCACACAAGTGAGTATTTTTTGAAATTCAGTTCTAGTTGACTTGGTCATTGGATAGCCACTAACATGTAAGCCTTTAATTTATATGGATAGGCACCTAGGCATACAGGATGGGATGAAACATATCCAGCACAATATTTTCTTAATTCTCACCCTACACCACATACACATATTGCAGGCTGGCTCCATTGATTCACATTTGTCCCGACTGAGCTTTAGTAAATTAAACTCCTATTCAAAGTGACAGGGAGCATGGAAAAATGCCTCTATTTCATTATTATCAAGCCAAGTATGCTGAACAATTGTAGAAAAAAACAAAGATATCATTACCCAGTTTAAGTCTTTCCCGGGCAAATTCCCATTTGCTGGCCTCATAAGGAAGTCGTTCGCATTGTTCGTCTAGGGGGACTTCTTCAGGATCCATTATGATTGATAAATAATCTGTCTTTATTTCAGCAGGAGAAGTCTAGGAAACAATTTTTAAAATTTCCAAATCACTACAGAATACACAACAATGCTGAGCATGTCCTTCTGGCCAGGGGCGGCTCGTCCATTACGCGAAGTAAGCGGTCGCAGAACACTTTTTTTTGCCAGGGGCGCAGAGGCACCTCTGTAAATGCTCCTCGACCGCCACTTGAGGAGCGCCCCCTCAGCTCACAACAGCCCTAGCAGTCCGGGGGGAGCCTCGGCTTTCTTGCCTCGCTGCCGGGCGATCCTCTTCCCAAAGGGGCCGGGCCCTTGAGCCTCGCCTAGCCCCTCTCGTTCCTGCTGCACCCGGCCACCGGGTGCGCGAGCAGAGCCGGCACTCAATCGTTCTCCACGTTCGATCCCTTCCCCATGACCGGCTCCCTTTCCCAATCCCCCAGCGCTCCACCCGCCTCCTCTCCTCTCCCCAATCTGCGGGTGGGCCAAGGGGCGGAGCTGCCGCGCCTGGCCCGCTTTGGGTCCGGAGGCGTGTCTGAAGACCCCAGCGTGCGCACCAAAAGTCGCCTCTTCTCCTGACTTTCTCTTCAGCCATTGGGACCAAGAGAGAGAGAGAGAGACCCTCCGGCTGGAGGTATCTCCCACCTCCGCTCCCTCCTTTGTTTTTGCGCCTACCTTCAGGAAAAGTGGGCATCTCCACCTCTCTCTCTCTCTCTCTCTCTCTCTCTGTCCCAATGGCTGAGGAGAAAGTCAGGAGAAGAGGTGACTTTTGGTGCACACGCCGGGGTCTTCAGGCACGCCTCCGGACCCAAAGCGGGCCAGGCAAGGGAGCAAGTGCGGCAAGTGTAGTTACTGGGATGTATAGTTCACCTACAATCAAAGAGCATTCTGAACTCCACCAATGATGGAATTGAACCAAATATGGCACACAGAACTCCCACGACGAACAGAAAATATATATCAGTGATTGGTTGGGGGGGGGGGGGTGCCAAAATAGTGTTTGCTTACCCTTGAAAATTACCTAGGGCCGCCTCTGCTTCTGGCTTTGATGAAGAAGATGGTAGGTTAATGAGACAAGACAGCTTTACCTCTTGCCATATGGAGCACTTCATGCCCCAAAATACAATATGTGAAAGATTCCTCCTTTTGCCATCTCCATTTATTTTTTCATTACAACTCTATTTACACCACCTTTGCTCATACATTGCTTGCTTCAATTAAATCCATATGAACAAACCACTCAAAAACTAGCCATGTGATAGAGATTATTTGAGACTGTACTTTTAAATAGAGTATTTTCAGAAAAATGACTAACCACAATCACTAAAAATAGATTTGGCTGACAACTGTACACAAAACAAAAATTCTGGCAATATGTGACAGATGAGTTCATCTGCTGGTGTTTGTTTGTTTTTAATAGTTAAATGTGGCTTTAAAAGTTGTGCAAGACTTAGATGTAATCTAGAAAGCATTCATGAGTAACATTTTGAGTCCACATTTTTCAAATGTTCAAGAATTCACACCTCCCTGAAGGCTCTTGCCTACGCACTCTCTATTTCCCCATAGTCATTCCTAACAAGTAATTGGGAATTGTTATGCTGTTGGAAGGTTTAAGGCTGAAGTCCTACATATTTACTTAGGAATAAAGCTCATTAAAGTCAGAGATATTTACTTCTGAGTAAATATGCATAGTTTCAGATTGTTGAATCAGAGAAATGATGAATTACAACTCATTCTAATAGCATTTGGGCTGCTTCAAGACATTCATATGAAATAAATCACTGTGAGTCTTTCCTTAGTGAGGAGATTCCTCCAAGGCATGGCAAATTAACTATGGAATTTTAATCATTTTTCTCAATAGAAATTCAGAACTGAATGAAAATACAATATTACCACAAAATATTTGTAACATGAGTTGTTTTGAAAAGTTCTCACTGCCACCAAGTCAGTCTCCGGATGGATACAGGAAATCTGTTTTATATATTTTGCAATGGTAAGCAGTATTATTGCTTGATTCCATCTACGGTCTAATGTGTATTCAGCAATCAAGCTGTGCCAAGACATGTTGAAAGGATTAACGTAGCCCCTTGAGACTGTGGTTATGAGGGCCTCCAACTGTCCCACCACCAACGTTGAGAACCTCAACCTGTCCCATTGCTAGTGCATCAAATGTGGCAAACTTCTAAATGTTTGTACAAGATATTATTTGCTTAATCCCAGCACTAGATGCCCTTGAATAACTGCTACAGCCATTGACATCATGCATCTGAACATCAGCCCTGGCCTTGTCTTACTCAATTGCTGAGTAGGCCTGCCCTGTTTGGCACAAGTCTGCCCATATGAAGCAAGTGAATATAGGATTGAATGAAATATGTAGAATAATCCCAGGATGTCTCAAACCTATACCCGCTGACAGACTCTATAAGTTAGCTGGTGCAGCCCCCGCACCTGATGTGTGACAGGAAGTTGCTGCCAATTGCGAGAGAAATAAGGTTGAACACTGTGAAAGCCATCCTCTGCATGGCTATCAGCCTCCTCCTAGTAGACTCAAATCAAGGAAAAGTTTCATGAGGACCACAATTCCTCTGAATGTTTCCCTAGAAACAGCAATAATATCCCTGTGGGCAGCAAAATCAGACAATTCCAACTGGATAGCCCCCGATGAGGGTCTTCCTCCAGTGGCAAACCAAGAATGGGCAATGTGGAAGTCTCTGAACAGACTCAGAAGTGGTGTTGGGAGACAACCTGGCCAAAGTGTTAGGGTTAGGGTTAGGAGAATCCTCCACATTGTGTGACTGTGGAGCAGAACAAAAAACTCAGCATCTGTATGCTTGCCCACAATGTCCTGCCTCATGCACAGAGGAAGGACTGTTTAAAGCTACAGACGATGTGATCACTATTGTCCGTTTTTGGTCTAAAATTATTTAGCCGCTTGTATTCCCTCTATTTTATCAGTTTTATACTTACTTATTTATGCAATTCCTATCATTACAACCATTTAAAATATTGATTTTAATTAACAATCAGCCGATGAAAGGGGGAAAGCAAAACTACTAAAAGAACGTAAATATAGGAAGAAGAAAAGCTCTGGGAGTAAATGATTTTTACTGTCTTATGCTGCAATACTAGAAATTTGCAGAATATTAATTTCATGGGGTGACAGAGTTCTTATCTGGGGAAAAATGCATATCCACGAATTATATAATTTTGATCAAGAAATGCTACAATAACTCTACAGGGCACTTAATGGTGGCCACACGCCCATTAAAAATTGAGAGAGGCTTAGACCTTACCCTTTTTAGCTTACGTATGAAGAGTGTCAATAGAAGCCAGAAGAGTGTTGCAGCCACACAGGTACATGTCAATGTTATTAGCTCCAGGTTTGAGCTCTCTGAAATCCCTGGAAAAATCAAATAACAAACATTTTTATTTAACAACAATTTTGATTTTGGTAACATCTGGCACTGAAAGTACTGAAAAAATGATTAGTGGATTCAAGTGCTTTTCACAGAACCTGGAGGAGAAGCAAAAATATGATTGTCCCCAGGGCTATAATCAAGTATTTCACACTCAACCTCATTCCAACTCGGAACAAGTATTTCTTTTCTTTTTCAATGTGAATGCATTTGAGATCACATTTTTTGAGTTATGCCCAGTTTTCCTGCAGTGCCTGAAGTATGTCAGTACATATTTTAAGAGTTATGTATTTTCCACATACATCTTCCAAATCTATGTATTTTTTTCAAATGTATTTTTTTCTTGTTCAGTTAGATTGGGACAGTTAACGGATATGTTATTGCTCTTAATTTGTATTTTTTTCTCATTATCACAACCATTAACCACTGAAAGAAGTTACAATAACACATCTGGAGACCAGGACGTGGAACAATGGCTTCAAACTACAAGAAAGCAGATTCCATCTGAACATTAGAAAGAACTTCCTGACTGTGAGAGCTGTTCAGCAGTGGAACTCTCTGCCCTGGAGTGTGGTGGAGGCTCCTTCTTTGGAAGCTTTTAAACAGAGGCTGGATGGCCATCTGTTTGGGTGCTTTGAATGCAATTTTCCTGCTTCTTGGCAGGGTGTTGGACTGGATGGCCCACGAGGTCTCTTCCAACTCTATGATTCTATGATCTGTGAACATTCGACATAGTTGTTCTGATAAAGACAAAATATATGGCATTGCATATGGCTGTCCTGGTAAAAGACAAAATATATGGCATTGAGTTGTTGCCTTTGTAAGGCTGCCCTGGGTCCCCTATGGGATTGAGAAGGGCGGGATATAAATGTGGTAAATGAATAAAATAAATACAAGAATTGTATTCATTCAGTAACTTCTTACTTCTTAGTATCATTCAGAATCCCAACCACAAGACCATTTAAGTTTAATTTATTACTGATGAAAATGGATTACACTATCCAAGTGTCTAAGACTGTGACAACTTAACATTACAACTTTCAGAAGGGCAACATTTTCTAGTTTTGCTCCCAAATGTCTA